AACCTATAGTCACGAGGAACAACCGAACAAGCTTTGATTATCACAAATCAAAGTAGTAAGTGGACTTTGGATTTTCATATGTTTTCTAGTGTTCATATCTCCTGATATTCTGACTTCAATAACAATATTTATCATAAAAAAAGTTCATCAGTCGAAGAAAACTCCAAGACCCTAATAAATTAGGAAGGTGCGGCCTCTTTTACTGATACATGCCTCTCATGACCTCTGCAAGATCCCCTTTGAATTGTCTTCCAGAAAATTTTTATTCTTATATTTTCTTGAGTTTTTCTTTACACTGTTTATTGGCTTTGGCTTTTCATGAAAAAAGCAAGAAGAATGAGACCAAAGAGAGGGCTTTGTGTCTGGTAAACCCTTTATGTTTATTTTACTTGTAATAAAACAAAATAAAAATAGCCAATAGTTTGAATCGGAATGTACTGAATATGACAGCCATCCAATTTTATTTTATTTTCCATTCTGCGTTATTAAAGTTTTCAATTTTGTCAATCAAAGTTTTAATTTATGGTGGACAGGTTGGATCATTTGTTAAATTCTATCCACAAACAGACCTGGTCTTCAAATTCTGCATCCATATTTATGGTTCATATATGTAGAAAGTTTTTTGCGTGTGGGGTTAAATAAATTAATTACAACGATGGATTTCCTTGAAACTGAAATTTTTCTAAATAAAACTGCAGTACGACACCGAGGAAAAATAGCTTTCATATCTATTTTGCTGGTTGCATCTTTTACGAAGTGAATGTAATTTCGATTCTTATATTGACGTAAGTTTGTTTCATAATAATATCTACTTGTTACTGTTATAACTTATAACGTTAAGAGAAAGAAAAAAAAAACTAAAAATGTTGTACATACAAAAAAAGTAAATCGCTGATGATATCGAATCGAAACTCGAGAGGATAAAGGCTGTTTCGACGCTTAATAGGCCCACTTGGACTTTGGTAATGAAAATTCAGTACCTATTTTATTTAATGGGCCTTGATTCAAAGGCCTATAGTAGATCTCTCTTTTTGGACGAGCTATATCCAGAAGATTGCTTAAACTCTTGTTTGTGCGCAAGAAAATATTATAAATTTATCTTAAAACGTGATTAATTAATCGTTGTTAGTTATATATATAGTAGTGTCGGTCTCTTAGTTCACAGTCACAGATCACAGATCTTAGATCTGTATAATAAAAGGTGACAAATGACACTAACCAATCGAGATTATGGGGGATACTCTAATTCTTTGCGTGCTAAAAGTGAATCAATTTTGGTTTGTGTTTGTTGGTAGGAAGCATAGTCGCATAAACATGCATGGGTCCAAATCATATCTTCAAAACAAGTTTTTTACTAAAATAAACAAATTATAATAAAGAGAGACCAAAGCGAACACAACTTTTACATAAAAATGGAAGGTTCGTAGAGAAGATACGAAGGGGAGACATGGGACACAATAAGACACCAAAGCATGGGCTCCATTTCATAAACATTTTCATATTCCCCTTCTATTTACTGTTATTACTAATCATAAATAGTATTCATATGGGTCTCCATTTCAATTTCATGTATTTTGTCTAGATTACACACATTCAACGTACATCTCCCTCTTTCTCTTTCTCTTTTATTTTTCCTCCATGTTCGTGGTTATAACTCTTTAACGTAAAGAGTGAAGAATCTAAAATCATGTTCATAGCGAAAGACCACAATCCTATTATCTTCATCTTAAGCGCAAATGTCATATTCATTGTCTGTCTTGTTTAGCTTATCTAGGTGTAAATGCACAGCAAACTAAAAAGAGACTGAAATTAAATAAGATTAGTCCACATGTATCGTAGTAGCAGAGTAGCGCATGAGCTTTAGGCTTTGACTAAAAATTAAAACCAAAAACCAAAGTGCTAACTAAAATCGGATTTGACGAAAAAAACCAATTAGGTCTCTACTAACCTAAAAGTCTAAACCCCTAAAGAGCCTATCATATCTCTCACTTGTCATGTCGACACTCTCTGTGGGTCCTACTTTCCCTCACACGGCACCCAACGTTCTACTTTCTTTTATTCGCCACATTTTACCCAAATTTACCTTTTTACCCACAGTTTTTTTTTTCCTTGTTCCCGATGTTTTTGTATCTCTCGTTGCCTTTTGGGGGAAATACAAACTCTACTCAATAATTGAGATGCCAAAACCAAATACAGTTTGCCAAGAAAATACCTTACAAAAATTATAATAATATTTCGATTTATGGTCTATAACAATAATTTCGTAACATTTGCGTGCAATTTTCTAAAAACAGTATTTTCTTATTTGCTTATTTGCTTATGCATTTATATTTGTATGTATACAGTTACACGTTTTTGCCCTTGGCTACGGGATTTTATTCCACGAACACTTAAATAATTCTGACAACACCACGCTCCTCTGTTTATTACTTTCCGATAATAATTAATCAGCTAATGAGATAAAATACTATTATTGTCACTGAAAACGAAACACATCAATATCGTCATGTACTTACTTATATCAATATGAGAGGCAAAATAAGTATTTTTGGGACAGCGAGTTGTTTGTGGTATTACATCGATAACTAATTAATAATAAATAAAGGAAGGACTCCCAAGCTTATTTATTGTAAGGTTCAAATGTTGTGGTCGTTTATTCGAATGATTGGTGCAATTAGAGTAGTAATTACGATAACTATGATTGCTACGTAATGAAAGTTAACTGCGGTTAAAAGATTGAATAGTACTAATACTTTCAAGATTTTGGACCCAAACAAAAAAAGAGATTATAGTGCACACATTGTTTCACAGTATACACGAGTCGGTGATTTAGAATCGTTGGAACACACTGATCGAACATATCAACCATTCACCCCTAGACTGAACAACATGGATGGATTGATTTTCATATGCTAATATATTCGAACTATGAAACGTTTATTTTGGGGTAAGAGATCAATCTGTAGTTTTCTAGACTATCAAGAAGTGTATATACGCATATGTAGCAAGAAAACAAAGAAGTGTAAAAAATCGGATATTTTATGATAAAAAGTCTGCATCCATTTCCCAAAATGCCTTGGTTTCTTAAACAATTGGGTTTGTTATCTTTGGTTATGTAAGCTTGGGATATAGGTCGAAACCTATGCGAAAGAGAAGACTAAGAAACCTAAATAACTAAATAAGGTAGCCCGCAAAAATTAATGTAAAACAATGTACTATACTAAGCTAGCTTCTTTTTTTAATTAACAACCGTTGTTATTACGAAAACAGACATTTCTACAAGCTGTATAAAGGGAATGAGGATGAGATTAGTCCAACATAAATAATGATTTCACAGTACTATATGGTTGTTGTAAACCCGAGATTCGCTTGCCATCGTTTGTGTACTGATATAAAACCCACATATTGGGTAGCTAAATGTCTTAATTTAACAACGTATATTTATTTCGAGTAATACAGTAGTTATTTACATCATCGATGCATGCGTACCACTTGTGACTTTTTGTGAGTTAGTTTCTTTTTAGGACATTTAAGCAAAGCTTTAACTAACATATACGTTTCTTGTTGGACGGTATTGGTCGTAACACTCTATCTATTTCTAGAGTTATTAAATTCACTCTCCTCCATAAGCTACGTCAATATTCTAATATATTTTCAGTTTTCTTTTTCCGCCTCAAAACAATACAAAACTCTCTCTAACACAAAAGAAACTGCAATGGACAATTCAATTGCAAACTTTATAAGTAAATGACATTGAATGGTTTTCGAATATATTCGAACATGTAGACCAAAACTGTTTTGTGCTTACACTTATTGAATATGCATCCGAACATGTAGTAATCAGTACCCGTTGATGTTATAATACTCAAGACAATGGATCAAGAATAAAATGGCCCATCCCACAACACCAAAACCCTCGGGGAGAAGACCAAGAATGGTCCAAAAATATCATTGGAACCACGTGAATCTTGATAAATATTTGGTACTCCACTCAATACTATTATTTATGATCTGAATAGGACAATTCTATTATTTGTTTTTCCTAGATTAAAATCCCACTTCTATATATATACATGTACAATATATACATTGCAAATCTCACTTAAAGTATACTCTTTGTTTCCTTCTGCAAATTCTGGTAAAAAGGCATTACAAATTACAACGATTCATATATCAACATATACATCCACCGCCTCGAGAAATAAAAATGTGTATTTCTCTAAATGAAATGTGTTGCTTTATTTTATATCATTTCGGTGACGAATATTTACCAAAATTGTCTAATAACTCCACAGGTTACAGCTAGTTTTTCCTATTTCTTTGAACAACGTTACAGCTAGTTTTCCCTAGATGCACATATATCACAAGAAAATAAAATAAGCAAAAGCATAAATAAAAACCCCAGTAAAGAAATCACATACAAAATGGGGGAAAAATGTCCCAATACAAATAATACTGCAAAACTGCAAATATCCCTACATTTAAAACATCTCGTGTTCTAATAGAGAAAACTACGACCATACTTAAATGATGAGATTTGGGACCATAATTATAACTCATAATCACTTATACCAATAACTTAAGCCAAGTGTTGTACTTTAAAAGCAAAACAAAAACTACATAAACAAAAAGAAGACGAATTTAAAGCAAAATTAATGATTAAAAAGTAAGGATAAATATGTTGTAACATGTCCGAGATCCGGATTGTGTTTTTAGGTACCATTCTTGTCTCCTCCCAAAGCTTCATCCATCTCTCTCTCAATTTTTTTTTTCATTTTTATTTTAAAAAGAATATCTCTTTCACAAAAACAAGAAAAGAAAATCTCTAACAGTTTAAACAAAAATAAAACTTACGCCTCGTTCTTCTCCCTCTGTCCCTCTCTCTCTCTTCTTTGAGCATTGCTCTCAAGCTTTCTTCCTCCCATGGCAACTCTCTCTCGAGTCATTATCTAGCTTTTAGATTCCCATTTTTTTATTACTACTTTTTACACTTTTTTTTAATGGATATTGGGACTCACACTCTCGGGTCGGTTACTAGTAATGAAAACGGGTCGTTTGGTCAAAAACAGCTCGGAGGATCCAAACAAGACAGATCCGGTTTCGACGGTGAGGATTGTTTCCAAAGAAGCTCGAAGCTAGCAAGAACATCAACAGCAACAGCAGAAGAAGAACACTTATCTTCTTCCTCTTACGCAGCTGCTTATTGCAAACCGATGTCGTTTCACCAAGGCATTCCTCTCTTGAGATCTTCTCCTTCTCTTCTCTCCTCTGACTCTCGCCGGCAAGAACACATGCTTAGCTTCTCAGACAAACCAGAAGCTCTCGATTTCAGTTTGGAGAACAGTAACAACAACAACAACAACAAGAACTCTCTCTCGCCGTTTCTTCAACAGATTCCATCTCCTTACTGCAAAACCTCAGGAGGTCTAAAATCTTGTTATCTAAGTTTCTTGAAAAACCAAGAACATGGGTTTTGTAAAAATCTCATTTTTTGTGTGTATGTGTGTGTGGAATGCAGTAGGATATGGGTCTGGTGGAATGATGATGAACATGAGCATGCAAGGAAGCTTCAATGGTGTAAAAGGACCTTTCACATTGAGTCAATGGGCAGAGCTAGAGCAACAGGCGTTGATCTATAAGTATATCACAGCCAATGTCCCTGTTCCTTCTAGCTTGCTCATCTCTATCAAGAAGTCCTTTTACCCTTATGCATCTCTCCCTCCCAGTTCTTGTAAGCTTCATTTCTAGTTTTTGATAAGTTATCATTAATGATCATATCATTATGTTATCAAAGTCTTTTTTCTTTTATTAATTGCTTTAACTCAAGAACATCAAATCCAAGAATGTAACATTGCTCTTAAGGGTTTTCAAGATTTTTGCTTTAAGTAATTTGTTGCCATTTTTAATGTCATTTTAGTGCTCTTAGGGTCTTTTCAAGATTTGGTCTTGTATGTGATTTTGGTTAGCAATGGTTAATGTGAGTATTTATTTGTCTATGGCTTTTTGTGTGCAGTTGGATGGGGAACATTCCATCTAGGTTACGCAGGGAGTAACATGGATCCAGAGCCAGGGAGATGCAGAAGAACAGATGGGAAGAAATGGAGGTGCTCAAGAGACGCTGTCCCTGATCAGAAATACTGTGAAAGACACATCAACAGAGGCCGTCACCGTTCAAGAAAGCCTGTGGAAGTCCAATCTAGCCAGACCGCCATCGCCGCCGCTGCTACCGCTTCGTCCAAAGCGGTGCAGCAGAGTGTGGTCGCTAGTGCCACCAACAAGAGCAATGCTCGTGCAACACGTAACCGCAGCGTAGCCACCAATGGAGGTCAATACATCACTCCTTCTACAGATCCTCTACCTAACAACAGGTGAGGCAATAAACCAACAAATCTTTTTGATACTTTTTAGCATATTCTTGTTCTTATCTCACTAACTGATTCTTGCCAAAAACAGAGCTCGAAATCCGTTAGGAAGTGCGTTATATCCTTCCACGATCAGTTCACAACCCAGAGAATCTCTCATTGTTCATCAGAAACAGAGAGACAGCAACAACAACAACAATCCTTTTGAGTTTGGACACATATCATCTGACTCAATACTAAACCCGAACTCCGCAAAGAGCTACGGATCATCATCATCATCATACTTGGATTTTGGCAGCAACCAAGATAAGCATTCGGTGAATCATCACAACCACAGCTCATGGCCTGAAGAGCTAAAGTCAGATTGGACACAGCTTTCAATGTCGATTCCAATAGCATCATCGTCCTCTCCTTCCACCACAACAGACAACAACAACATTGGTCAAGATAAAATCACACTCTCGCCACTAAGGCTATCTCGCGAGTTTGATCCTTCTTCGATCCAAACAGAGGAAACGATCGAGCCTGTTAATAAGGTGAATACTTGGATACCGATCTCGTGGGGAAACTCCTTAGGGGGACCTTTAGGTGAAGCACTAAACAGCAGCACGACGAATAGCCCTACTTTGGGATCCTCTCCTACAGGGGTTTTGCAAAAGTCTACATTTTGTTCACTCTCTAACAGCAGCTCTGTAACCAGCCCCGTCGCAGAGAACAGCAGAAACAATGGCGACTACTTCCATTACACGACATGAAACTGAAACTAGTCCTGAGACGGAAAATTGGGAAAAAAAGAAGCTCTTTCTTACTTGATGCATTGTGTTATTCTTTTTGTTCTGTTGTCTTTCTTTCTACGCTTAAAAAGTAAATTAGAGAAGAAAAAAAGAAGAGGGAATCGTCTTTCTTCCAAAACTTGATTCTTTCTTCGTGTCCTATTTCTTAATCTATCTTTTAGGTCTTTGGTTCTCTCTGGTCTGAACAAAATTTTCTTGTTCTAATGCTAGTGAAGTCCAAGAGACTCTCTTTATCGAAACGAAGGTTTATGAATTTAGATGTTCTTCAAAACGTCGTATATGGACTTGTGGATCTTAACTCTTATTGGGCTTACTGATCCAAAAATTGTTTTGGGCCGAGATGGTTAAAGAATTACTAATGGTTTACTGATAGTGGTGAAATCCACTTCGTTTAGCGATTGAATTGAATAATCTCAAATGTTGATTACTTTAGTTAATTAATTAATTTAACATCATGGATGATGTCACTGCGCACAAAGCATTTCCACTAAGTAATACTATAACAATAATATAAACCATTGTACTTATTTAATAACTCTTTTGGTTATTTATTCATCATCATAACACGACAAAGATCATTCCTACAAGAGTGGGCAAGAAAAGACTGATTTTTTTTTTCTTCTTCTTAATCTCTTGCAAAAAGAAAGAGAAAGTGGAAAATTCGAAAACTATAATTTTCTCTTCCTAACCTTTCATTTCATTTACATATATAGAGAGATAGAGAGACACAGAAAGAGTTTTTTTCTTTGCTCTGTTGGGTAACTCTAAACTTTCGTTTTTTTTATAAATTTCTTATAGCATATGATCGACGACCGAAGATGGGTTTTGTGCTGTCATGATCATTCTCCGGTTATTAAGCTCCCATTGTTGCTGTTGTTGAAGTTGTCTAAGAATCAGAATCCGCCGCATCTCCGACAATCTTAACCGGAGAATCTCTTGTTCCGTCACGAGCCGGTTGTTGTCCGTATTCACTCGTTGAAGCTGGTGTAAAACTAACCGGAGCCGGTTCCCTAGCTCACGGTTTTCTACATCGAGCCGGTTTACTTGGTTCCGTAAGTTATCAATGTGGCTCTGTTTACGCATTCTCGACCGTCTCGCTGATTCCCGGTTCGATTCCATCCTCTTCCTCTTCCGCTCGTCGGTCATCTCCGGCTGGCTTAATATATTCCGGTTATGGTTCTGCTCTCCCGAATCGAAATTCGTTATGTTTGTCAATTGTTTTTGGTCGTCCGAGTCCGGTTCGTCTGCCTCAGAGCTTGGTAGATTGTCTGGCTTATCGACGTCGTCAAATTCGGGTTTAGTTTTGATGAAACCGGCGAAAGATTCGTCAGGACCGGTTTTAATGTCATCAAAACCGGAGTTAATTCTGACGTGACCAGTGTCGGACTCACCATAACAAGGGCTAGGAATGGCCGGTTCAAGTGACAATTGGTTCACGGAGAAGAGGTCAGAGCAATCCCACTCCCAAGGAGTGAACCCGGTTTGGAAACCCGAGAATTGATTAACCAAACCCGGTTCGCAGAAGGAAAAGGCCGGTACAGTGGACAACATAACTGCTTATTTTTTCTAATAGAGAGATGAGAGAGATTAGAGGGGGAAAAGGGAAGAATTGCATTGTTGGAGCTTCATATTTATGGACAAATAAAGGGGTATTTTGGTCATATACGTAAATACGATATACAACAACCGTATATAACTGTATAAACAGCTTTTGAGTCATGTTGCACTATGGTGGGGTTAAAAACTTGAAAAATTTATTTGTAGAGCCAACTTTTGTAAAAGCAAGAAATATATCGTGGGGCAGCATAGCTCGTTTTGGGTCCATATAACAAAAACTAAAATTAAATTTCTTGAAATTTGAATAACCAAATGTCTGTAATAGCTTAGTGATGAAGAAAACAGTCCACATTTCACATGTTTTCACATTTTTATAAAGGAACAGAGATTCAAGAGTGAGATATTTCTTTATCTTGTAAGAAAAACTGAAAAAGTTTGCCTTTCAAATTGAAAATGGATACTTCTCGTAATTTTCTACGTAGTTTTTTTTTTCTTGTTAGAAGAAGATTCACATTACATTCAAGGAAATATTCCACGAACATTTGAATCTCATTGATCATCATAATTCGTTATATAACGTACTCAGTTATCAGTTTATGTTTGCTTCAAATTCATTTAGTAAGTTTTTTTTGTTGTTGTAATTTTGTATCTGAACATATACTTTATGATATTGACAGCCACAATAGAGCAAATTTAGTTTTTTTGTTCACTGTATAATCATCTTTCCAAAAGAAAAAGAAAATCTTACTTTATTGTGTTCGTAAGTTCTTTTTACAGTGTACATTGGAGAGAGACTAGAATCATCATTTCAAATTCAATCTAAAAAAAAGGTAGAGAAAGAGATGGGAGTAAATTAATTAAACCGAAAAGAAATAAAGAATCTAAGGGACAGTTTCCAATTAACTGAACCAAACTGGTGCTTTGTATGAGAGCTGAGACCAATGCTTTTTGTAAAGAACCCTATAACCTACGACCAAAAAGTATATATACTTGCTTGCTACACGGAAACATTGAAAGATAAACTAGTCATATGCCGATTCCAAGAGTATAGCAAATTTAGAGTTTTTTTTTTTCAGATTGAAATGAAAATAATTAAGGAGGATAAGAAAATGTGCTTGGACTTTAAATCACACAGGCCCAAGTTTATGAATTATGATAAAAACTTATTTTTGTTATTGATCTAATATTTGTTATGATTATATCAGAAATTTTATACATATAGTTAGCTTGTGACAAAAAAAAAAGAAAAAGAAACATTTAGTTAGCTTATTTAGGAGTAGGAAAAAAGTATGTGGAGCAACGGCCACATGCATTTCATATAGTATAAAGAAGAGAGACCATATACATATATACTTTTTATATACACGATCGAACCTTTCCAAGTACCAGAGTCATGTGAAATCAAACTTTAGTGTCCAATAAAAAAGCTTCACATATTAGCTTTTTCAATAATCCCAATTTCCTCTGATCTCAATATATACATAGATATACTAATACGTGAATCTGCGCATATCTTATAAGTCTTATGTGAAGCTTTTTTATTGGACATTAAAGTCTTTGGTTCGGTCTCATGTGAAATCAAACTTTAATATTCCACATTTTAGCTTTTTCATTAATCCCAATTTCATTTTATTATAATACAAAACAACATTCCATTTGCGTTATTTATACATAGATAGATATGCCACTCCGTGAATCTGCACATGATTAATTTGTAAATTTGTACTATTTGTTTTTCAAGTTTAATAATAAAATAAAAACGGAATTGTTTTGGAAGTCTCGTATGTTAACCAAATTATGAACTTTTGATGGTTTAATCATTTTACAACAATGCTTCTTTTACATATTTGTAGACATATTCCATATGTTGAGTCTTTATATACAGTTTCTTGGATATAACTCATATGTCCACGCGAATCATTAAGAAAACATTATTCTTTACCCTTATGCTAATCAACGAACTTCCTTTTGCTTGAGGAAAAGACATACGTATCAATTTTGATGCCATGATTTCTTAAAGAAGTTAACAGAATCCACGATAATCATTGGAACGTAACGGAATTTCATTTTTCAATTGATCTTTCAGAGTTATATATTTACCATAACCAGAGAAATGAAATCATTTTACTTACCGCATGTACATGCTATTAGCCGACGGCCGGCTATGGTTTAGGTCATATTTCAGATAAAGAACTTTTTATCTTTAATTAAAGTAGAGGGGAAAACTTTAACAAAAAGTTTTCACAAATTATATTGCTTATCATTCACATCAGTTTTAAATTAATCACAATCTAAATTAAGCATGCAAAGTTCTCAACCACTACAAAATTAATATTGCCATACAACGACAAATTTTATAAATTGGTAAAAACTTAAGCGTGACGCCATGTCACTTTTGGCAATGGATGTTAACACGCAGCAATTTTCCCTTTCAAATCGCCTTTAACATTAACAACATCTGTCGGTTCTCTAGAAACGACTTGCGTATATTTGATGTTTACTGACTGATGAAAAAAAAGAATGCTAGCGATTGTAATAAAAAAAAAAAATTGCTGCGCTGTTTAAGATGATATACTCTCCAACGTCATCAAAAAGTTCGTCGCTTCTCTATAAATTTATAACGGCTACTAAAATTGTTGTTATACTCAGTTAGAAAATGTTACGAAGTATATAACGAACTTGATTGTCGCCTTCCAACATCAGTTTCATCTACGTAACACATTTTTATGTGTGTGCGTGTATGCATACGATACGAGTAAATGGATGCAAAGTAACGTTATCAGTCCACTAATTATGGCTTTTAAGCTATATCTTTATGTTTTCTATGTGTTTGTGGTGGAGTGTTCGTTGAGATTTATTGCGTTGCGTGGCGTCATTTGCTGCGTCAATAATTAGGGTTCTCCTAGTAAGTACGTATCTTATAGATATATTATATGTCTATGCATATGGTCAATTTTTATTTTTGATATCGCGAAGTGACGTGATCGCGGGTAGCTTTAGATAAACAGTTTTCGAAATTTTGTGCTTTACAACTTTAAAGTCGATCGGTTTTTCGTGATACACAGTATATATAGTGGTTGCTTTTTTTGGGTGCAATATAGTGGTGGGGGTTGCAATTATATATTGCAACAATTGCACGATTGACATGAATAAATTATCATAACTACTGTATTTTGTTTTTTATAAAGTAAATTCTGGGTATATTGACTTTCTTGGAAATTTTTCACCTACATGAACATATTTTTTCTGTATAAGATTTCAGTCCAAAGAATTTTTTTGAAATGAACCACGCATCCGTGAAGCTCAGGTTCTTAATTCTAGCCTGAATTGCGTAGGGCCTCTATATAGTCATATTTGGCCCAAACTAAAAACCAAAGGCTGACTTTTACCTCACGTAACACGTCAAGGTTTTTGATATTCTTTTCAAGTGTGTTTAGTTTTGGTCTGAGGAAATCTTAAAAAACGTATTGGCATAATCTGAATTTATAATCTTTATCCGATTTTCTGTATATATACACACAATAAACAAAAACTAGAAATATACACATTCCTCTAATTTCTCTTTCGAAAACGAGTGAAGAGATATATATGTTTTGAGTACTATTTTTGTTGAAAAGATAAGAGGATTGACAATAAAAGAAAGATAACAGCAAAACACTATAATTTTTGTTGTTAAAATAAGAACTAGATTAAGGAGTTGACCGAAATTGACTCTATATAAAGATGTTTGGGTCATTGGTGTCAATATCCACAATCAAATCTGAACATTCATACCAAAACAAAAGAAACAAATCCCCAATCAATCACAAAATGGAAAACCTCTCTACTTTGCTCACGATAGCTCTCCTCCTTTGCGCCGCCACACTAACGGGCGCTGCCCGACATGAACCGGCCGACTTCACTTCCTTCACAATCTCTCCGGCCGACATACTTAGTCTGGTTAGTCATAATAATAGTACACAAACATATAGATGTTGATTAGATGTAACTTATACATAATTATGTATGTTCGTTTGTAATTTACATTTTTTTATTATGTTTCAGGAAATGATAGAATCAAAACTACATGATGTGGCGGGAGAGAGCTGCGAAAAAGAAGACGACGAAGATTGCCTGATAAGAAGATCATTGACGGCTCATCTAGATTACATCTACACACAGAAGAATAATAGTCCTTAGACTAATTATATTATACTTGTTGTGAATTTCAAATGATTCCCACATGTTATATATGTGTATATAGAATCATCAATTAATTCAATTGATTTTTATTAACAGAATTACAGAAGTGTCAAATAATTTCCGTTGGATTCAGCGGTGAATAACTTTTTATTTTTTCTTTGGAAAAGGCTGCTTACTGTTATCAATTAGTTGACGGAATGTGTATTTACTCAAATTGTGACTTTTGTCACACAAAACAGTGACATAAGAAATTGAATAAATCTAAGGCCACGATTTTAAAAAATAATATAATTAGTAGAAATCTGCAAAATCACAGAACATATATAACTTTCCATATTGTTGATTACATCTTTCTGGTTTATTAAACAAGTTAAAGAAATACAAGAATGTCAAGCATTGCAATCAAAGGAAGCTAAAATGTTATGCATTTCGCAAGCTACCATCTGGAGAGATTTGCAGGTTTTTGAAGTGATAAATCTCCCCATGATGAAGATGACAGATCAAACTCAAACGAACAAGGACTCTCTTGTGCTGCATCATTCAAACTCTTGAACGGTTTAGCCACGTCCTCGTGCTCAGGTGCACCGGTTAGCCTCTGAACCAACTCTTTGAAGTTTACTGGCTCGACTTGGTAAACTTGGGGATGCATTGGCTTCAAAGGGGATGATAATATCGATGATGTTGCAGGCCTCTTCAATGGCTTTGAAGGCTGCTTTCGGGTCGAACGGAGCGAAGTTAGGTAATTTTTCGTTTCACTTGTCTCCGTTTCTTGAGCGTTAAGGTAACCTTGAGACATAAACGCCTGTGATGTAGGTTCCATTGAGTCTTTAGAAGATTTTCAGGATTGCCCAAAGATATGAAGTTGAGTGTTTTGATATTGATGGATATATATAATATAATGATGTTCAACATTTTCAACGCGGGTCAAGCCTTTGGTTTCTGACTTTTGTGAACATTGTTTTTAATTTTGGTCTTGTTTTTTTTTGTTTGTCGTTAATGTTAGTCTTGGATCATAAGTGAAGAAAAAGGAAAATTTTCAACGTGTGTGTTCTAAATATTTTATTGGAGAACTATATTAACAGGAATAAAGTATTCAGTTCTGTAATCGAACTAAATAGTTTTATCCAACATAGGCCGCCCACGTGAGAAACTAGTCATGATGAGAAGATTATTACTTATCAATAGCCTTCGGATTTGAATCTAAATCGGAATCTGTGGTCTACTATTTGATTCAATCATTTAAACAACTAACAAGTAGTGTATTAGTATTTGATTTCTAGAAGTACTATGGTTAAAAATAAATAAAGAAGGGCATGCTTTTGAAGATGAAAGAAAATGTTACAACTATTTTGGTAAATCATGAACCACACAGCACAAAGCCCACTGAAACATACCGAGGTCTATAATAAGCCCACAGCCTGTATATCGAAGATAAGACAGGCTGAGTATTTTGAGATTGTTATTTCATATTTGACAATTAAATACGGTAAATACAAATATTTAAGTTATGATAAAATAAGAATGTTAAACATGTTATTTTTTAAATTATTTATTAGCTTTGATATAATTTTGAGATATTATTTTGACGTCAACTGTTGACTTCACATTTTTAAAGCATACGTTGTAGCTAGAGATATAATACAACGAGTCTAATAATTTAGGGGTTACGATTAAATAGGCTCCACATTTGAGAGTAACATAAACTTTATGATTTTGTCTCCATCAAACTCTCAACATCTCGTGTAATAACTAACGGGAAAATTGGATTTAAAGGATGTTTCATATCTATGTTTGGTAATCTACACCTTTTAGTATTTTGTTCATTTTTTGACTAAATTAGCCTTATCTAAATTATTATAATAATCAAATCATTTTTTAAAAATTCAGTGAAATGTGAAAAAATATATAAAAAACTGAAAACACCATAGTAACATTTTTATAATTTTAAGTGTAACAACAAAAATTGAAAAAAAAAATATTTACTTATCGTTCTAAATTTTTTAGAATCCGCATTCTACGTTCTAAATTTTTTAGAAAATGAATTCTAATGTTTCAACATATTCTAAATACTCTAGAATGCATATTCTAAAATTTGTACATATTCTAAATATTTTAGAATGCGCATTCTACGTTCTAAAAGTTTTAGAATATGAATTCTAAAGTTTGAACATATTCTAAAAGTTTTAGAATGCATGTTCTAAAATTTGTACATATTCTAAACTTTTTAGAATGCGTATTCTCCCTTCTAAAATTTTCAGAATCCGTGTTCTAAAGTCTGTACATATTCTAAAACTTTTAGAATGCGTCTTCTTTGATTTTAAGAATGCAAATTCTAGAGATTACACATGTTCTAAAAACTCTAGAATGCACCTTCTATGTCACTAGATTCTAAAAATAAAAGAAAATCAATATTAGGAAACGAAATCTCCAAAAAATCTGTCAAAATATCTCCATTCTTTTCCCATTTCCTCCATCGTCATCTCCTTCTTTTCTCATTCCCTCCTTCTCATCACGTTTCTTTTGAACTGAACATCTCTTTTTTTCTGCTCAAATTCTCTTCCCTTTTCACAGCTGGTAAGCAACTGTTTCCTATATATGTTCCTGAAGATGAATGGCGTATCCCAAAAGATGTTGAAGATGCAAAAGTGTTTCCACCCAAGACAAAGCGGAGATCTAGCAGAAGAAAGAAGAGAAGATTTGATTCACTTGAAGACAAGATTAGATCATCACAAGGATCTCAAGGATCTAAAAGACAGAAGCGCAGGCACAAGTGCAGCCGTTGTGGTCATGAAGGTCATAACAGAGCTACATGTGATATACCCATATAACTACATGTTGTTTATGTGGCATAGTTCGAGTTTGGTTATCTTAGTACTTGGTTTTCTTTTTGTTGATTTGAAGTCATTGCTATTCTTTTGTATCAAGACTAGTGCATTGGCACTTCTCTTCTATTCCCTGCTATTTTTGGTGGTTTGAACTCACTTTCTGTTATTTGAACTCACTTTCTGTTATTTTTTCTCTATTCGTTTGAAAAACGTAGACCGATCGCTTTGTTTGCGAAACCGATCGGTTCGTACAATTTTGTCTCAGGGTCGGTTATGATTTTCGTTCTCGTATCAAAAACGATCGATTTACTCGAAGAATCGATCGTTCTAATAAAACTTTTTCTCTGCGGTCTTTACACCGATCGGTCTGACCCCTAAACCGATCGGTTTGCGTGTAAAAGCTAAAGCATTGAACATTATATGACACGGGAGATCTAGATCATGGCGTTAAAGAGAAGAGGTAAATGATCAGGTAGAAGCAGAGACCAGAGAAAAACAGAGGTAAATAAGTGAAGAAGAAGAAGAGAGCAAACAAAGTAAAGCAGTGTTGATGAGGTGACTTTGGAAGCTTACTGTCAGCACACGAGATGTCCATTTGATGCACAGACGGTTTAGTCATATTTTCAATCAACCCAAGAGTTCATAGAAGTCAAGTCGGAACCCTAGTCCCACCGGAGGTGCATTTTACAAGCGTTGCTTCCTGGCCAAGAAATTGCTGAGAAACCTGCAATTTTCTCAGGAAAACAGTGTGTGCGAAGCCTACTTTGGAAGACGATTCCAGCCGGAGAAAAATGAGTTTGACCACGTTTGAGATGTCTATGGAAAGATAACATCTCGTAGAATTCACAGAAGATAACTTTTCATCATTTGGAGTTATAACGCATCCGCAAATTGCAATACAAATTAGCACAAAATCATCCAAGGCTGAGATTTCCAAAAAAGCAGTTTCGATGCAGTGTTTTGAAGTGACCTTTTGGAAGCTTAAATGAAGTCCGATCGAGCTGATATTTGGTATACGAGACTTTGACACATTGGAGTTCATAATCAACGGTGGGATTGAGAATATAACGGTCAGTTTGTTACTTATTCGTGTCTTTCCGAACCTGTTTGGCATAGTGAAAACAAACATAACACCAGTCTAATAGAGCAACATAACACCAGTATAATAGAGCAACAACTTAAAACCAATAACTGTTAAATAATCAAACACTAAGGCTCTTTAGGGCTGACGCTCCCACTTTGACCTGGACTGTGTCTCCTCCTAGGCAGGCGTCTATCTCCGCTCGGTGCAGCCTCCTCCGCTAACTCATCATCCTCTCCTTCAGTCATCTCATCATCTTCCTCTTCCTCTTCCTCTTCCTCTTCCTCTTCTGGGATGTCTGTACGCATAGATCTCATCACCTTGATCCGATTAAGAGCACCCCAAATCCGGTGCAACATGTTGTTGTTCTTTTTTGCTGCATCCATCATCCACTTGCGGTAGTCTTGTTCGCTAGGATCTTCTACTGATGGGAGAAGACGAAACTCACTCGAATCTACTGGAAGAAGTGTCTCGGAAGAAATCTCTGTACCTCCATTCTCTCTGCTGGAAGAAGTGTTCGACCGGTCCCAGTTTGCAGGTTCGTACGAGCCAGAGTTAGGCGAAAATCAGACGAAACGAACATTCTCAAACCGATCATTAAGGGAAAAATAACAGTTTCATGAAACAAGTTTGAATATGAATGCAAAATCTTCAAAATAGTAGAATAAAATACCTTGAGTTAGGGCAAAGGGTGCTCTGAGCTTATTTGATTAACACCTCAACAAAAAGATCAACAAAAAAGAAGAACGTAAAAACTTTTTCACATACAATAAACCCTAAATTTTATATATTTTGTTTATTAAATGTATATTTAAATAAAAATTTATAGTTTTTAATTAGTTGGGGTATATTTGTATTTTAAGCTCATGTAAAGACTAATCCCCCAAAGTACAAAAAAAAGGTATAGATCACCAAACATATAGTTAAAACATCCTTTAATTCCAATTTTCCCATAATCTATACTATATAAAAGTTGAGGCTATAAGCCTCTAAGAGCGTCCACATCAGCTTTTAAAAAACCAATTAAATTTTGCCAAATCAGCATTTTAATTTTAAAATCGAAAATTAAATAATTTTTTGAGAAAAAAATTACATTATTGTATTAAAGAATGGAAATTGTACTATTTTAAATTTTAATACTTACATTACGACACTAATTACCTTAACCCATTATTTTAAATAGTTTAATGGAAATTTAACATAAAAAGAGTTAAACTGAAAAAAGAACATATTATTGGAAAAGCTAAACTAATATAAAAGTTGAGGCTATAAGCCTCTAAGAGCGTCCACATCAGCTTTTAAAAAACCAATTAAATTTTGCCAAATCAGCATTTTAATTTTAAAATCGAAAATTAAATAATTTTTTGAGAAAAAAATTACATTATTGTATTAAAGAATGGAAATTGTACTATTTTGAATTTTAATACTTACATTACGACACTAATTACCTTAACCCATTATTTTAAATAGTTTAATGGAAATTTAACATAAAAAGAGTTAAACTAAAAAAAGAACATATTACTGGAAAAGCTAAACTAACTAATTAAAATAAAAAGGAAATTAACAATTTAGCTATTTCAATGTTTGGCATTGCCTATAAATAGTCCTCTAAACTTTACAAGAGTTCTAAAGACAACCATATTCTTGAGAGAGAGAGAGAGAGAGAGAGATTATTAAAATAGCTATGTCTTTTTCCAGCTTTTCTGTTTCTGATCAGTTACGGCATCCTTTTATTTTCGATGAACTCACTAAAGGATTTTGTAAGAAAGAGCTGCTTGCTAGAGTCATCCATTCTGGGGAGACAAGGAATACTAAAAAAGAAGATCTGCTTATGAGATATGAACTGCTTCTAATTGATTAAAAGGTAACGGCACCAATATTATTTACCAATTACCAATAGAAAGTTAAATCATCATCAGCTTATAATACTCTTTTCTACCATAATCTATAATATATAAAAATTGAGGCTATAAGCCTCTGAGAGCGTCCACATAGGATTTAAAAACACAATATTACTGGTCCATGTAAGCATCTCAATATTAGGAAAGTTTCCAAATTTTAAATAACCAATAATATCATTCCACATCATTATATAAAATAAGGTTTATTTGTTAAAATTAATTAATCATCTTTTTATATTTCAAGAAAGTTTCCTAATTCCAAAATAACCAATAGTATCATTCCACATCATCATATAAAATTGACTATCTTAATTTGATTAGTCTACATAAACATTTACGTGATTAAAAAGAAAATTTGATTTTTAAATATGTAAGATATAAGAAAATTAAGTATATATGATTTTAAACAACCAATAGTATCATTCCACATAATTACTAAAATTAAGTAATTATTTTCCTTTTTATATTTTAGAACAGTTTATTAATTAAATACTTTAGAAAATAAATAAAAGTATATATTTTCTAATTACAATAAAAAAAAACCTTTGTCATGTAAATTGGTCATATTAAATTTTAAAAAACTAATATTATTAGTACACATGAGCTTATTTAACACTAATATTTTTTTTGCTAAGACAAGAACAAAAGATATGAAACCAAAAAAGAACACATAGGAGGAATAAAGAAGATCATAACCGAAGATGAGTGAAAATAAATAAAAAATCAAATAAGAATAAAAAAGAAATCAAAGTAGGAAAAATTACAGAAGAATAAATTTACAAAAAAACATAGAAACAAGAGTGAAGAAGGCAATGAAACCAAACAAGAACACAAAGAAATAATAAACAAGAGCAAAGACAAAGGAAAGCGAAGCCCGAAGAAGAGCAGAAACGAAGATGAGTGAAGATAAATATGAAACCAAATAAGAACAAAAAAAAATCAAAGTAGGAAAAATTGAAGAGACTAAATAAATAAAATTTAAAAACATAGAAACAAGAGTGAGTGAAGAAGGAAATGAAAAACCACAATGTGTGTCGATTAGCTTTTCTTCAAATAAATTTTATACTCCTAGAAATCCAACATAAATATTAGTATTAGGTTATCTACAATATTATTAGTTTTTGTAGCTAAAATTGTTAGACGTACAATTTATTTTTGAAGGCTTAGCTAGATAGTGAAAAAATTTCTACCTAAGATTAAAGAGGTTAATATTAAACATATTTACAAAAAGTATAGTCATGGAGAATTTAAAGCGAAGAACAACTAATGCATAGAAGAAGAGGAAGTTGGAATAAACATACTCTGGAGAAACGCAGCATTTTCGATAGAAAATATGAATCATAGAAGAAATAGAAATAAGAACCAAGAAAAGCAAAGAAAAAAAGGTTGATGAAGAAAAGAAAAGACGAATAAAACAAAGAACGAAAATATAAATAAAAAAACCCACATAATATAAAGCTAAACCAAGAAACCAAATAAAAAGATGAACCAAAGAATATGAAAATTGAAAGCTATGCTTAACTATATCATTATGATCGCATAAACTGAATTATTTGTATTATTATTAGGCATTGGTCAGTATATGTCTAAATATATATTTGTATATCTCTAACTTAATTTTATTTCTATGAATCTTTTACATTTTTAAATTTGGTTTAGGGTATCAGATAGTAAAAAAATTATTTTACCTAATTAAATTAAAGATTTCTAAAAAGGATAAAATCGTGAAACAAATTCCAGCAGAAAATAATCTAGAAAAAAAATAACAAAAAAAAAGTAAAACTCTAGCAACTTCGACCGTCTGAACTAATCATAGAAGAAACATAAGAACAATAACCAAGACGAACACAAAGAATATGAAGAAAAAAAAAGTGAAGACAAGAATATCAAAGAACTAAGACAAAAAAAACAAAAGATGAACAAAGATGAAGAAATAGACCAAATAACGGAATAAGAAACCGCGAGAAGCCGAGAATGAATAAATATAAAAGGAATAAAGATGAAGAAGAAACCAAAATAAACAAAAAGAAACCAAATAAATAAGAATAGACCAAAGAAAAATAAACTAAGGACGAAAAATAAAAATATTGGTTCAATAGTCACCATGAACATGCTCTTGACGACAAAAGTTTAGGAATAAAAAATATTTAATCAAACTATTAAAATAGACCCGCGCGTGCGCGGATAAAAGACCTAGTTAACAAAGATAGTCGTCCATTGCTTATTGAAAACTATGATGCATATCCGTACGCAAATACCATAGATCCATATTTTTAGCTTAATTTGTTATAATTCCCTGTATACTAATTACTATATAGTTCAAGTGAGCATAATATATGTGTATAAATAAGCGCAAAGTCTTGTTAAATGCTCAGCCAATTCTCTTCAATACCCTTTTACGATAAGAATAATATGAGCAAGAAAAAGGAGACGAAGCTGAGCAAGTACATGAAGGCTCCCATAAAGATGGTGACCAAAGCAAGAGACTTGTACATACGAAGCATGAACCAACTGTCTTCCCATGACCTAGGCGGCATGTCTTTTGGGTTGCCGACGGCCTGCCACGTAAGCGCTCTTCCACGAAGTTTCAGCGCGAGCCACACCCACACACAAAGTTCCGCGAGAGACAAAGAGCATCGTCTGGCTGAGCTTGTAAGAACCGCATCAGCTAGGAATAGGACCGTTGATACGGGGCTTGGACCGTTGAAATTGCGGAAGGCTAATACTGTGAGAAGTTGTGATGGTCATGATCACCATGGGTTTGAGAGAATTGATGAGGCTAGTCCATTGATTAGTTTTGAGAGTAATCACAAGATGCTTCAAAAGAGTAAGAGTATCGGTGTTGCCAAATATACCTATGCTCTCCAATAAATCTTTTTCATGTGTTGCGGCTTCATCCGGATTTCGATTAAGAATATTTGGTATGTGTGATAGTAATTGTTATCTATTGTTGTAAAAGTGAAAAGGAAAAATGTAAATGTGGTTGTTTTGTTACATAAATGTTAAATCAAGATTTGAAGTTGTTTTTATTAATAGACTTACGTATTTTGTTGTATTTATAATATGTGACTGAGATATGAGAAATAAATAACAGGATATGCACATCACCAACTCAATAATTAAGAATGGACTGTCGATGTGATAGTTTGCTATTCATGTTGATTATTTAGGCTAGTATCGTTAATATTCACGTTATTATCCTTTCGCAATTTTCACGTTAATATACACACACACACACTGATGACACCCAGAGAGTCAAACTCAAAATGGAAAATCCCACTAATCATGCATTGAGACATGGACAAAAATCTACGACCAGTTATTTTTAGTTTTATTTTCGTCTTCCCCATGTTCACATTCACATATACAAGAACAAAACAAACGAACGATGATATTCGTTTTACCTCTTTCTATTTGATTTATCATTTGAACTTTTCTAATCAAGATTCAAGAGTAATGTAAAATGTAATTAACTAGAAAAGATTTCCACACCATTATATATGGAAAGTCCTTAAAACGAAATACCAAAAAGTCAAAACCAAATAAGAAAAATCACCAAGGCTCATCAGGATAATCGAACGGCACAGGTTGAAGAGGAGAAGTCTTGGTCAAATCAGAGTGCACGTACCCGTACACGCGCATCACCTGATTATCAGCGAAATTAAGGGCTCTGATCATCTCATCCGAACACGTGTCACCTTCATAGATCGGATTGTGGTCCCCACTGCAAGGCTGGCATCCCGTGAAATGCGTCACAAACGCTCGCCGGCGACTTCCTCTCCCTCCAAACTCGCCTTTCAAAAACCTCTCCTCCCTAAACGCACCGTATCGCTCGCTGACTTTCTCCGCGTGTCGTCTACGCAACGTGGCGTCCTCTCGCTCCATCTCCAGATACCGCTCCGTCACGTTAGCGAAATCCCCAACGACGCCGATCCAATACCCTTGGAAATAATACTCTGCTTCGAGGTATATCTTAGGGTAATACAGCTCTTTGTGTTTATACAGCAAATAAATCAAAGCCGTCTGATCATCCGACTCCGGAAACAGCTTATCTTTGAAGATAGACCGTTGGATCAGACCCCACTTGTGGTAATCGGGACTCACCGGTCCCATGCTCTTCCACGTGTCAATTAAATCCATTGACCACTGACAGTTCCTAATGAGGAAAACGCCGGCGTTTAACGCCGTCCAACTCTGTTTCTCGTAAATGATATTAGCCCAGCCGTGAACCACGAGGTTGTGATCACGGTAACGGTGAAGCGGCGGCGTGAATTCCATATCGGTGAAAATGGCGTCGGAATCAACCCACCAAATCCACTCCGCCTCCGGATGAGCAAGCATCGCCGCTTTCACCACCGGGAGTTTCGCCCAATACGAATTCATCTTCGGATGAAGGAGAGAGTTGCTGTAGAAGATGTCGTGGCCGTGGATTCGACAGTAATCGACTTTGTTTTTGAAGCATCGGAGCAGTAAATGATCTCCGATTGGGCTTTTACACGGCGTCGATTGTGAACCGGTAACCATCACGATCCGGTTTTCAGAACCGGGTTTGAACGACGGGTGCGATTCAAGCCATTGCTTCCGTTTCTCGTCCCAGCCTGTGATTGGTTTCTCGATGGAGTAGCTGAGATCCGGATCATCGTAAAAACCGGTATCGGGCGGGTCGAATCGCATGTCGAAACCGGAGCATTTGCTTGGTTCGCCATTTTTGCGTGAACCGGTGAGGGTGAAATTGGAGGAAGGTGAATAAACAGAGAAGTAAGACCAGACGAGAATCAGAGACATGAAAGCTCCGGCGAGGAAGATAATTCCATCTGACAAATAGACGGCGATTTTGGGTTTTGCGCCGCCGTGTTTTCCCATCGAGGATGATGACTGAAAATGAAAATGCTAAAACCTTGAAGCTGTAAGAAAATCTACAGTGTAGCGATGGCAAAAGTTAAGGAATTTCAGTAAAACTCTGAAAACTGTTGGATTGGTAAAGATATAACTTTTTCCGATTAAGGGTTTATTGGCTTAAATGTGAGGTGATTTAGTCAGCTGAATATGTGGTCAAAGAAGGATAAGTAAGATCATTTAAGACAATATTGGCAATTGGTTACAGAAATTAGTTTTTTTTTCTCGTAATGTTAGTTGACTAAGGTTATGTAAATAAAATAAAATCCAGAATCTAGATCTAAATCTCTGATTTCATAGTTATGGTATTATATCCTTCCATAGTTTAAGGCTATTGAAAAAATTATATACAGTATGATATTATATCATTTCATAATTTTAGGCTAATAAAAGCTAGATTCTGAATCTGCCAGTTCTAGAATAATGAACTTTTTATTCATGAATTTACTTCCATACAGTACAATTGTTTTGCTATTTCTACTAATAAAACATATGAAAAGGATAAGATCATTCAAAGACTCAATCAAGAAAATTAGTTTCTTAATTCATCATGTTATTTAGTGGGAAACAAATGATTCAATGTCATTTATAGTTAAAAAGGAAATGGTGATTTGGACCAACGTGTCTGTGTATGATTAGTCAGTAGTACGTGAGACTTCCACTTCCCACACATGCTTTGGGAACTGCAGATAATTAATTTCACACATGTTTTCAGTCAATCAGCATTTCAGGACTTTGGGTGTCCTTGTCGATTTTGAGATTTTATACATCAGGAGAAGAAATTGGTGTCAGTGCGTAAGATACAATCTTTATGGGCTAACATTTGCGTAAGATACAATATCTATGGGCCTTGTGTATTCGTAGGCCCATTTTAACAAAAAACAAATAAATTACGAAAACCTCAAGTGTTGATTCTTGATTCATCAAACCGTAACAGCAAGAAACTGCATGATATAACAAGATTTAGGGACCGTAAGCACAACATGACACCACTCAACCTTCCCACGTACCTCTTGTCCGTTGCGCTTTTCAAGCGCAATCTCAGCACACCAAATCTTCTTCTCTTCACCCACTTCTTTCTCCCCCAAAACCGCAATTTTCCCACCAGAATCTACCAAATAAACAAAAAGAGAACCGTGTAGTAATCTAGACAGCTTTTTCAAACCTTTCAGAACCAAAACTCTCCAAGATCTTCCCTCAAAGTGGTACCATTTGAACACTCCAGGCCATCGAAAACTGTACAAGACGTTATCTATCACGCAAGAAGAATCAAACAACCAACCCGAAGGAACCTTCATTACTTCTACCTCATCCCATCTCTTTTCCTTCGTCTTGTAAACCACGCAACGTTGACGACTCGTATACCCACTCAGGTAAAGCTTTCCTTCAATGGCTAAGTCTTGGTGTAACCAACTCTCGCGCATTTCCGCGTCAGGGCCTGTCAAATTCTCCCACTTTTGGGTTTGGGGATCGAAACACTCCATCCAGTTCGAGGAATCACATTTTCTGTTGCCTCCTACGACATATATTTTCCCATCAAGAACGCTCACACACGCGTCCTTGCGTGCCACCCGCATGCTTGGAGCTCTTTTCCATGTGTGAGACCGACAGTCCATGAGCAAGACTCTACGCGAAGGCTTACCATCGTCGAAATTGCCAACTCTGTAGATATTGCAACCAACTGCGGTTAAACCACACGAATCATTAAAAGGAGAATGACGAGTTGTGATTGAGACCAAAGCATTGTCACTTGACTTGTCTTTCTTCCTAATGCAGTTCATTAGTAATCCATATGGTCTAAAGCATGCACTGAACCATCTAGGGTTAGGGTTAGGGTTAGGGTTAGTGATTTTGGTCGGTCTCCTGCAGAGAGTAAACCAACGTGATGGGTTATGGTGGTCATCAGGCATAAATAAGCACACATAGAGACAGCTCTCGGTGCATCCTAAGAGGGTCCGGGTTTCGTAAAGCTCAAGCGAAGCAAGGAGATATCGGAATCTCTTGGAGACTAAGGAGAGGATCGGGTAGTACAATCTCGAGATGCGGGCTAAGCAGTTGAAAAGCAAGTCATTAGGAAGCATCAGAAACGTCATCGTTTCCGTAACCGGTAGCTTTGCTCCGTTCATGGCTGCTGTGAAAGAAAATAAGCAGATAGGGCAGAGAGTAAATCGTAATAAAAAAAAGCTAGAGAAAGAGCATAATAATTATACTTTATCTTGGAAGAGTATCCCGGGTTATCGGTAGATAAATTTGTAAAAAAAAAAAAAAAAAAAAAAAAAATCAGAAACCTTTGTTATTGTTTTATTGGTTTGGTGATTTTCAGAGTCAATACAAAATCAGTTATTATTTTAAAAGTTTGTGTTTTAATGATCTCATGAATTTATTAAAATCCTTGTTATTGAGATATGAATTTTAAATAATTTTAAAAATGGAACAAGATTTCCAAAATACTACCAATAATCATTAAATTTTCAGAATCCATTATAACAAAATATTTTGATGGATTTTCTGAATATACAAACTCTCTCCAAATCTAAAATAATCTCTTTATAAATTTAACAAATCTCTCAACTTTAAAATTTTATCAACTCTACATAGATTCATCTCCCAATAACCTCCCCTAAATCTCTTAACTATATTTTTTTATTTTCTTTATTAGTTAATTGAGGATAGTGCCTTTATTGTTAGTAATAATTGATTTCTATATGCTTTGGAAAATGATAACTACAAACTTCTTGTATCACTAATAATCCGATTTAATGGTTTCGATACGTTTAGTTTTCAGTATCATGACCAAAACTATATAAAACCAGCTATAATTTGGTTTGGTGCTTGCTACTAGCCTACTACACAGAGAGGTTTAAATTTAAACCATTATCGATTTAACAACGGATGCGGAAGCGATTAAGATTACACTATAAGGGGATAAACTCATAGACTCATAGCATTCTTTCTACAAGCAGTGGAAATTAATATTGAAAAGAAAATGATACACTTCCATATGTTTGGGCTCATGTGTTTGCTTTTTTTTCATCAAACCGTAACAGCCAAAACCTGCAAGAAAGTAGATGACCTAGGGACCGTAAGCACAACATCACACCACAAAACCTTCCCATGTATCTCATGCTCGTTGCGTCTTTCAAGCGAAATCTCAGCACACAAGATCTGCGTCTCCCACAAAACCGCAGCCCACCAGATCTTCTTCTTATCCTCAATACGCACATCTTTCTCCCACAAAACCGCAATCTTTCCACCATAACCCACCAATCTAACACTTCTATAACCCGCTGGTAAATCAGGCAGTTTTCTCAAACCCTTCACAGCTCTCCAACATCTTCCCTCAGACTCGTACCATACGAGCTTATTCAACAATCCACGACCATAAAAGTCCATGACATTGACGCCGTACAAGACGTTATCTATCACGCAAGCACAATCAGGAAGCCAACCGCGTAGCTTTTCGTCAGGGTCTGCCACATCCTCCCACATTTGGGTTTTGGGATCGAAACATTCTATCAAATCCGAGGAATCGATATCTTTGGAGCTGTCCACATATATTTTCCCACCAAAAACTCTCACTCGAGGGCACTTGCGTGCCACACGCATGCTTGGAGCTTTGTGCCACGTGCGAGACCGACAATCCATGACGAAGACCCTAGACGAGGGCAAACCATTCTTGTCCTCTCCGCCAATCTTGTAGATATTATAACCAACTGCGATTAGAGACCACGGTCCCCACAAAGGCAGAGAAGGAGATTTCCGAGTTTGGATTGAGACCAACGCATTGTCGTGTGACTTCTTGTCTTTCTTCTTCATAGTGCGATCCATTAGGGCTCTATATGGTGCAAAGCAAGAAGTGAACCTAGGGTTAGGGTTAGGCTTAGTGATTTGACTCGGTCTCCGGCAGAGAGTGAACCAACGCACCGGGCTTATGTCTTGAGGGAATTGCAAACACACATAAAGACAAGTCTCGTCGCAACCTAAGAGCGTTCGAGTTTTGAAAAGCTCAAGCGAAGCAAGGAGCGAACGGAATCTCTTGGAAACCAAAGCGAGAGTCGGGGTGATACAATCTGGAGACTACTGCTAAACAAGCTAAAAGCAAGTCATCATGAAGCATAAGAATGTTCATCGTTTTCGTAACCGGTGGCTTTTCTCCGTTCATGGCTGTACAAACCAACGCTAGCCAAAAACGCCAAAGAGCCCTTTAATAAACAAAAATATTGAGACTTTAATTACTTTCCTTTTATATTTACGAACAATATGGATATTTCCTAAAATCCAATGTGTTCGTAGTGATTTCCATTTTATATATTTTTTTCCATTAATAATCTTGATTACACAGAAAGACCTTTACACAATCCAAGTTTTTTACGAAGCTACAAACAAGACTCAAAAACATCAAATCCTCCATCGTCTTTAATCTTCAATCTCCAAATCCTTCATTAGCATCCTTCAATGTCTCTCCACTTAAGATACACAAGCCCTGCTCTATAATGCGTAAACGCACCAGCAACCACAAGAACATGAAACAGCTGATGGCTATGTCCAGCTATATCAAACTTCCCAGGCATCCATCGCTCCGGAATCCTAGTCGCATAAACCAAAGCTCCTAAACCGTAAAGCACACCCATCAAGATCTCATAACCGGTCGTGTGAAGCGCTTCAGGCTGATCCCAAAATATGATCAGCTTGTGAAGAATCGGAGCCAAGCCAGAGAATCCCATCCCGAAAAACAGAGAGGCCCTCACGACTCGAAACTGAGGGGTTTGGAACACCGGGAGGAGCGAGACGAGCACCGTGGCGATTCCCAAGATCGTTATGAAGCCTAAGTAGAGGTTGCAGAAGAAAGGATAACACATGAATGAGTAGTACACCGGAGGGTAGAAGGAAGTAGCGATCAGAGCTGCGATTCCAGCGTAGTCTAGCCTGAGCATTATGTAGGAGACTCTCTCCGAGTGACATGAGAGGAGGTGGCAAGTGCTGCTCGCTAGCAAACAGAACATTGCTCCGCCGAGAAACGCGTAGAACGGCCATCGAGTGATTGGCCTGAAGATCAAAGGAGCTATTAGGTTTGCAAGATCTTCCCTCACCGAATGCTGCAAAAAAGGTAAAAACTTTGAGGACATTTTGAAACAGAAATGAGCTTGAAAGATAAGCAGAAAGGTTGAGACTTTTTTACCAGAACACACATGTCAGTGTAGTTGCCATGAGAGAATCTCTCAGGGAGACAGTTGTAAAGAAGGTCCATTACATGCCAGCTAGATGGACTAGAAGGAAGACGAGACATGAGCTCAGAGTGAAGCTTGTGGAGATCTGTTTTCCTCAAGACGTCAGGTAAACGGTGTTGAAGAGAGTGAAGATCAACGCCGCCTGGTACTTTTGTAGCTGTGTATATGGTGAGTGCAAGAAACAGGAAAAACCCAATCAAGTGCCTGCAAGATTCCCAAAACAGATTTTTAAAGTTTCTTGGTTTTGACAAGTGGAGGGAATCAAGAAAGCTTTTTGATATGCTTACGTCCAAACATTCAAGGTCTCGTTGTGGATGGTGAAGATGCTGAGAAGGATTTGTTTGATTGGCCATTCGGATCTGTAATGGCCAATGATGTATTCGTTGTCTCTTAAGTAAGCAGGCAATGAATGATACTCCACCAATTGGTATTTGACTTTCTGCCATAGTCTCTTCCCTTTCACGTTCTGCTTCTTCTCCATTGTTGTTTCAGATGAAGAGGATTTTGGTTTTAAATGTTCCTTGATCTCTTCCTCACCACCCATTTTCTCTATTCCAACAACCAAACCATCATAGATCATATCAATATCAAATAGATCTGATTAAACTTAACTCAATATGAATCAAAAGTCTCAAGATTTATGCTAAAGTTTGGATTTTTTTTCTGAAAAAATGAACATTTCCGAAGATATTGGAGCAGAGAGATCGATTCAGCTTACGTCAATAATACAGAAACAATCTAAACGCGACGGAATTACGTCAAATTAAGCTTAAATCTATGGGCTTTGAGGAAATTTTGAATGGAAGAAGAAAATTACCTGAATTTCGATGGAAAAGCAGAGAAATGAAACGAACTCAGATGGGTGTTCTTCGGATCTGACCTCTGTGAGTATTAACAATGAGAGACGAACAAATTTTAGATATTTTGATCGATTTCGTGAAAATAAAGGAAATTTGGCGAGAAAGGGTGAGAATTTATTTACCTCGATCTTCAATGCCGACGAGAAAAATCTCAAGATCTTTTAAAAAATCTTTAGAATCAACTCTCGAGGAAGAGAGAGAGAGAGAGAGAGAGAGGGAGAGGATATGAAAGTCAAATCAAAATAGATCTTGAGGTTTGGTATGTCAAAAACAGAGAGAGTTCCTGTTTTTTTGGTATGACTATGGAGAAAGAAGGAAGAAAAAAGAAGCCGACGATGGAGGAGGCTTTGAAGCCACAAGCTTTGCGATTTTTATATTTTTATATAATTTCAAAATTGGGACCACAAGTATAGTTTGCGTATTACGGTGGGACCCCTTTCCTTTTTCGTAATTTTATTTTGGCCGAAGAATTTAAGAATTTATAACGTTTTGTCGTACGAGGAATATGGGCAACATCAAATTCGATTATACATGCACAATACAAAAGTTTTACCGTGTTGTTGGAAATGTAAATTTACTAGAACTGAGAAGATATTTTTTTGATACAGGAAACAAAGAACGAAGAATTATTAGATGTAAAATGATCCCTGCGAAATCTAATAGTAGTGCAAAATAAATTGATTATTAATGCAACATAACATACATGAAGACAAATATTGATGAAGTAGGAAGATGGGCTCCATGGATTCTTCACATTAAATGATTGGTGAAAAGAAAAATTACTATTGCTGCTGATTGCACTGGAACATGTTAATCATTTTTTGTACTACAAGGTAGAGATATATGTCTATTTAAGGTATTTGATTTTGAATTTTTGATTGGTTTTAGACTTTGTGTTTATAAGTTCTGGAAACAAAATTCCAAAATCCAGAGGATGATTTTTTTGGTTTTGACTCGGTTTTGGTTACGAATTTCTCATATAAATCAAGAATCACAAATAGTAAATATTAAAGTGAACTTTTGATCAAACAAAGAAGAAGAAAAACACAAATAGTAAAGTGAATTGTCTATAAATGTCTGGTGGCATAAATGAAAGACGTAACATGTGTTACATGTCGCAATCAATAGGATGAAATATCTACCGTGTGAACGAGTGAGTATCTTTGGGCGTCTCGTGGGAATATTATTTTTTACGTGATTCGGATAACCGGGAGATATTCGTTTTTTCTTTGGCTTGTTATTTTACACCTTTTGAGTTTTATGTCTTTACGTAATCCCAATTTTTTTATACACATAAAAAAACGATTCTGGCGAACGTTTGTAATTTGACACGCTTTGTCAACACTATCAATTGTCAGTATGCTAATTTACTTGCCAACGAAACTAATATGCTATGTAACCAAAATCATTGGATATAATATTATATCAAAATCAATTCTGTGATGTAAGATTGAAATAAATAACAATTTAGAAGACTCTAGAGACCTAATCTGAAAATTCATCAGATTATTCTAATCGAAGTTGGTCGTGCATATAATTTCTACGTAAATCGAAGTTGCTCTTGCATATAACGATGGTGATGCTTAAATGGGTTCGGGCCGATATATCATATATGCTTAAAAGCCCACCTTCGAATTTTGAACCGGGAGAGAATGACCAGACCGGTTAAATCAACTTTCCTTCAATATATTGACCAAACCGAACAACGTTGACTCCACGTGGACGATCAAACTCTGACAACCAGACATTCAAAGAAGAAGAAGAGGAAAGAAGGTTGAAAATTAAAAATTAAATAAAAACCCTACTGACGGTGGGTCCCACTACAATAACTGCCGCCGCCGTCGTTGATTATAGTCCGCCGTCTCCCTGCCGGTTAAAGTAACAAATTTTGGAATCGAGTTTGAAAATTCTCTCAACGAAGTTCAAAGATGATGGAGCGAGGAGCTTTGGTGAATTCTGCTTCTTCTTCAAACTGCTATGCTCCTTTCCAATTTCGCCAAACAAGGAAAGATTTTTCCTCATTCAGGCCGACAACCAAGCTAATCCCTACTCAATTCCGGTTTAGCTGTCCATGGTTAAAGCCGGCTGCTTCTGTGTCTTCTCGGGCGGAGACGGCGGCAGCTAAATGCAATTTGTTTGACTACGCGGCGAGCTCAGGCAGCGATGTGGAAGCTGAGCATCCGGTGGACGACATTGAGTTTGTTCGTTGGTTCCGTGAAGCTTGGCCTTATCTGTGGGCCCACCGTGGCTGCACATTCGTCGTTATCATCTCCGGCGAGATACTTTCCGGCAATTACTGTGATCCCATTTTGAAGGCATAGTTTTTTCTCCACTCTCTTTATACTTTTCTCTTTGTGCTTGAGTTATGAAAAAGAAGCACGCAACATGTTCGACTGTTTGTCTCAGAGAAAGATGTTAATTAGCTTTTAAGAAATTTGCTCCTCTAATGGTGTCCAAATTTAGAACCTTCAGAGTTTTTCATAATCATAGGTCGTCATCATTTGCTACGTTAACATCTTTTCATTGCAATGTGCTTCAGTTTTCGCTTTTCATTTTGAATAGAATGTTGAGGTAATGTGATTTGTATGTGCAGGACATAGCGTTTCTTCATCATCTGGGGATAAGATTTGTTCTAGTTCCTGGAACTCAAGAGCAAATCGACCAGCTTCTATCTGAGAGAGGACGTGAAGCTACATATGTCGGACGTTACAGAGTGACGGATGCAGCATCTTTGCAGGCTGCCAAGGAAGCTGCAGGAGCTATATCAGTGATGCTTGAGGCAAAACTATCTCCAGGACCTTCAATTTGCAATATCCGTAGGCATGGTGATAGTAGTCGTTTACATGATATAGGTGTCAGGGTCGATACCGGCAACTTCTTTGCAGCAAAAGTGAGCTTTTCTACTGTCTTGATTTGTTCATACAACCTTTGTGTATCAGAAGATTCTCAATGTCACATTTGTGCTGCAGAGACGAGGTGTTGTTGATGGTGTTGATTTTGGAGCGACAGGTGAAGTGAAGAAGATAGATGTAGAACGGATTTGTGAGAGGCTTGACGGTGGTTCTGTAGTTTTGTTGAGGAACTTAGGCCACTCAAGCTCCGGAGAAGTCTTAAATTGCAAGTAAGAAGAGTGCTTCCATTAACTCTTTAAAAGATAATGAATTTTGGCTCACTCTACTTTACTTCTGCAGTACCTATGAAGTTGCTACAGCTTGTGCATTAGCTATAGGAGCAGATAAGGTTATTTGCATAATGGACGGTCCAATTCTTGACGAGAGTGGACATCTTATTCGTTTCTTGACACTTCCGGAAGCAGATATGTTAGTGAGAAAACGGGCACAGCAAAGCGACATTGCTGCTAACTACGTGAAAGCTGTTGGAGATGGAAGTGTTTCTTATCCGGAACCTCCTAACAACACCAACGGTAAGATTACTTCTCCTCCTCATAACGGGAGAGGAGCTGCATTTTGGGGAAACGGAAACGGAAACGGAAAGCACACTCCAATCTTTCAGAACGGTGTTGGATTCGACAACGGGAATGGATTGTGGTCTGGTGAGCAAGGTTTTGCTATTGGTGGTGAGGAAAGACTAAGCCGCTTAAACGGTTATCTCTCTGAATTGGCTGCTGCCGCGTTCGTCTGCAGAGTGAGTGTTCTCTGAAACCTTAGTCTTGGCTCTATTCGTCACGAATATAACTGAAACCGTTTGCTTTTCCTTTCCTTGAAGGGTGGAGTCAAAAGAGTTCACTTGTTGGATGGTACTATAAGTGGAGTTCTATTGTTGGAGCTTTTCAAAAGAGATGGAATGGGAACTATGGTTGCTAGGTATCTGCATTCTTTGTCTTCTCTCGGTTAGCATCTCGGTTTATCTATCGTTCTTACAATTCTGTATTGACCGTTATGTGTAGTGATGTATACGAAGGAACAAGAGATTCCAAAGTGGAAGATCTTGCAGGAATTAGACATATAATCAAGCCATTGGAAGAATCTGGCATTTTGGTTCGCAGAACTGATGAGGAGGTTCAAGCCTTACACTATCTCTCCACATTCCATTGTTTCCATTGGTTTAAGACTTCTTAAAAGATTTGATCTTTGAGTGCAGTTACTGCGAGCTTTGGACTCTTTTGTGGTTGTGGAAAGAGAAGGCCAGATCATCGCTTGTGCAGCTCTGTTTCCGTTCTTCGAAGAGAAATGCGGAGAAGTTGCTGCAATCGCAGTTGCATCAGATTGTCGAGGTCAAGGCCAAGGCGATAAACTGCTCGGTAAGTAAATACCAAATCCACTCTCAAGACATCTGTGTTTAAGTTTGCTATGAACTAGATGCCAACACAATTCTGGCTTTGCAGATTACATAGAGAAGAAAGCTTCGTCTCTGGGATTAGAGAGGCTGTTTCTGCTAACAACGCGAACTGCAGATTGGTTTGTGAGACGAGGGTTTCAAGAATGTTCAATCGAGATGATACCAGAGAGCAGAAGACAAAGAATCAATCTCTCTAGAAGATCAAAGTATTACATTAAGAAGTTACTTCCTGATAGGAGTGGCATTTCAGTTTCCAGAATGTAAAATGAAGAAGAAGATGACACAACAAGCAACAAGCAAAAAACAGAGCAGCCACATTGTTAAAACTTTCAAATTGATCTCTTTTGAGCACAGAGAATATGGAAAAACATATTATTTGATTCATAATCTCAGAAAATTTCGTTCTTTTTAAAATCATTCCAAAGCTACTGTAGCACCTACCGCTTTGAGCTTCTCCATGATCTTCTCAGCTTCTTCCTTGGTGAGACCTTTCTTCACAACGCATGGAGCTTTCTCAACCAATTCCTTGGCTTCTTTCAATCCCAGCTCCGTGAAAGCTCTGATCTCTTTAATAACTTTGATCTTCGAAGCCGCTTCGAATTTCTCCAGCTTCACATCGAACGCCGTCTTTTCAGCCGTTTTGGTCTCCGCAGAGCCGGATGCGTCTGCATCGCCGCCGGATCCCGCGGCGACGGATACGGCGGAGCCGTAGCGATTGAGGCCGATTTTGTGGCTGAAGAGGATTGAGTAATCGTAAAGCTCGATTCGGTTCAGTTTGAGGAGATCGTCGGCGATCCGCTCGAGCTTCTTCGTCCGAGCCTCAGGAGAAGCGGTGGCGCATAGATGGCGAGTACCGGATGATAGAGGTGTCGTACGGTGGAGGAAACCGATTGATCTCGACAGGACTCTGGAGATCGGAGCACGCATTTTCGCCGGTGAGGAGGTTTTTGCTAGGGTTCACGCCGTCCGTTCGATTTCATTTCGTTTGCCGTTACACTTTTTGGCTCCTAAAATGGGATGGGCTTATTAAGGCCCATTTAGTGAGGCCCATAGAGAAAACAACATGATTGAATAAAAAGGGACCACACACAACAGACCAAACCGAACCACTTGAAAAAGCTGAAAACTATTGCAAGTCGTATTTTGCTGTTTGAACTTGACGTTAAACTGACAAACAAATAGTTTACGTTTTTTAAGAATTAGTGACATGAAGTTCTCAGTGAAATTATCTTCTGGTCACAAAATAAATTAAAAGCCAATTCTTTCTATAACTTTACAAAGTTCATTTCTCTTAACTTGATGATAAAAAAAATGAGATAATTCATTTGATTCTCTCTGTATATAGTTTAGGTTTGTGTTTCATAACACATTCAAGTTATTGCTGACTCACAGTATCAACAAACTGAAATACTTTAAAACGACCAAACGACCATTAAATTAAGTAACTAAACTTTACTACATAGGATTAATTGATATATTCCCTATGAATATAGGCATCTTCTAGTTAGATGTGTGTAGTGGTCAAGTCGTGGTACAAAGGGACCCAACAAAGTTTTGATTCCAGTTAAAGCAAAAATGGGCTAACCAATAAATTTTAAATTGTGTTAATTTGCTTTTGTATGACTTTATAAACAAGAAAACAGACCAAAAGAAGCTAGATTTTTAAAAAGATTAGCTTAAAAAGCGAAGCTAAAGATCGTACCGATAATAACATGGGGGAGGCAAAAGCCTTCATCAAAAGATGCAGGGAGGGAGAGGAGTTGTAGTGAAACCAGCCACATATCTCAAAAGCAGCTCCCACTACTTTTTTTCACATTTTTATTTTTAGTTAATATTCGAAAAAGCTATATATGTAAACGTTGGAATCAATGGCTTAACTATTTATTTCAATTATTTACTTTTTATGGGCTGTTTTCTAAATAAAAACATGATGGGTAAGGGGGGCCATGAACATTCTTAGGTATATGCATGTGTATTCCATTGAAGACATAATATATGTATACATAAACATATATAAGAGTGGGTGAATCAAGTAAAAGACTGGTCCCTTTATCGCTTTTATAAAAAGCAAAAGTTGAAAGATGCATTATTAAAAAGGCAAAATAAATCAATGGCGTACACTTCACAAGAACGACAAATGAATAAGTATCATGCTGTAAGTAATTAATCGTCGTGTATAAAACGTTGAATTTGTTTTTTTTGTTACAATAGATACCATGAGAATGTGAAACCGTAAAAACAAAATTTTCCGTGATGTAAGTGTTGCCTAACCGGTAAATTACTTGAATTGCCTGTAAATATATTTAGATGCCATCGAAATTTCAGTGTTACAAGTTTCTCTATGTTTATGAATGAGCAATGTATGTTACTACATTTTCAGAAGCATGGAGGCGACTAGAACAGCAGCATTCAGGAGATTCCTTAACCAAAGCATATATCTGTCCTAAGATTCTCTTATATATACAAGAACCAGATTAATAGCAGTAGTGATTAGTGAACCACAATCAAAATGCTTTTATATTAAAAACATAGAGGAATCATATGCCTCAGTTAGTTATATTTCTTGTTGAATTAGAAGAGTTAATCGTAGTCTTATTCATTTGTATCTATAATTTCCTACACCCATGACCAACTGTCTATATTCCAGCTAATCGATCATCCAATGTAACAGTAACCAAATTATATCAAATGCTCACATATAGAGGAGTAACCAAGTTTTGATTTAGAGCTTCTTGAGTATGAAAAAATAAGAACTTCATTAAAGAAGGAAAATAAAACCCTATTCTTTTGCATAAACCAAAGTAATCACAAATTTAATTCCAAAACATATAAGAAATAAATATCAAAACAAAACAAAAAATCTCCATGACCATAATTTAATTAGTCCTATTCAAAAGCAAATTTCAAATTATGAACGTACGCATCATCATCATATCGCTAACTCTCAATCTCAAAACCCATCATCAAGCTTCACCACACGAGTGAAATCATCTCAGCAAAATGCGCGCGTGCCAATATATTAAAAGCAACAAAAGAAAAAAACCCTTTCACGTTGGCCTCCACGCACTAGCCCAAACCACCGGCTGATCTCTCCAACAAAGGAATATTCCGGCAGCATCAGAACACTGTACCATCGACCAAACACCTTCTTTATATCTCCTCAACAAAGCTCTGACGTCATCCGCCACCTCGTCACTATACCCCACCGCCCCAAACCCACCGTTCCTCATCCTCCTCGACCATTTCCTCGCCGTCTCTCTCCTCTCCGTCGAGTCCGACGGCTTACAAGCCACCAAATCAACGATCGCACGTCCCGCCGTACGCTCTAGCATCAACCTCTCGTTGCTCGTCCTCGGAAAACTCTCTTCCAACGACTCGAAGCAAACCCTAAACCAACGCAAACACTCTCCAAACGATCTCAAGAACTCATCATCAAAGCCTTCTTCTTCACCAACAAGATCAGCTTCTTCTTCCACGACCGTCACAATCCTCGGTCTTAACCGTCGGAAATTCGATATCACAGCGTCTCTAGGGTTTCCTCGAGACGCGATCCCATGCATCGCGCCGACGCAGTTGATGGCCAAGACTTCGTCCGGTTTAACATCGAGCTCGTTGAGATCAAACTCAGATAAATCTCCAACGTGATGGATAATGCTGAATTTAAAAGGCACTCCCATGAGCCTAGCGAATTTCTCCATGCGGTTTCCAATCTCTTTCATCATCCGATGCGACGCCGTTTGATCGTTGACGAATTTGTTAGCGACCACTACTGTGGTTAGCCTGAGGTGTGGCGTGTCGTCTGATCTGGTGGCTAAAGCTTCTAGTAGAGTCGGCCATTGAGTGCAAAACGTGGAGCTTATGTCAACGATATGGATCTTTGCCTCTCCGTCTACTGCTTCCAAGATCGCTCCGTTAGCCGCCACGTGTCCAAACGTGGCCCAGGGGCTAACTTCTTGGAACTTGAGCACGGTCTTGCGCGTTGACTCGAAGGAGCAAGTCTTCTCGGTGGCTGCAGCGGTTACCATGGTTCGGTAGCATCGTTCTCCTGAACCGGTCATGCGGTTGAAGAGAGCTTGGAGGAAGTAGGAAGCGAGTTTTTGCTCGGTGTCTCCGTATGGAGAAGAGAGCTCGTTGAGCGTCCATAGGATTTGTTGCGCACGTGTGGTGTCTTTGTCGGAGAAGGCACGTGCGGCTTCGAGGAGGATCGAGTCAGCCCACTTGGCATTGGCAGAGAAGTCGAAGGACGGAGGAGTTTGAGGGATGGAGAAAGCGGATGGATCGTGGTGGTGGCCGGAGGAAGAGTAAGGAGAGGCTAATGCGGCCGTGGAGGCAGCAGCGGCGGAGGAAGGTGTTGAAGACGTGGCGGGATGGTATTGGGTGGGGGTAGTGAAAGGAGAGTAGTAGGTGCTGTGGTGATGGTTGTGGTGAGAAGAAGAAGAGGAAAGGTCTTCTTCATCCATGAAAAAGTTGAAGCATTCTTCGGCGACGTCGTTTTGTGGAAAGTTGTTGTGATTGTAGTGATAAGCAGTTTGTGGAGAGCCAGTAGTGGTGGTGGAGGTTCTGCTTAACGAAGATTGATTTGTAATGATACTATCGGATTGTTGTTGTTGTTGGAGACTGACTAGTCTAAAGAGAGTATCCATCTTCTTTTTTCTTCTTTAATAGTATGAATAAGAAAATGAATAGAGGACAGAGAGAAAGAGAGAGAGATGGGAGACCCACAATATCTAAGATTTAATACTTTGTTGTGTATATTGCATCAGCATCATGTGTTGTTGTATATATATTTTTCTGCTTTTGTGTCTCGGTGGGAGTGGGTGAATCTTGATGAAGATGAGTTGTAGAGAATATGGGTTTAGTGGATCTTGAGTTTTTATATTACTCCCATGTTTATAGTAATCTAAAGAAAGAATGTAGCACGAAAAGTTGTATCGAATTGTTGTCCCATGTTTATCTTTTGGACTTAACGGATTGTTTGAATCTAATTGGGTTTAGTGAGAACATAATTAGGGAGAGAAGAAACTGCTTTTTTTTTAAACAACACTCTTTTTCTCTTTTTGGCTAATCAAGAATGTTTTTTGTTTTTACTATAGCCTTAACTGATTCTTAATAAAATTTTGGACAGAATGATCAAAATATTTAGCACTTTTTTTTGTTAGGAAAATGTTACTTTCCGTACCCAAGTTTCAATCAGTAGAAAAAGGTAATTTCCATGAAAAAATAATAAAACGTGAATATTATTCTTTTCTACGATTAACCACTTTCCAAATGTGATCACGAATTATAAAGTCTAGCTTATATGAATAATTTACTTACAATGGATTAGTTAAGATAGTTTGGAGGTTTCATTGATTAGTAAAAAGGTCCTGACAAAAGAAAACGAGAAGAAGAAAAAGATAAGAAGGTCGATATCATGTAATGGCTTAGTGGGTTTCGCTTTTCCTTCTTTTTTCGCATCGATCCACCCGAGTAGCCTTCCTTTTATTTCTTCTTCGAATTTTCTTTATTGTGTCTATGAATCTGTGTTTTTATGGGACACCTAGAAATTGAAAACGACATACATGTTCTCTACTTATATTACATGGTGTAAAAATTCCAAAAAAGCCGTATAAAATACGCTGTTTGTTTATATATAGGCCAAATACATGAAACCAAAGTTTCTCAAGTACGATCCTAACTCCTAAGTGGTGTAAAATAAAAAAGACTCTTTATACATCCTAAATCAACAGACAAAAAAAAGTTAGAAAGTGTCATATACTAATACCAATTCTAACACCAAAATCATTAGAAACAAAAAATTAAAGTAAAAAGACAATCCGCGACTACATTACCGATCGATGTCGAGAGTGTGACTCATAACAGCACTATTTTATCCATCAGAATTTAATCTATTTCGATATGCGTTTGCATACTAGTTTCACACTGTAGTAGTGCTATTGTTGTCGGAGACAATATTTTTTCTAAGAACGTTATAAATTCTTGGCTTTGATCAGATAACTTTCATCAAGTATCTCTTATTAAGTTACACCTAACAAGAACTACCTGTTTTTAATACTAAAAAAAAAAAGTGATCAGGATAGTTTTTCATACAAACCACATGCTATCTAATACTCCCACAATGAAATAGTTTTTTCCGGGGTTTCACGAACATTTCGTATCATACCTATACGATATCTTGTTATACATGACATATATACATACATTGGCCACCGTTTGCAACTTTACATAGAGACATGTGAAATTGTGAATATATTTGTAAAATATGTATATATAGAGAGAGAGAGGGAATGTTTATAGGTGTGAGTGAGTGGGAGCAGGCGTGAAGAAAAGCTGACGGCGTGCATCAACATCATCAAAGCTCCACATTTGCTTTGCCTCCTAACCTCTCTCCATTCTCTGCCACCATTTTTCCTTTTTCTCTCTTCTTCTTCATTTATACTCTCTTTACTATTTTAGATTTTCTCATTCATTCATTCATAATTTTATTTCATTTTTTTTCACATTAACCCGTAAGATACCAACCCATGTGTCATAGCTATTCCCTTATATAAACAGCAAGGTGTAATTATTATATCAGAAATCTAGGGCATGCTTGTTTGTTTTATTCGTCTCCAATCCTCCTATACATATTGTTTTAATTAAAACACTCTCCACTAAGCCATACTACCATTTTTGTATAGAGTCTATATATACCTTTCATAGTCTTCTCTTTGAATTTCCCACCTGGAGATTAATCATTCTCTACCCTTATTTAGCTTTGTTACTTTTTTGTTCATTTTATCCATATGTCTATTGGGTTATGTATATGCGAACCCCTAATTAACCAACGGCACTTAATGCATAGGCTCATCATGATTTTCTCTTTTGTCTCGATACAAAGTATTCTTGCCTTAGCCTACCCCGAGTTCAAGAACCCTTTGTGTTAAATTTCGTCTAAAATCCCAGGCCTACTCTCAACATTGGATTTTAATCATTTGAGTTACACGTACTACAACAAATTAAAGGAATCATAATCATAATATGTCGTCATGTTAATATCACAGACCAATTCATGAACAAAGCGATCAAATAGATTATTGCCTAGTCTACATGACTCTACACACAATGCAGTAGATAGACATACCTCTCATGAGTCATCACGATCTCTCGTAGATCAAGTTCTCTTGAGTTTCTTCCACAATTATTAGAAGGAACCCCACGCTCTGCATCTTTGTCCCTTTCTACGAAACCTTTCGAGTTTTGCAATTGATCAGCTTCCTACATGATTTCTCGAAATTTGTTCTTACATTCTAGGAAAAGTCCCATCTTCATTTTTTTAAGAATATATGATTTTTTTTTTCATATTCAGTCTGCATCATTTCGGTTATACAACGCACCACTGTGAATTATATCCTGCAGGTCATTTTTTGTCCATATATATGCACTAACAAATTTTATTTTTTATTTTCTTATAAGCTACGTTATATTGGGACAAAACATCGTTCCATGGTTAATGCGTACATCTCTGATTTTTAGAGGTTTAGCTCGAGAGTCCAGACTCATGGATCCGTTATTTTTTTCTCTCTTTTGGTTGGGACATTATGGGTTGGATTCTTTTTCGTACAACGAGACGAATATTTTTGTGATTATTGTTCAATTAGCCATAGACAAAAAAAGCCTGTAGGTCTCCCATCAATCACATAAAAGTAAAAAAAGGACTAACAATTTCGTACAAAAATCTATATCGGAACATTATAGAACAAATGATGCTGAAAAAGATCACACATTATTAAGACCATCTCAATCAAACCAACTAAAACTAATAATTTTGACATGACCATTATTTTTTGTTCAAATTAAATTTGACTATTCCCACTACAAACAGTGACACCGAGTAAAGTTTTTCCAAAACTGTACGGTTTTGTAACGAATATATTAAGCCCAACTAATAGTTAGGCCCAAAGCTCAATAACTATAAGGAAGATCTCGACAACCTCAAAAACGATACCGTCTCATTCAAATTCCGCTCACTTATATAAAAGCAAGATCCTTCTCGCTGAAACCCTAAACGGAGAGGAGAGAAGATAAGTTAAGCAGCCGGCGGAAGGAAGAAGATGAAGTTTAATCCAAGAGTGACCTCGTCGCGAAGGAAGAACCGTAAGGCGCATTTCACAGCGCCGTCGAGTGAGAGAAGAGTGATAATGAGCGCACCGCTCTCCGCGGAACTACGTCAAAAGTACAACGTCCGATCGATTCCGGTGAGAAAAGACGACGAGGTACAGGTGGTTCGCGGATCTTTCAAAGGACGTGAGGGCAAGATCGTGCAAGTGTACCGTCGGAAATGGGTGATCCACGTGGATAAAATCACGAGAGAGAAAGTTAACGGAACGACGGTGAACGTTGGTGTGAATGCGTCGAAGGTTGTGATCACGAAACTGAAACTTGACAAGGATCGTAAGTCGTTGCTTGAGAGGAAAGCGAAGGGACGTGATGTTGCTGATAAGGAGAAAGGAACGAAGTTTACGTCTGAAGATGTCATGCAGAATGTTGATTAATGGCAACAAGATTTTATTCATCTGTGAGTTTGTCATTTTTTATTTGGTTTAATATCTGAATTGAACTATTTTGTTCTTGGGCTGATAAATTTCGATTTTTTAGTTTTATTAAGAATTATCTTAATTGTTTGGTGATGAATTGGTGGAATATGATGATTTAGAACATGGATTTGAGTAAGGTTTTGAGTTGATGATAGTAATGAAATTAACCTTCACGATTGTGTAATAGTTTATGATAAGAAAATCATGAAATGTCATAGGCTGCGTAACGAAGATACTCTCACATTTTTCACGGTGAAATTTTCGAAGTTACTGTCACAATGAGTAGAGATGTGTAAATGTGAAGTTCACAAACTGAGATAATGAAGTATTAGGCTATAATCATCTTGAAAATGTTCGTCAAATGTACAATCAGAAAGCTACTTTTCGTTCAAAGCCCACATCAGAAATACGCATCTCAAAGCCCAAATCCTTATACCAACCTTTATTAAAGATACTAAGCTAATAATTTAATTGGAAAAGAATAAAAAAAGACAGTCATCAGTCATCACGACTCACGAACATAAGCAATCAGTGGTTGCCACTTGCCAAACAGACAATAAAAATACAAATATTTTTGGTCCGAAAAGAACCATTGGGATTGGTCCAACGTGGCGTCTCCGAAGTGGCGGTTTTTTGGCAGTCGTCTTGGTCAACGGTCCTCCTATTTCTCATTTGTTACATAATCGCCCTCGCACTTCTTCTTATAAACAATTACCTCAGTTTTATCTCACATTGTCATCCGATTGGGTCAGATTGACAATTAATTGTCTATATTTCTCTTTAGATTATAATCTAAAAATTATCTTAAAATAATTAAATGTCTATATTTCTCTTTAGATTATAAATTTATAATAATCTTCAAAATTATCTTAAAATGTCATTTTTTGTGAATAAAATCCGTGAACATTTACGAAAACAAAGTTAATCATAAACTCAACATGTGCGAAAATAATAATAACAAAACGCGTCGTGTACCTTTCATGCGCTGCATGAATGTTTTCAGGAAAATAATTTAACGTTCTTCATTAATGCATAGTAGTGCATGTTGTTATTAATAATCGAATGTTTTTTTTATTTAAATTTGATAAAGATACTTTCCCCTTTGTTGGGCACACGAATTAAAACGAGTCAACTCAGCTTCACCAATGTTATAAACTCGATGACTCGGTCAATCCATATGCACAAAAAGCTCAGATCTTAATAAAAACACTTTCCCTTTCTCCATTAAAAGCTTTCCGCTTTTTCTTCTGCTTCTCTCTTCTTCACAACCCACAAATAAAAGTTTCATTTTTTTCTTCTTCCCACCAAATAAGCAGAGAAATTGAAACAGAGCCAACAAAAACAAAAAAACATTTGAAGCTGGAAGAAAAAAGAAGGAGAGGATAGAAGAGGGAGGAAGAAGATGGAGAGTTACCTGAATGAAAACTTCGATGTGAAGGCGAAGCATTCCTCTGAGGAAGCGCTCGAGAAATGGCGGAACCTCTGTGGCGTCGTTAAGAACCCTAAACGTCGGTTTCGCTTCACCGCGAATCTCTCTAAACGCTATGAAGCTGCCGCGATGCGTAAAACCAACCAGGTCCTTGTCTCCTTCTCCTTCTTCTTTTATGTGATCGTAGCTCCTTTCTAGGTTGTTTTTGTCATCTTCTTACCGCAGATTCGTTGGAAATGATTCTGGAGAAGCTTTTTAAGTTCATAGCCTCTTGTTTTAGAAGATTAGCTAGTGATTAAGAGATCTGAAAAACTTTCCATTTACAGGAGAAATTAAGGATCGCAGTTCTTGTCTCAAAAGCCGCCTTCCAATTTATCTCTGGTGAGTCTATGTTTGATAAATTGTGTCAAAGTTTAAAGCTTTTTGCTAATTTGTGTCAAAGTTCAAAGCTTTTTGCTAATTTGTGTCAAAGTTTGGATTTTTATTTATCTGTTTGTTACTTGTAGGTGTGGCTCCGAGTGACTACGTTGTCCCTGAAGAAGTCAAAGCAGCAGGCTACGACATCTGCGCAGACGAATTAGGATCAATCGTCGAGAGCCACGACGTTAAGAAGCTCAAGTTCCACGGTGGAGTCGATGGGCTTTCAGGGAAGCTCAAGGCATCTCCCACTGATGGTCTCTCCACAGACGCTGCTCAGTTATCTCAAAGGCAAGCCCTTTTCGGAATCAACAAGTTTGCAGAGAGCGAGCTACGAAGCTTCTGGGTGTTTGTTTGGGAAGCGCTTCAGGACATGACGCTCATGATCCTTGGCGTTTGCGCTTTCGTGTCTTTGATCGTTGGGATAGCTACAGAAGGATGGCCTAAAGGCTCACATGATGGTCTTGGCATTGTGGCTAGTATTCTCTTGGTTGTGTTTGTCACAGCCACTAGTGATTACCGCCAGTCTCTGCAGTTCCGTGATTTGGATAAGGAGAAGAAGAAGATCACTGTTCAGGTGACTAGGAACGGGTTTAGGCAGAAACTGTCTATCTACGACTTGGTTCCTGGTGACGTTGTTCATCTTGCGATTGGAGATCAAGTCCCTGCTGATGGTCTCTTCCTCTCTGGCTTCTCCGTGGTGATAGATGAGTCTAGCTTGACTGGTGAGAGTGAGCCTGTGATGGTGAATGCTCAGAATCCTTTTCTTTTGTCTGGCACCAAAGTGCAAGATGGTTCTTGCAAGATGCTGATTACAACTGTTGGGATGAGGACTCAGTGGGGGAAGCTGATGGCGACTTTGACTGAAGGAGGAGATGATGAGACTCCGTTGCAGGTGAAGCTCAATGGAGTTGCAACCATCATTGGGAAAATAGGTCTCTTCTTCGCTGTGGTTACTTTCGCTGTCTTGGTGCAAGGCATGTTCATGAGGAAGCTTGCCTCTGGAACTCACTGGAGATGGTCTGGTGATGAAGCGTTGGAGCTTCTGGAGTACTTTGCAATCGCTGTGACGATTGTTGTGGTTGCTGTTCCTGAGGGTTTGCCATTAGCTGTGACTCTTAGTCTTGCGTTTGCGATGAAGAAGATGATGAATGATAAAGCTCTCGTCAGGCATTTAGCTGCTTGTGAGACTATGGGATCCGCAACGACGATTTGCAGTGACAAGACCGGGACACTCACAACAAACCACATGACTGTTGTCAAGTCTTGCATTTGCATGAGTGTGCAGGATGTAGCGAACAAAGGCTCAAGCTTGCAGTCAGAGATCCCTGAATCTGCTGTGAAGCTGCTGATTCAGTCGATCTTCAACAACACCGGAGGAGAAGTTGTTGTGAACAAACATGGGAAGACAGAGATCTTGGGGACACCAACAGAGACTGCGATCTTGGAGCTTGGATTGTCTCTTGGTGGTAAGTTCCAAGAAGAGAGGAAGTCTTACAAAGTGATCAAAGTTGAGCCTTTTAACTCCACAAAGAAGAGAATGGGAGTTGTGATTGAGCTTCCAGAAGGAGGAAGCTTGCGTGCTCACACTAAAGGAGCTTCAGAGATAGTTTTGGCTGCTTGTGATAAAGTTGTGAACTCGAGTGGAGAGGTTGTTCCTCTTGATGAAGAATCAATCAAGTATTTGAATGTGACTATCAATGAGTTTGCTAATGAAGCTCTTCGTACTCTCTGCCTTGCTTATATGGATCTTGAGAACGGGTTCTCGCCTGATGAAGCAATCCCTGCTTCTGGATTCACTTGCGTAGGCATTGTTGGAATCAAAGATCCTGTTCGTCCTGGAGTGAAAGAGTCTGTTGAGCTTTGTCGCCGAGCTGGAATCACTGTGAGGATGGTTACAGGAGATAACATTAACACGGCAAAGGCTATTGCTAGAGAATGTGGGATCTTGACTGATGATGGTATAGCAATTGAAGGTCCGGTCTTTAGAGAGAAGAGTCAAGAAGAGTTGCTTGAGCTGATTCCAAAGATTCAGGTATACTTAGTCTGGAACTTGAATGTTTCTTTTTTGGGAAAATATAACAAAAACATTTCCTTTTTCTTCTTGTGCAGGTGATGGCTCGTTCTTCGCCGATGGATAAACATACACTTGTGAAACAGCTGAGAACAACGTTTGATGAAGTTGTTGCTGTGACTGGAGATGGAACAAACGATGCACCTGCTCTTCATGAAGCTGATATTGGATTAGCTATGGGAATCGCCGGAACTGAAGTAAGCATTTATAATAAACATTTAAAAGGGAAATGTCATTTGTAAGCTAAAGAATCTAAGCAAAAGGATATATCTTTTGAATAACCATTTTAGGTGGCGAAAGAGAGCGCTGATGTCATCATCCTCGACGACAACTTCAGCACAATCGTCACAGTAGCTAAATGGGGACGTTCTGTTTACATCAACATCCAGAAATTCGTTCAGTTTCAGCTTACAGTTAACGTTGTTGCCCTGATTGTTAACTTCTCTTCAGCTTGCTTAACCGGTGAGTGAGTTTGAATAATCACAATTGAACCAATCATTTCGGATCTCTAACTCTCTTGTTTCAATAATCTACAGGAAGTGCTCCTTTAACTGCTGTTCAACTGCTGTGGGTGAACATGATCATGGACACGCTTGGAGCTCTTGCTTTAGCTACAGAGCCACCGAACAACGAGCTGATGAAGCGTATGCCCGTTGGAAGGAGAGGCAACTTCATCACCAATGCCATGTGGAGGAACATTCTAGGACAGTCTGTGTATCAGTTCATCGTCATTTGGTTTCTTCAAGCCAAAGGGAAGTCTATGTTTGGTCTCGAAGGTCCTGACTCAACTCTCATGTTGAACACTCTCATCTTCAACTGCTTCGTCTTCTGCCAGGTAAACAAAAAACAAGAAAACAATCTTCGAGCTATAGAAAGTTAGATTCTTGATTGATACTTGACATGAGTTTGGTTTGAAACTTGCAGGTGTTTAATGAGATAAGCTCGCGAGAGATGGAAGAGATCGATGTTTTCAAAGGGATATTGGACAATTACGTGTTCGTGGTTGTGATCGGTGCAACGGTGTTCTTTCAGATCATAATCATCGAGTTCTTGGGGACATTTGCAAGCACAACACCGCTCACGATAGTGCAATGGATCTTCAGTATCGTCATAGGTTTCTTGGGGATGCCGATCGCTGCAGGATTGAAGATGGTTCCCGTTTGATCCATCCATCAAAAATTTGGCGCGAAGAAAACCAACTCTTCTTTATCTCTTAGAAACAGTTTTCTTCAAATTTTAGAACAGACAAAGTTTTTGCCTTTAGCAATTACTCTGTTTTTTTTTCTTCTCGTTGTTGACTTTAAGTTTGATTAGGGCTATTAAGGACGAACATCTGATTTCTGATTTCCTCCATTTTTGTAAAACTCTCTCTGTTTCTTTGAAATGATGACTCTTTCTCCTGTTTTCTTTTGTGATCTTTGTTGAATGAGAAATGCAAACAAAACTAGAGAAAAGAAAACAGAGGAAGCAAAAGGTTAAAAGAAGAAAAAATGATATTTTGGGTGCAAAATTTGTTAGCTAGGACAGACTGTAATTTGATACTAAGAAAATCTCTCAATGAAGTCATCATGTGGCTTTTAGTGGAGCCTTCTTTCCTGACATTATCTCATCGTTCAAAACTGATTCCATTTTACAATTTTCAAGCCTGTCAATATCAAATCTCTAATAAATAAGAGATACTGTTCTTTATAAAAAAATCATTTTTATTGTGATCAAATTTGTGAGGTGTGTGAAGTAAAATGATTCCTTAGAACAACAACAAACATGAGTACACTCAATTGTTTAGGTTTGTGATCATGTGAAGAATTTCCTAAATTGTTAATTAGTTAAACGACTAATATCATCTACACTGAAAATGGAATTTACTCAAATATTAAAGTTTGCAAGTCCATTGGTTTATCCAACTCCTAACCAATGTGGGATGTGTAACTAAATTGTGTTACCCGTGGATCTCACATGTCTACACGAGTCACGACTACACATACCCCAACAGAAACAAAATGGTTTAACACAATGATAATTAGAAAGAAAGAACGATAGCAATTGGGACCTACAAATATTCAATGAGCGAGAGCAAAACAAATCAGAAGCATTAACGTTCTTGGTGAAAGGAAAAAAAAGAGGCTTGCCTTCTTTATGCTTCTTGATTGTTGCAGATCTCTTAGGGCAGCAAGATTGGCCGGTCTTAAACGACACACATCATCTAGATACTGTCAGTACTTTTTGCTTCTTAATTTACAATTTTTTTTATATGTATACAAGTACTGAAATGTTTTTAATCTGTTTATAATCATGTTGGAATCGGAGCTTTAATTAGTGAAACCAAACTTTGGATCTCTACTTGTATGAGACAGTTGTTTCTCACTTCGACAAAGTCGTTGGATTCTTTTCTTTGGTCTATTACTTATATGTTTTATTTTTTTCAACTGCAATCAATTGAAAGTTTTAACATTAACTGTTTTTCCAAAAAGATGATCCTCTATGTACGATGCCCTTTTGACTTGCACGTAGAGTAGAGAAGTACAGAAACTTGAAAACATCACATGCAATTTTCCGTATAAGTAATATTTATATATTTCACTGAAATTAGGTTTTCGTCTTTAGATCCAACAATTGATCCAAAGCGAACTCCACTACAAGTAGTTGGCTTCTAAAATGCTAAAAAAAGTTATTTGGGAAATAAAAATAAATCATTTTTTAAATATTTATTGTGATCGACTGATTGTCTCTTGATAAAGCATTGTTGGATTTCTTCCTCTTTAAATCAACTACTAGTATTTTTTTATGTAAGATGAGCAAAATAAATATAAATTATGGATTTGATGATTTATTTGTTGAGATACTAACTGAAATACATATGTTAGATGATAATTTTTATTTTTTTGTTTTTAATTCTAAGCTGTTCCTAACATGAAAAGAGCTTCTTCATTTATCATTTGCTATGAATGTGCCTTTTTGAAAGATAAGTGGATGAAAAAAATGACAGTTTCATGCAAAAAAAAATTGCAAAATAACGTAAAAAGGGAGAAAAAAAAAGGAAAAGACCGATGAAACCAAATCACTGGCACTGCAACTATTGGCCTAAAACTATTCGCCCTTTCTGTTTCTCTTATTTATTCACATTCAGCCCTCGTAGTTTTTTATTCTCACAGATAAGCCCCGAATTGTTTTAATAAACACATTTCACCCCCAAAAATCAAGTATCAAAGACCTTCATATGAATGAACCTATATATTATGAGTTACTTCAAAAAAATATGAAATAACCATTGTTGTTTTCAAGATCATTTTATCTTCTCTATAATCAAATGATTGAATTATAAAAACCGAATCAATATGTTGCCAAAAAACCAAAATCAATATAATTTTATAGCCAAAAACTCCCAAGAAGTAAATAAACTCTCTTCAGAGCCTACGCATTCTCTTGACCGGAGAAGTCTGATCAGAGTCATCAAAAGACAAGCGGCGTTTAACACCACTCCCTGATGCCACCGCCGGTTGTATATCCCCGGCTGCTTCCGGCGGTGTCATATGTTTCCTCTCCTCAATCTCCTGCATTCTCTCATAACATGAATACACATTGTCCTGCAAAACAAAAGAAACCAAACATCCCTCAAACTTTGATCTCTCTCTTGAGATCAAAATCAAATCCTTAAAAAAGGAAAAAGATATATACATTGACATTAGATGTCCACCAAGAGATTGATCCAAACTTGCTCGCCATTTCTTCTCTCGTCAGTCTAATATCCATTGAAGTAGAAGAAGCTAACAATGTAGTGGCAGCAGCAACAACAAACTGTCGATAATCCGTAAAGCTTATCTCTAATCAAAAAAAGGAAAAACAATGCGATTAATATCATTGATGAAACTAAGATCCTGTGAAAATATAACATTAAAGATATCTCTTTTATGTTATCACCTTTGGTTAGAGCGAGAAGAGAATCAGAGGATCTTAACAAGACCAAGTCTTTAGAAACAGAATGGTTATGTTCTCGAGAGATTTTAGCAACGAAGTAGTTCAAGTAGTGAAAGGGAGTGATCAAGTTCATCTTCCAACCCAATGTCGATAAGATCATCAGTTCTGTTTTACGGATCACGTCCGGTTTGAAAATAAAGTCTTGATCTTGCGGGTATTGTGACAATCCGGGAACAATCCGTTCCTCCATTTTCGCAGCTAGTGATAAACAAGCCACTGATAACAATCGAATCGCCCATGTTGATTCATCTCTCTGCAACTAAAATAAAAATGATTACTTTATCAATCTGAAAGTGAGGATTTTTGAGAATTGTGAATCGAAATCAAGCTTACACCGATGAATCTTCTCTCGAGGAACAGATCGAAGTATGAGATTGCAATGTATGCGGTTTGGTGTTGGAATCCGAATCTCGTTCTTGTCTGAAAACCAAACCAAAGAAGCGATTTAGATTGTTTATGGAAATCGCAATCGAAATCGGAATCGGAAAAAAAGTTTTTTTTGTGTGTGTGAGTGTTACGGACAGTGAGAATCCAATCGATTGCAATCAATCTATCAAAAGACGACGTCGTTTTCGTGGGTTCGGCGGCTTCGAATCGCCGATTCTCTTTGCGAGCAAGCTCCGCCACATAATCTTCATCGTCGTCTCCGATCGCTGTTACAGAGTGAGGTTGCTGCTCATCAGATCTCTTGGGATTGGTCTCATCGTCATCATCGTTAAAAGAAGACTCGGATTCGTGACAGATGAGGAGATTGGAGAGAGCGAGACTGTCTCTAGCACCACTGGGCTCACCCATTTAACGGCGGGAGAAGGTGACGACGGAGAAGACGACGGCGGCGGAGGAGATGGGAATCGTGTCCGTACACATCAAAAAGGGAAAATAAAAAAAAAAATGGAAAATTTAGGGAGAGAGATTGGGGATTTTATTATCGCAGTGAATTTAGAAGCTAAATCTTTGGTGTATTTGATTTTTCTTCCATAGTTGGAATTTGGATTTTTTTTAAGAAGTGAAGAAGAAAGAAATAGAAGCGAAAAAACAAAGGAAAGAGAGAGAAGTGGGAGAGAGAGAGGAGAGAGAGAGTCTCCCGCGTCTGGTGCCGCCAAAAATAAGTGGGGGAGAGAGAGGGGGCGTTATTTAGCGGTTACATTTTAAATTTTAATTATTCTTTCTTCTTTCTAAATCAAGTTTTATTTGCTCATTACCGTATTTTTCTATCATGTGTGTGTATTTTAAAGGAATGATCACATATTTTAGAACGACGCATAATCACATTTTTTAGGTCGACGCATAATCACATATTTTAAAGGAATGATTACTCGTTTTTTTTTTTCCGGCAGGATTACTTGTGCTTGAAGACTTTTCGATGCTAGTCAATAATGATATTATTTTGATGATCTAATAGTGTAGTTTTTTTTGTTATCAAAGAAAGTTGACTGGCTGAAATTAACGGTTCTGTTTAGTGTGCTATTTTTTTGTTTACTTTTTTAACTAATCAAACATTTACATTTACATAAACCTAGAGTTGTCCATAAATCTTTTAAAACTTATCAAAGAAATTTATTATTAAACAATACTTCACAAAAAATATAATACAACCGTACTCGTGAATATAAATTAGTAATGGTTAATGTATTACCTATAAAGATGTTCATACGAATGTTAGGATAGATTTTCTTGTTCATATATAGCAATGTTGAAAAGTAAAATTGTAGTTGGAGATTTCCTGAAATATGAGTGTATGCTAGGCTTCCGCGAAAGATGAGATCATTAATTTTAGTCTCAATTTGATCCAGTTAAAACCTTGTAAAGCAATTCGACTCCCTCACTATTACCAAGCACATCTGATTTATAAGATCCATTGAATTTGTATCAATCATTTAAATACCAGATAATAGTTATCCCATTGACATTTTTTGGAGAAAGTTTTACACATCCCATTCCAACTAAAACATGGTAATTAACATTTTTCATTAGTGTATTCCACGTACTCCCCTTATCCCCTTGTTGCTTTTGTGGTAACTCTTCTAGTATAAAGTGGAAATCTATTTTAAGATGTTTGAATTATTATGTACTTCTTTTATTGGGTCACTTAATCAATATGTACTTTATATTGATAGAACAGTGAGCAGAAAACAGAGGAATAGTTAGATTTAAGATTTTCCACTTATTGGTTTCAACTGAATTGACTTGGTTTCAATTAAATTGACGACCTAAAATGTCGTCTTCCGACTTCCATGGACGAAAATAATGTACAAAAGATCTTAAATTTGTTTCAGAAACCGAAAGTGATTAACAATATAATTTTTTTTTCGGAATTGGTGGGGAAAACACCCTTACCATACCCACTCAAAAATTCCTTTCGATGTTTCGAAATTTGAAATTCAAATTAGCTCCACATTATTATCTTTGTCATGTCATTTCATTATTATATTCTGTTATGTCATTTTCTTATATTTTCTATTGTATCACCACATTTCAATTCTTCTTTGTCGAAACTTTTTGTTTCCTCGTCTTTTATTCATGGCAATGAGTAATGACTTCCATCGTTCTTGGTGAGCTAGTATCACTCCTCTTATAGATGTAACGAGACACGAACTATGTTTATGGACAATTAAAACGTAGATGAGATGAGTAGATGTACGTATTTAGATGCGTATAGATCGTAGGTAGGATACAAACATATACCGTATGAATATATTTATTGGTAAGAAGGTACGTTCCACTCGCGGGATCAACAAAAACTTACCATGAGTTTGGAGATCTTGGTACCCTTTTGTATTTTGATGCGTACAATATCGTAGACCAACGGTGGCGATCTAGCCGTTGATACTCCATAATTAAGTATGGGAAAGAAAAGACGAGTTAGGCCATCGCCTATAGTAAAGTAAATTTACAAAATGTTAATAACATCTAAATGTTAATTAGTTACTCTAAATAAGTATACATTAATCCATGGAATTTTTTAATCTGTTTAACCAGTTGTATCGAGATCGAGTGAGTAAATACTACTTGTAATGTGGTTTCGTCGTGAATAAACTCTGAATTAAGTAAATATCTGATAGTTGAGGCTCCCATATTTATATTTCCTGGTGTATCTTCCTCGTTATTTTCTTATAAAATACTTATATATTTGATTTTTCGCATTGCTTTGGACCAGAGTCATTCAATATGTAGGATAAATATATAGTCCTTCCTCATATTATATCCATATCTATGATAAAAGGGTATAAAACCAAGAAAACGCAAGATCCAAAATCTGCAACTTTTATGTGTATGTTAGTGAAGAAGGATCAGCATTTGTTCGATCTCTCCCTCCTAGAAACAAATAATATTCTCGCATACTGTATTTTTGTAGATTATTTTCCATTTCTTTTTATTCTTCTAACTTGTATCATTGTGGATTTATAGATGTGTCTATATATATTATAATGTAATGTTAAAGAAAATATCTGAGACATTAGTATGTCAATAGGAAGGACAGATTTCACAAAACTGGCGAAAATAAATACTTAAAACAAAAACTCTTTTTACTAACTATAGTTATATTAAGCTGACAATGAATTTTAATAGCTAACCTAACCTAATCTATGACTTAGAAGATGTGATATGCAGTTTCCAAAAGACTCACCGGAATAACAATGGTGGTGAATTTAGAGGATTTTTTCTATCAAATGATTACTTTGGGTTGATATGCTAAATTATTTGGTGATTTCTTTTTTTATCCACATCGGTGACCCGGTAATTTTGTGGAAAGCGTAGTAACTAACTAACTATCACATTACATAAAAAATGCGAGAAGAGAAATGGTTATGTTTGAACATGATAAATTATGAAGACTTGTAAAGAAAGAAAAAACAGAGTTCGCAACCAAATATCATTTGATCACATTATTAATGAAACTGACGAATCTAGGATACCTAACACGTTACACACATTATTTTTTTATATATACTTATTATCCCTTTCGAGGTAGAATAGTCTTTTTATATTATAGCAAAAACAAAGAAACTCGGTCCATCTATTTCCATAAGAAGGTCCCGAAACTCTCTATATGGACTAAAACTAGAAAGACATATATACACTACCAAATATCAAACGTATGAGTGATGATGATAACACAGATATGATATAAAATTGATGGTGGAATGATGGCGCACGTGACAATAACTACAGTGGAGGAGCGTCGGTCACGTGCGAAAGGCTGGATTTGCCTCAGAAACGAAGAAGAAGAAGACGCTCCACCTCTGCCTAACTAGTAACAATCCAAAATGCATATCAATAAACCATATGATATCATGATATCATCATGTAGATAAGTTTCCTTAAAGAGTAAATAAATAATTACTGTGCCATATAGTCTGTGCCATGTGTTGTATTCCTTTGGGGCTCAGTGCCCATCTAAGTGGAACCTTTGACTGCTTAGTTTTTTTTTACGATACCAAGGCAGTCAAACTTTGACCAAATATTTCTATTTACGTGTGTTCGATTATAACTTGGGTACAGCTTGGATAAGTAATTTTTTTGTTCCTTTCGATTTTATTTTTTTGGAGTGTAACAAGTATAACAACTATAACAAGTGTTAGGTGGGAGGCATCATGGTTTTAGCGAGAGAACATAAAGTCTGGATGAACATATAAATAACGTTTTTTATGTTATTTGTTACAAATTTTAGTTTAAATTCTTGAGAAATATCTCAACTATTGCTAGACTTCTTATATCAGGATATGGATTTACAACATCTTTTTTTACAGCTATTAGTAAAGAGTATAATTAAATTACTAATCTGAAGAAAATCAGTAAAAAAATGTCATGTTTGATCCACTACGTATAAGATGAATAATAAAAACATATATATTTACAGAGAAGCAATTATATAAACTATTAATGTCATCAGTAAAAAATGTCATGTTTGATCCACTACACCATATAAGATGAATAATAAAAATAAATATTTACAGCAAAGCTTATCCGAATTAATAAAAGAAATCTTGAAACTCGTGTGAATTCACGCTGTAGAGTCGCCAGCCAGCCTATCTCAAATTCTATAGTATGATACTGCTTATTTAACTGTTACACACACACACACCATTGTATTTATTTCATCTAACTCATTCATACGAGTCAATATACTTCAATACAGGCATTGCCATCGAATTATAATCGCTGACAAAAAAGGATGTAAATAACTTAGAATTCTATATATGTTGGTTATGTTGTGTAATTGATTAGAATATGTAGAGGAAGAAGACAACAAAGCAATTCCCATTTCGTCACAAACAACAACAAGAGTCTTCACCAAATATGATTAATTACATTTTGTCTGATTTCCTCAAATTATTACTTACACATACACTCTGTTGGCCCTTTTTCTTTCACTAAATTTCTCTGACAAAGAAAGAAAACTCGTACACATACTATTGGGCTTGAGACAAATCGTAAATTTAGACACACCTCTATCGAAGCCTCTATAAATTTAGGCCCTTAAGTAAGCCCGGGACATCTAGTTTATCTGGACCCATGTGTAAGCGATTGCTAACTAGTAAGCCAATCTACTAATTAAGTTCCATTTTATAATTAGGTGAAATTCTTGTAGACTGATTTTATATTAATGATTTTACCTGATTCGTCATATTAGCACTCGTAAAAGAGAAAGTGTCCCATAAACTATACGAAGAGGTCATCGTGCGAGTTGCCACCAACTTAGACACTCCTGACCAAGTATTTATATTAAACAATCTCTTCATTTTGGGCTGAGTCAGTGAGTAATAATTTTCATTAGCAATCAGTAATCAGTAATCAGTCACTTTCGCTTTTTCATCTACTTTAATGGTACTTTTCGTATGTTAAAAATGTTAAAGTAGTTGCCAAAAGGCAATATGACGTATTACACAACATAATCCAATTATCCAACAGATGAAAACACATTACCAACATAATTAACATCTAACTTTGAATGGTTCATTCCAGAATGATATAATCATTCTAATTATCCTATTTTTGACATTATGGATATATTATCCTATCCAATGCATTGAATTTCAATATTGTGGATAATACGCGCAATCAGTGTATATTGTGTTTACATATGAAGTTTACCTTTATTATTTAAGAAAAAAAAAGTCACGTCTTTGACAAAGTGAAAAGTTCAACTTTAAAGATAAATAATTTAAGAAAGATGCGTGTGAATAAACAAAAAAACACATGTGTATACCTTTTCAAACTACGTCGTGGTCGCCAACCACTATACAAGGAAAACAAAATAAAACAGCAAATATATAACAGATCTGGATAGAGGCAAAATTTGGATTTGTTTCCCTTATCTAATTATTAAAAAGACTTGGTTAAAAATGTTTCGACAGTGATGAAAACAAATACATTTCCAAAAAAGAAAAAGAAAAGAATAAAGAACTAAATTTGGATAGAATTAAAGTGAGTGATTTAGAAAAGCTCGTCCAACGTGGATATGAATCAGCAAGTGCTTATCTATTTCTCTCAGTTTGAAACGAATCAGCCGCGTGGGACCCAAGTGGGACCCAAATTCGACGTGTAACACAGTTCACATTTCCGAGTTTCCACCATTAAACTATCAATTTAATTCCTTAATTAATTAATTAACCAGACTGACGAAGGAGAATATATAAATGAGTCTTTGCCATGACTTCTCTCATTCTCTCTCTCTCTCGTTTCCTCTGTTTCTTTTCATTTTCGTCTCTTGAGAATACACACAAGACACATCTCATTTTTGTTTTCTCTGCGACTAACGTAATCCGAAGATCATCACCAAGCAAAATCATAATAATAATATTCTTCCTAATCTGATCTGCAAGTGAAGTTGAACAAATTAAACTCATCAATATCCAAATTCAATTCAAAATCCGTAAGTCCTCTATATATACGCGTTACTTTTTCTTATCCGTAGATTTCTTCGTTTTCTCTGTTCTGTTCGGACAGATCTAAAACAAATTAAGACAATTTCACATTAATATATAGAAAAACGATTTCTGAATTTTCTTTATTGTTTAACTTGTTACAGAAGTCAAACAAATAAAGACATGGAGAAGAACATCGACGATTTCTCACCGGAAAAACTTTCAGCATTACCATCACCACCACCACCACCTCCGGTTAAAGCAAAACCAACGGATATGTTTTCGCAACGAAGAAGCCAAAGCTTAGTTTCTACGTCAACAAGAGATTCATGGGATCGTATGTTCGACGAAGCTCTTGGAGCTGATGTTTTGATTCACACAGATGATAATGGTTTGATCTATGCACATTCTAACGTCATCGTAATTTCTCTAAAACGATTAAATTTCAAAATACTCAAAAAAATCAGAAACATTAATATTGAAACTTAATAAGTATCCGTTTTGATTTCTTATCAGGGAATGGCTTCAGACGTAATCAAAGGACTAATGAAGCAAGATAAGAGAAAATCTCACCGCAAATCAATCTCAATCCTCGGTGTTCCTCACGACGCTGTTCGTGTCTTCATTCGATTCTTATACTCTTCTTGGTAATTAATTAACTTTGCTCTTAATCCAAAAATTGGGGATTACAATTATAAAATTAATTACTCAACTAAACCTTTTTGTTTGTTTGCTCTGTTTCTGCAGCTACGAGAAACAAGACATGGAAGATTTCGCATTTCATCTTCTCGTGCTCTCACACGTCTACGTTGTCCCACATTTAAAACGCTTATGCGAGTCGCAATTCGAAAACGTTCTGCTCAACGAAGAAAACGTGATCGATGTGTTTCAGCTTTCTCTTCTATGCGACGCTCCACGTCTCGGTCTCATCTGTCACAGAATGATTCTAAAGAGCTTCGAAGAAGTCTCAACCTCTGAAGGATGGCAAGCAATGAAACAAAGCCATCCAAGTCTCCACAAAGAGCTTTTACGCTCCGTCGCTTACGAACTCAATGTAAGAACAAAAACTTTCATTCAGACAACAGATTAAAGTCTTGTCCTTTCACAGTTTTTCTGATGATGTTTTGTTTCAATCATGCAGAGCTTGAAGGAGAGAAGTAGGAAACAGAAGGAGATACAGACGTACACGCAGCTATATGAAGCAATGGAAGCTTTTGTGCACATATGTAGAGACGGATGCAGAGAGATTGGTCCGACAAAGATCGAGAACAAACCTCGCGTGTCGTCGTGCGGGTTTCAAGCGTGCAACGGTCTAGAGAAGCTGTTGAAACATTTGGCGGTGTGTAAGCTGAGGTCGATCCCTGGCGGTTGCACTCACTGCAAGAGAATGTGGCAGCTTCTCGAGCTTCACTCGCGCATCTGCGTGGACTCGGAGCAGTGCAAAGTCCCTCTCTGCGGTGACTTCAAGGAGAGGATGAAGAAACAGAGCAGGAAAGATGAGAAAAGGTGGAAACTTTTGGTGAAGAATGTTTTGAGCACCAAGAGAATCGGAGGGTCTCCGTTCTTTTTGCAGGCGATTGATGTTTCTTTGTGATATTATTGTTTCATTCCTTGTAGAATCTAGAGATTACATATGTATACATGTACATAGGATGAAGATTCTTTGTAAAGAGAGATCCAAAGTTCAAAATTCAGATGATAGTATAGCCAATAGTTTATGCATCACCATTCTTCTTCTTCCTTCTGTGATAGGTGTAGATTACTGGAGGAGGTAGAGTTTCATGCTTATCAGAAGAAGCTTCACATGTTTCGTTTCCTTCCAACACATTTTGAGTTTCATCCATTTTCTGCAAAACCAAGCTCTCAACACCTCGGAAGACTCTGTTTATCGATGGGTGAGAGAGTATCTTCAGGAGCAGAGCATACCTTCTTGTTTAAACGGTGATTAGTCATTAGCTCATAGAGTTTATGCATCATCATCTGTTCTTCCACCTGAAAGAATTGCAAAAAACTTTTTAATCTCCAGTCGTTAATTACACAACACAAGCACATGAAAAGAGTTTATATAGTCACAAACACCTCGAGTTTTTGGAGTTCTTGTGTCATGGTCTTCTGCGTTTCTTTGAGTAATTCGTTCTGCTTCTCCAAGTGCCTGTTTTTGACAAAACCAAAACAGAATTAGGCTTAAACAACGTGTAACTAAGTGGAAGGATTTTTGGATAACAAAGAAGCTAGAAGATGAGAATTACGTTAACAGATCACCGGTGTGTTGCGGATCCATCCTCACAAAGGATTGAGCTTTCTTGTAAATGAGAAGTCTTTTGGTCTTAACCTCGTGATCGTCAAAGAATTCTACAGAAGTAATTCAAAAGTAAATCTGATCAGCAACTCTATAACTCAGGTATTCTCTTTCTAATAACAAGATTCATACTTCACACTGAGAATCTCTGGTTTCTAGATAATCATAGATTCATAATATGGAGATTCAAATTCACAACTTAAACTGTACTAGCAACTGTGTAAACTAGAATCAGATAACAATAACTTCAAAAAGAGAGACCTTTTACTGTCACAAAAACGCATCTCTTGATAAATCTCAAAGGACGATGAAAACATACACAAGGAAAAGATTAAAGAGAAAGGGAAAAATCCAAATGGGTAGAGAACAAGAAGAACAAGACACACAAAAAGTTTTTGTTGTTTCGAAAAAATAAAAAAAGGGAACACCTGACTTGGACAATTCATCGAGCACTTAGTGCGCATAATCTATTAACTCTCTTCAATCACAATCCAACTACATCAACGATACAAAACCCACTAAACATCTCATCGCAATTAGAGATTTTTCATCCTCAAAGGCCGAAATTTAAAACCCTAATTATCCAACGAATCTGATAAAAAATTGGATCGAAGAATCTTACCTGAAAAGAAAGTATTTTCAGGACGGATCGATGTAGATCGTAGGAGCAATCGCTTTTAACGAGAGCGAAATTACGCGAAGAAGATCAATTCGGAGATTTCACCTTTTTCTAATTTCTCGATTTTGAGGAAAGGAGAATTAGCCCCTTTTTATACCTCTCGCTCTCGACGCACTTGTTGCCGCCAAGAAGCAAAACCTCTGTCAGGGCCAGAAGATTCCTCTCTCTCTTTTTGGGATAAAGTTATATAAAAAAAAAGGAAACTCTAATAATATGGACCGTAAAATTGCAGCATAAGGAAAGAAAAAAAATAAAAACAATATGAAATTCACATAATGCTAATTAACTCTTTGGTCATGACGATAAATACAGATACACACAAAATGTAATTTAGATTTTAGAGTATTAGAAAAATGATGAGTGAACATTCAACGATGTGAGTTGATCAACTATCGAAAACGATTTACAAAGATTCGGTGGTTTTGATCACTTTGATCCCAGACAGTATTAGTAAAATAAGGATAAAAAATTTAGTACGAAATGATAGAAAATATAAAAATGGTGGGATATTTGGGGAAAAGAAGAGATAAAGGCTGGCTAAACAAAAGGAGATGCATGGACCACGTTTTGGTGGTTCCCATAATCACACGAGTACTCAACTCGTCCATGTTGTAATTAGGTAACATGTTGCTTTCCACTTTCCTTATCGATTCAACGTTCCAAACTTTGGGAAATAAATTTCTCTTTAACAAAAAATATTACGTTGCTTCTAATCATTTCGTCTGCTAAACATTACTCCCTTTGTTCTATATTATAAGCAGTTGGGCAAAATGAATCTGAAAAAAAATGAATGTATCTCGACTGAATTCCATCCAGATACATCCATTTTTTTTCAGATTCATTTTGTCTAACTGCTTATAATATGGGACAGAGGGAGTACTAGAGATTACATCAAACGCATTTGAGATCTATCCAACGTTTTGAAGATTTGAGTATGTTTAAAAAAAAAATTTTACACAAAAGTGGAGTTAGACTTATTGAGAATCATCATTAGCTATTGCCTCTTGTTCATAATGGTAGTTTATTCATTAGGTTTGCGGATTTCGAAATTAATGCCACTTCCTTCGCTATCTCAGGCCATGTGCTTTGCCATAATCACAAGAATATTTTCTTAGAAGAAACTCGCCTTATTAATGTTTAGTATCAGTTTCTAGAATATTGTATTTTATACCTAGACTATCAATTGGTTAGCAACTTTGCACAAAAGAGAAACCTGTATGGTATCTCAATCATATTGAAATTCATTCCTATATGATTGTAGATGTTAATTTTTATACAGTTTATCAGCCGTCTAATATTTTGGATCAAAGTAATCGAGGGAACGAAATGTCAACAAACAACAAAATTGATTTGAGGACAGGCCTATATATTCAATAGATCTGGTCTCAAAATCCCGAATTTAACTCTGTCTTCTTAAACCAAGAAACAAGAAAAAGCAATAAACAAGAAAATTTGAAGAGGGAAATATGTTGGATAATGTGAATAGATTCGTTAGATGTATAAAGCATGTGAAGATGAAACAGCAATGAATCGACTTCTAACTCCTTAACCTGACATCCATTGGATTCTTATTGGCTGCCACATGCACTCGCACCCCTCATGTACTTATCATCATCATCTAATTATCTAATACTCCTATTAACCTTTGAGGATCTACAGAACCAAATGTTAACTAAATCCGATGAAGAAGATTTTCCGAAAAAGAAAACCGCTAGGTCAAATAGGTTTTGAAACTCTTTGACTCTTTTTGTAGCTATTAATAGACTCACGATTTCACGTATACATTTGCATAGACTATGTTACAATGTTCCCTTAAGATTCACAAAGTAGGAGAGATTTGTTTAATGGTATGATCATTATTAGGTCAAACTAGGACTCACTAGGGATAATCAGATTAAAGGTCATATTGGAGATTGTATAGTTGGTTTACTTCGTTAATCTTTATGTAAATCATGTTAAAATATTTTTGGTAAATTAACGAGAGTGATTAAGATTAAGATTAAAAATGAAAGAAAAGCAGAGGTTTTTAATAATTAGAAATGATATATAAAAATGAAAAAAGAAAAGTGGAGAGAAAAAGAGAGAGAATGAAAAGGAAAGGAGAAAACATATCCTGAAAAGAAGGTAAGTTTGTCTGAAGAGAAGGGGGCACACAAGTAAGTGCTTTGTCAGATTTCGCGTGCATTTCTACAGCAATCCTTTACCACACCACACCACCTTCTCTCTCTCTATCTCTCTCTCTTCATCTCTCTTTCATTCAGTTTCTTGGCTCTTTTCTCCTTTTCTTTTCCGAAATACAAGAAAGAAGAAAGTTTTATAACGAAAGGTCACTGTTTGATCGCTTAAGCAAAAAGAAAAGTAGAATCTTTTCTCATTAACCTGATGTGGTTCGTGCTTCATTCGTAGAGAGGCTTCTGTTTTGTTTTGGTTCGTAGCGCCATTTTGTGTTCATGGGCTTATGCTTTATAGATGAAGATCACAGCTCATACTTTTGATGCTATCTAACCTGTGGGCCTCTGTAGAGAGAGAGAGAGAAAGAGACAGACAGAGAGAGAGAGAAGATCATTTCTTACGATTATATAGCTTTTAGATTTTGTGGTGTTGCCTCATGATTAAGAGAGCTTCAACAAAACTGAAGTTGGCTTCTGAGGAAGAATTGAAACAAAGAAAGAAAGGTATTTTCATAACCTTTTGATTCTGATTTTATTTCTTTAGCTGTTTAAAAAAAAAAAAAAAATTGAATTCCTTACTTTGTGGTGAAATCCAATTTTTTGCTAAAAATTCCTCAATTTCTTGTAATTCTATCTTAATGACAATTGTTGAAGTCTTGCTATTGAGGATCTAAGAGTTTACAAGAATCGAATCAGTTCTTGATTTTAAAAAGAACTATTTAAAAAAAAAAAAAATTAGTCCTCTTGTACTAAGATAAACGATCTCTGCCACTAAATGTTATTGTTTCTGTTAGATTCTTTTTCAGCAAACATCCAAAAAAGATTTGATTCATCTTGTCTATTGAATAAGTAGCAATCTTCTAAACTTTCTCTCTTTTTTTGTTTTTCTTGGTGATTCTTGCAGGTTACTATCAAACGACGACGCTTTAGCCATCGCCCATAAACCCACCAAAAAGATTCAAGCTTTGGATTCGGTTGTTGTCTATAGAATAACAAAGTGGGCGACTTGTAAAAAAAAAAAAACAGAGATAAAAAAAGAATTTCACGTGTTTCTGTGTTTGTGAATGTGTGAAGCACTTAGAAAAGAGAGAAAGAAAGGATTTTGGTTAATAAAAAAAAGACAAGAGTTTTATCTCTCTGTGTGTGTCAGTAAATTCGAGCTTTGAGTGGGTGTTTTGTGCATCTCTAAGTTTTCTCTTTTATATCATTTCCCTTTTCTCAATGTTCTCTTTGAGATGTGAGACTCCTCCATTCACATTCTTTCTTTAAGAGTCTGTTGCTTCTCTCTGTTTCTCACTCGACAAGCATTTTGGGGAGAGTGAAAACACATTTTGTGAGATCTCTTCTATCAGATTCTTTCATCATGAAGTTCATGAAACTTGGATCCAAACCTGATTCGTTTCAGTCTGAAGGAGACAATGTTAGGTTTGTGTTCAAAAGTCTTCATCTTTACCTTTGGTTTTGTCTGAAATCCAATCAAGAGAAATGGATTTGCTTTGGATCATTTCTCACTACTAACTCTGTTAAATTTCTGTTCTTTAAGGTATGTATCAACTGATTTAGCAACAGATGTTATCGTCATCATCGGCGATGTCAAGTTCTATCTCCACAAGGTTAGTAATCTTCTTACCTTATAAAGAAAGATTCAAATCTAATGAAAAGTTTTCAAGTTATGATTTTTGCTCTGTTTTTGCAGTTTCCGTTGCTGTCGAAAAGCGCACGCTTGCAGAAACTAATCACACAATCATCATCATCAAATGAAGATCATAATCAGATTCAGAGTCAAGAAGACGAGATTGAGATAGCAGAGATTCCAGGTGGTCCAGCTTCATTCGAGATCTGTGCTAAATTCTGTTACGGAATGACAGTTACTCTGAACGCATACAACGTAGTCGCTGCTCGTTGCGCAGCAGAGTTTCTTGAGATGTACGAAACCGTCGAAAAGGGAAACCTAGTTTACAAGATCGAAGTGTTCTTGAACTCGAGCATACTCCAAAGCTGGAAAGACTCCATCATCGTGCTTCAAACCACGAGAGCTCTCTCTCCATACGCCGAAGAGCTGAAGCTAACGGGCCGTTGTCTCGACTCCATCGCCTCTAGAGCTTCCATCGACGACACTTCGAAAGTCGAGTGGTCTTACACTTACAGCAAGAAGAAGAACCTCGACAACGGGTTGAGGAAACCGCAAGCTGTTCCTAGAGACTGGTGGGTCGAGGATCTCTGCGATCTTCATATTGATTTGTATAAGCGAGCCATCGCTACGATTGAAGCTAGAGGGAAAGTCTCAGCTGATGTTATCGGAGAGGCATTGCATGCTTACGCTATAAGAAGGGTTCCTGGATTCAGCAAGAGTAGCTCTGTGCAGATCACTGACTTTGCGAAGTACAGAGCTTTGGTTGATTCGATCGTTGAGATGATTCCTGACGAGAGACAGAGCGTTTCCTCGAGTTTCTTGACTAAGTTGTTGCGAGCTTCGATCTTTCTTGGTTGCGATGAGGAAGAGAACAACGGGTTAAAGAACAGAGTTGGTGAGCGGTTAGATGAGGCTAGCTTGAGTGATGTTATGCTGTATGATGTTGAGTTGATGCAGAGCTTAGTTGAGGTTTTCTTGAAGTCCAGAAACCGGTCGGAAGAAGACGGTTTAACCGCGAAGGCGTCGGTTGCGAAGCTCGTCGATGGTTATTTAGCTGAGAAGTCGAGGGATTCGGATAACTTGCCTCTTCAGAAGTTCCTCTCGCTCGCGGAAATGGTCTCTAGCTTTCCGAGGCAGTCTCATGACGGCGTTTACCGCGCAATCGACATGTTTCTCAAGGTAAAACAGAGCAGTCAATCCTGTTTTTTACTGTTTTGTTGAACATTTTGAGTTCAAGATTTGATCAGAATCTTGATTATCATTTTTGGTTCAAGATTTCATCAAGTTACTAATCAAGAATATGATTTTTGGTTCAAGATTTGATCAGTTTACTAATCAAGATTTGAGAAAGTTACTACTAATCAAGATTATGATATTTGGTTCAAGATATGATGAGTTTACTAATCAAGATTGTGATTTTTGTGAACATTTCTCTTCATTAGGAACATCCGGAGATCAACAAGAGTGAGAAGAAGAGACTGTGCAGGCTGATGGATTGTAGGAAGCTATCGGTGGAAGCATGCGCGCACGCGGTGCAGAACGAGAGGTTACCGATGCGTGTGGTGGTGCAAGTGCTCTTCTTTGAGCAGGTAAGAGCCAACAGCAACAACGGTTCATCGTCGACGGGGAACAGCACGCCTGAGATCATACCGGCGTCAAGATCGACGAACACTGAAGAAGACACAGAGTGTTGGGACACGGAGGATATTCAAGCTTTGAGAGGTGAGTTAGCGAATCTAAGACTCGCAAAGAAGCAGCAAGAGAACAGTTTAAATAAAGGGAAGTTGATGAAAGGAGGAGGATTGGGAGTTTCTAGAGTGTTCTCGAAGCTTTGGTCAGGTAAAGAGAGAAGTGGAGAGATGATGAGTAGCTCGGGGACTTCGAGTCCTGGTTCTGTTAATGATGACTCTAAGTCTTCTTCTTCCACAAGCAAGAAGCATTAGAGGAAAGCAAGAAGCAAGAAAAAAAGATGAATTTTAGGTGCTAAAGATGTTTATTCCATAACTAACTTTATTTCTTCTTTTCTTTCTCTCAAACGTTACCATTTTGTTGTCTTTGGATTCCCTTTGTGGTGTTCTTCTTCCTTAGTAGGTGTATGTCGTTTAGATTGTTTCTTTTTTTTTTGCTTTGTTGTCACTTTAAAATGGAAGTGTTATAAACAAAAAAAATATGGTTCTTGAAGTAATAATAAGAAGGGAATTTTAGATTCAATAGCATTTTTTTAATTTGTTTTTAAAATATACAATTTTATGTGTTTGCAAGTCTTTCTATTAAGAAATGAGTTTGGTAAAGTTGTTGACTTTGACTTTCTTTCTAGACTTGTGGTACGGACAGACTTTAGTTAGATCGCTATAAGACTTGGACTACGGCCCAAGTCGTTATTACATATCTGGTGGACTTTTTATCACAGTACCTAACATTCTTTTTTTCTTCTTCTCCTTCTCATATGTACTGTCTTTTAAGAGTTTCTAAATTTTCTCAAAAAGTGATGTCTTTGTTTTAGGTCAGACATATCTAACTGAAAGATCCGTAAAAACGGTAAAAGGTTAGCTAAATCAAATGACAAAAGTAGCACACTTTAAAACCGTCGTCTTTTTAAGTAAAGTGAGAAGATAGTTTAGTAAGTTACGTCCGAGCAACAATATTTTAAGCTTAAATTGAGTTTATATATGTTGTTCTTGGGGTAGAGAAATTAGACCGACAAAAAAATTGTACTTTTGATTTACTTAGCCACCGTCATTTTACTGAAAATCTTCTTCGTCGTTTTCTTTTATTTCAAATAGAAATAAATATTTATATACGTTACATCATTTTCCTTACGGACGCACTCGCATGATGAATATTCCCATCGAATAAATATCACGGCCATATTTTTGTGGGGGATAGATGCGAATGAGATGTTTTGGGGGCTGAAATTCTTCTTTAACAAACAAAAAAAAATGTGTAAAGTTATCAATTATTTGATTTTGTAAAATTCAGTTGCACCAACAAGTTTGGTTTTGTAAAATGTGTAAAAGTACACGTAAATTTTTTTCCATCGTCTAAATGTTTTTTATGCTAGTGCTTTTGTGGCCTCACGTGACGTCTGTATCTATAATATATGGATCGTTAATTTATTACAATAAAATACAATTCTCAAACTGTTTGCACTATTTTCATTTTGCTACTGGTGCTTATCGTTATCGTCTGCGTATATCTGCTTTAAGATCCTTAGGTGTTAAGATTCACATGATTGTCTACTTGAGAACCCCGTGAAGACACCTGACTTCCATGAGTTCTTTTGTCTTTAACTGTTTTTACTAGCTACAAAATACAATTAATAGAAAAAAGGAAAGAATTTAGTCTATGGTTGATCAAACTTGAATGGTGTGGTGTGTATCCACACAAAAAGGTTAATTATCATCTAACATAGCACTTAGGCTCTGTATATATAACCAAACCGATTTCAAATCCATCAGACCTGTCTTTTTTTTTTTGGTATTTGTTGGTGAACCACACATATTGGTCCACAAAATCACAAGATTCATCAAAGCTTGCATAAATTCACAACTAATCTGCATGGCTACATGTCCCATTAGAACCGGATCGGATTAACCCATCACAACATTACATCCCTACATATATATTGGCAAGAAATGCTAAATGGAATAAACTCACAACAGCTAATAACCAAACCTCCGGTCAACATAGGCACATTACATATATGCCAATCGTTATAACTGAAATACAATCCACAAACACAAAGTAGTACACCTCGAAGTTATCTCCACATGTCTTCTTATGCGATGAACAAGACCTATTAGTGTAAACTTTCCCTGACTCGATCGGTGCTCATGACTCGACAATACCTCTCTTATGGACAAAGACACGTTCTCAAACACGATTCGAAGGTTTCAATCATCCTACAGCAAACCAACAAAAGAAACATAGAAATCTATCAGTTTAACATATTTGGGACCATATAAATGGAGAAAAAGCGTGGTCCATGACATCGATATTCATGTCATTTACACGTAAGACTGCCGATATCGTTATGTGTTTTATTCTCCAGTATCCATCAATGATCAATCTCAAATTAGCAAAGTACTAAGAACCAAAATCCCACCTAAAAAGAGAACAACTAAACTAATACTGTATCGTATTATTTTATTTCCTCTTAAGCAAAATGTGCGTCATTCGCAAGTTTGTTTATTATTGTTCTCCTTGTAAAAATTGATTGTTATTTTGTATATCAATGATGAGTTCATGAAATTTCTCTAACCCTTAACAAAAAGCAAAACCAGGTCGGCATTTTAATTTGGCCAGAGAAAAAGTATCTTAAAAAGCTAGATCCATTTACAAGACAAGAAGACACAAACCCAAAAGTAGGAGATATTGCCTTTTGCCACTAACTAATTTAACACCCACGAACAAAAAAAAACAAAAAACATTACCTAGGAAAAGAAAGATTGATATCAAAAAACAAAAAGACCCCATCAAGATCTAAAAATCTAAAAGCATAGACGAAAAATCACTAACATGTAGCATAATATAACCAACAATAAGGTTCTATATTTACTAAAATTCTCTGGGGTCCACAAAAATCGAAACGCCAGGTGGCGATTTAGTCCAGTCACCAACAGCGCCGTCACTGTAATCTTCCCCAAGCCGTTTGATACACCAAAGATCCTCGTCACACGATAGCACTTTCCAGTGTGGTATCCCTCGCCGCAACGGCTCTTCTCCGGCGACTTCCGTCGCCACAACACTGCATCCTCCTTCCTTGGCTAGGTTGTGCGCGTGAGCGCACAGCGACTTCACCATCTTCGCCGCGCGTGTGCCTTCCCCTCCGATCCCGTACATGAAATGAAGCCCAAACGGTTTAAAAAGCGAGGGAATCGAAGGGAGTTTCAAAAACGGCAACGTTTTGTCAACCACGCGAGTCGTTTTAGCCAGCACGCGTCTCGTTCGCGACGCGCCACGGACTTCCAAATGAAACGAGTCTTTGCAGTTCCACACGCTCAACACGGCCCACGACTCGGGAGGGTACTCGAGAAACTTAGCCGAACCGGGCCATGATCCTGACCCGGATCCATAACAGCTACCACGTGGCACAGCGACGAAAGTCCCGAGGGAGAGTCTGTTGCTGAGCACCGAATCGATATCGCGCGGGAAAAACTCGGTCGTGCTGAACCGGAGTCGGTACAGCGATTCAGCGTCGACCGGGTCCAATTTGATAACGGTGACTCTCCGCGAGACGTTGAGTCGGTGCGCGTAAACCGGATTGACCAGAATCGACGGCGTACGGAACTCGGAGTAACCGCATTTTCCGGTGAAGAGATTAACGGAAGCTTGATTGTCGTTTTCAGTTGCTATGTAGGAATATTCGGCGCCGTTTTGTCTAAACCATTCCTCCATTTGCTTAACCAGTTTCAACCCTATCCCCTGCCTCCTGCAAAATGAATTAAAATTAATTTAGTTTATAGTCTTTTTTAATTGCGTGATTAGTGGGGAGTAACGGAACGGTACCGGTGAGAAGGAGAGACACGGAGGCCCAAAACGTAGGCGAGTTTAGTGTAGAGAGGCTTTACGGCGTCGTTTTGTGATTTGTGATTTAAATCGAGTTTCTTGCCACATGTAACGGTCTTGATGCAACCCCTAATCATGCCCACTATCTCCTTCTTCTCCGTATTCATCTCAGCCACCTGTTGCAATTATATCAAATAAAATTCTCCGTTATTTTGTTTTGGATTTTTCTAACCTTTTTTTTCTTAATTTACTGAAAAGATGATAGCTTTATGGTGAGTTACTTCAAACAATATATAAATGACTAGTCTTTTGATATTATCAGGAGTCGGAGAAAAGATAGAAAAAAAAATGAAGAAAAACGTGAAAGAACTTATATTTCATTGTGGTGTGGAAATGGGTTTTTGGACTTATCAAAGGTTGAAAAACATGAAAAAACAGAAGAAGAAGAGATTGATAAAAGAAAGAAGAAAGATTGGGAATTTTTAAGGGCTTACCAACATAAGAGAAGAAGGTGAATGTCGGATCCTACAAATCGGGTCACCCAAAAGGTCGGTGAAGAGAGAAAGCTTGCCGCTTGGGCCAACCTCGCACCGTCGCTCCACGTCCTCCACGCCGGCTATGTCTCGGCTCGGGTCGTACTCTCTCACCACCGTCATGTTTGCCTTTCAAGAGAGAGAGAGAGAAACAGAGAAAAGAGAGATGATAGAGAGAGAGAGAGAGTATTAGGAGTAGAGTGAAGTAGATAGGGTTTATATAGAGAGGAAGGTGAGGGAGGAAATGAGAGAAGAAGTGAGGGAGATTATTCGAGAGGAAAGAGAAGCATTTATAGAAGAGCTATATATATATATATATATAACGTGAGGTATAAGTAAAGAACAGAGAAGCTATGAGTTTATAGGATTTGGGTTTAAAAAGGAAAAGAGACTTTTTTTTTTTTCTGCTACTTTTTCATTTATGATGAGTTTTAAAAGTTGGGGAAGGCGAGTAGTTCATGATTGAAAGAGGTTTAAAAGCTCTTCTTCTCAATCCTATTTATAGTCTATACAGTACCCTTTCTTTTTTCTTTTTTTGTTTATTAGCTAGTAGTTCTAAATGGTAAGGTAGACTCTAACCATATTTTTTAATGATTATTTGAAGGGTTTTTTTTTCCATAAGTTTGTTCACTGGATTTAGGGAATTACTAAACGAACAGAAACTTCTCATTAAAAGGCCTTCATTATAGCCTAACAGTTAGGGAATTACATCTCCTAATTTACAGTGAATATGAAATTAAAGCTCCGTAATTATAGACATTTTTAATGTCATTTTTAGAAAAAAAATAGTGGGCTTTCAATGTGTTAATGATGAGTAGAGAGATTAATGGGAGAGATTAATGGGTGATTAAGACGAGCATTGATGTGGAAAACTTGCCCAAAAGGAGAAGTTGTAAGTGGGAGTGAGAAGTGGAAATGGCGGCTATGTCTGCGTTAACTCATTATGCTCTCTCTCTCTCTCTCTCTCTTTTCGTTTTCCTTTGCCCATAACTTCACACATAACTCCATCCACATCATCCATCAGTCTAGTCTGATGCATTGCACCACCTCCCAAGTAATCATTTGCTCTCAACCCCATCTACTATCTATATTTACACTTATCTCTAATCGTAATTACTCCCCTGCAATTATCCAGTCGTAAATAACCAACTTTTTACTAAAAGTATAGGGTAAATTTAATACCTCTACTCAAGATAGTGTAGCTCTACTTTTTGCAAGAGAGTATTAAAAATAGGAAGAAAAATAATCTTACATAGATTGCTTTAACAAAGGAAAACGTTATTATAGAGTAAGAGAAACGAGGGAGTCCAATTTGAGGAAAAAAAACAAATTCCTAAACGTCATATGACTCATGTGTATGACATATACAAACTTATTATATCAGTGATTATCAGTATATTCATATATAGACGGGCCATTAATGTGAAGCATCATTGCTATAACAATATTCAAACGGAGACACTTCGATTTAGCAACTCACAAGCGGAGATATTATAAATTTATAACCGTCAGCTATATTTTTTTTTATTACATACATATATTGGGCCATAAATGTAAAGCTTCATTACTATAATAACAGCTATATTTGTAATATCATAGATCATCTACGTGACGTCTTCACATCAACTAAGCTGTTTATAGGGCGTCTATAAAGTTGAATTTTCGTTTTTATTTATTACTGCCACTGTCTAAGATATAATCGCCACGATAGAAACTTGTTTAACGCTTAGAAATTGCTTACACGATCGCTTAATCTGTTTTCCGTACACTAAATTTCATTTCACATCATGTGTCTTTTGTTTCAATGTGAAGAGAAGTGAAACCATGTTTGTTGACTAGGAAAAAAATTCATGTTTGCTGGTCTCAAATCAACTTTTTACCGTCAGTACTTCTCGAAGATTTTTGTTTCAAAAATAGTTCCACTTGAGATTTGTGTTTAAGTGGAAACTAGACAAAATCACCACACGCACAAAAAATAAATAATTACATATACAAATATATGAACAGACAAACAAACGGCATTCTTTTACGTGGCCCCTCCAAATATATATCATATAGTTCAGGTTGGTATGCGATTAAATATTGTACTGATTATGACATTGTCGAGCACTATACAAATTACTATAATTAATCGCTTTTTAAACAAAATTTTCATCATGCCAATTATCATATAGTCTAGTTGAGCCGTGTACAACACGATAGATCATTTTTCTAATTTGCAATTAGGAAAATACAATCTGATTAAACCAATTCGTATCAGACTGAATCTATGCCCGATTCAAACAAATCGTGATATAACCAAACCAAATACACTGTTTGTACTTGGTTCCATAGTGTTTTACTGTAATCGGTTGAACTGTCAGCGATTATAAATATTTGATTGAAATATGTATTATGTGTAAGTTTATATCCTAATAACCGTGGTCCAAAAGACTCTTAATTAAATAGCCAATAATACAGCGATGATGTTTTAGTTGGCTTATACAATAATCTATATATGTGCTCAACAATAAATATATATCCAAAAAGAGTTTGGCCAAACAAGATGACTAGAACTAAAGTAAGGAGATGTCTTTTAGTTAACAACTAGAAAGAGGTTTATGAGCACAATGAAGAAGATCCCAATTTAATAGTTTAAACGAAGATCATGCTTTTGAATGACCCATTTTCTTCGTCGTTTGTAAACGTGAGTATTACTCGTCTCTTTGACCCATAATTTCTTTTTGAATCAGATCACAGAATTTGAAGATCAGTGGGAAATCTCTCCATTAAAATTTCATCTATGTCATGATTTCCACATTTGCTTAGTTTTGCTTCGTCGTAAGGAACGTTTTTACCGACAATTTTTTTCATGTAGTTATATCGTTATCTTTTCGATTTCGACAAAAGTGCTTACCTCATGACATCATGACATTTATCATTATTCATTTAGCAAAATCGCAACTAGACAAATGTAACGGTGCGTAATTTCAGGCATTTGTTTCCATCCCACCATACTTCATAATATATGATCATTATAATATATACTATCAGCATACATACATTTAATGTCTGGTAACAAAATCGGTACTGTATGATTTATTATGTTTGTTGAAAGACTTTTTATCTTATTTTGTTAACTGTGCGTATAGCTAAACTACAATTAAGAAACGATGTTGATCGCTTTGCCACATAAATATATACCATGGACCACATCGTACGACTCAAAGTGTCGAGTAATTAGCAGACAAATTATTGTCTTTCTGGTCAAAATTAACTTGACTACAATTCAACACGTATTGTATTGTGTAAATATCACTATCAGTAACAATTAGACAAATCACCATAAGGATACGTATAAATTCTAAGACAAACTTCTCGAAGACATCAAATGAGACGGTCTTGATGTATTATAAGTTTATAAACCTGTCCATCTTGATGTGAATAAATAGTTCGATGTCTCATACGGGTTAAAACACATTTATTTTTGTATTTGAACGAGGACAGCTATTATTGTAGGACCGGTGCAATACAATTTCGCATTCACATATATTTTCATGTCGTTTTTTGACATTCCAAGATAATGTGTTTAGTATGGTTTTACAGTATTCACTGAGCATGTCCTTTTTGAGTGAGCATTCTCTGCAAGATCGAATATTAAAATATACGTCCATGTATTGAATAGTAGCAAGTAGCTAACAACGGAGTCACTTATCTTTTCTTTTTGAAGAACAAGAAAAAAAGTAGGAAATGAGGTCGCCAAGATATTGCCATTTGTCTTCACTCTTGCGAGGATGTTAATATTTGGCTAATTTGGCTTATTCAAAAATGTTTCTGGGACAAGTATTCAAGAAAAAAAAAGTAAGGATGGCTATATTTCTCATGCAAGTTGACCCACAATCCTAAAATATAAGGTAACCAGAATCTAACTAATTGATAAGACTAGATTTTAACTAGTGGGATGGAGTGGCTCGAGGAGTGACGTGGGTTTGTTACGAAATTTCTGGCATTTTGATTATTATTATCATTTTCTCACATAAAAGATAAAACTACTATATTCTGGTTAGACCATCAATTATCACTAGAAATTTAGAATATTAATAACATTACGTCAATACGCCAAAAGCTTGGTCGCTGGCCTTCGTCTGCAATATATGTAGACAGCAATCATTTGGTTAGTTCTATTCACATACGTATCTATATTGGTTAACAATCCAATCCAACTAATTTTGTTTGATCGGTTTGTTTCTTCTGTTACTTACGCATTTGTAATCCTCCAATGAAGCCTACGTACGTAGAGTGCATCGGGATCCAATAACCATGTGATGGTTACACAGCCTAGTGACCTTTAACAATTTAACGTTTACGTAATTAACGACACGAGAAGCCAATACATTAACTTAATTAACGAAGCTGATAAGACGATATAGTCGAGACTTGAGACCAGTCAAAGCCTACAGATCGTCAGACCAAGGTTTTTGTTTTACCGACTTATGTCGGATAGAGTAAAATGACAATAATTAATGTCCTTTTGTGTATATCTCTTTGTTTGAAAAAAAAAATGTAAATCCAGCTGTGAATGTTGAGAGCACAAAGCGGCCGGGCAGAGACACTAAGGAAGTGTCAATTCAAACATTAATTTCACACTAACGTAAATTCCCTAACTTTTCAAATTTGATTTTTTGTGTTTGTGTTATGTAATTATTCGAAAATAAAACTATATTTTTATTAGGTACGGGCCTTAGGCTTGGGGAGATCACCAAGATAATATGCATGTTGCGGCTTATCTCTATCCTGAAACTGAAACAACTTATGAATCGTTTCTGTATATACGTTTAGGTTCATGCATTTATACAAAAGTATGTCACTTTGCGGATTTATATACATAAAACAGATAATCGTAAACTTATCACTATGCGGATATTTATGTAGTCTTTGGTTGTGTTTTTTTATCAAGTATTGTTTACAAACTTTTAAACGCAAACATACAAAATAAATAGAAAATCAAATTTCTTTACTCTGGATACACGTGAACAAATTCATAAAAACTTTTTTCTTACTTTTTATGTTTTGGACAGGTGTTAACAATCCAAATTATAAATATTACTACGAGCCATTACAGACATCAGATGAAGACCGGATGTTCCAACAATTACTACGAGCTTTCGTCTATGACTTTTTAGGCATTAAAAATGCGATTATACGAATATAAAAGTGTAAATATAGGAGTACGTGTAAGAGTGCATTATGATATGGAGAATGGTGGACGATAATTAAGAGTGCTTGAGATGACGTTTCATACAGAATCACGATGTTTGTGGCAGGAACAATCAGAGATCTGCTATATAAGAAATTACAGATTTGTATAACTTTTCTCATTATACACTAAAATATCTACTAGTGATTATCTATTCAGTTTATTTTATTTGGAAAAAATAAAGTTTGTCTATCAAATTGGTCTGATTTCCTGGTCCAGAGTTGTATATTTTTTCACACGAACTAGTTGTATGCTCCAATCGAACTAATTAACCTGCATGTAGGCTAATGAAAAATAAACAAAGAAATTTAGTTATATGTTTAAATAAAAAATCAGGTGTTGGCAAAAAAATATTAAACTAAATAAATATCAATTCTATTTTTGATTGAATTTGAAAAATAAAACGTTGCATAAGAAATGTACATAAGAGACTGTGAATAATTGAACTTTGTTAAGGTTTTTTTATCTTATTCAGAGAAAAAAAATAGTCAAAGGAACAAGATGGGACTTCTGCTTTCAGTAGCAGGTTTCTTGTACCAGTGTCTCTTCGCTCTAACTCGGAGCTTCCCTCATTTTCATATTTCCATAAATCATATTATTATACTGCAAAATCATTTGTCTAATACGTAATCTAGGGACTATTGTGAAAGCAAAACTTAATAAGTTTAGACTAGCTAACAGCAATTAAAGATATAAACCCCATCAATTACGTGAGCTGAGCTGAAACTACTGGAAATTATATACACTCTTGTAAAAAAATGTGTTAATGTGCCTTTTGTTTGTTTTTTTTTGGGGTCAACTTTGTTTGTTTATTTATCAGGCTATAATTTATGTCATACTATTGACATTATATCTAAAACTGTAAAAGAAAGTGTAAATCATCACTGAATAATGCTTGTACTGGTAGTCGTACAAATGCCAAGACATAAATATATGCATTAAGTGTAATAATCTTCTTTCGACTTGTCTTTCGATAGGGATGATCAAAAGAGAAAGACATGGAGGCGATGTCTACTGAGTACTGACGATACGAATTGAAGCAATAATATATATAATCAATCTCATAGTCCTCTTCGTGACTCTCGTCATGTCAAATCAAAGCCCATTCCATACATCATTATCATGAATCATGATAAAACATCATATTCATAATCCTCACGCATGCATGTGAGAATGAGCAGACCACACAAGTAACCTCAATACGGGGATTCTCTCGTGAAAAATGTTTGTCCTCTTTGATCTCTTTCCACTTCATGTCGTAACCATGTTTAGCAAATCCTTGGTTAGTAGTTGAAGAGATGTACGGATAATCTTGCTTAACATTAAATGGGCCTAGCGTACACTAAGATATCTAATGGGCCTTTCTGTATTATTGAGATTATAATGGGCTTTACAGGACTAAATGACTGATGCAGTGATTGATAAGCATATGAATATACAGCCTCTTCTAGTTTCTACTTCTTATTTTTTTGTTTGTAGAAGCTAAGACGAAGAACTTGGATTCTTTGTAATCAGAAGGTTTCCATCATATGTGCTCTTTAGAACGTCTGGTTTTCTCACTATTCGAGGTCCTACTGGAACCTTTTGAGTCTTTGGCCGAATATCCTGCATGAACATAATAAAATAACGATTTAATGTTTTGCCTCTGTTTTTCTTCCTTCTGTTGTTAACTAATTGCTATAGATAAATAAAAAAGTGACAAAAAAAAACAGAGCAAAACTAAGGTTTATTTTTGAGTTAAGCAGTAAAAACAGAGAGGCCTGTAAATGTAAATTTGAAACCTGATCAAAGATGGCAGTGGGTATCGCAAGTGTAGCAACAGCATTGGGAGAATCAACAATTCCAGATATTCTTCCTTCACATGGACAACATGAGAGCAAGAGATATGCCTGTTCAAAGTCAAACCATAGTTTCTTGATCAATATATGTTCTGTTCTGAGAGAATCATTCCGTTGCAGAGATCATCAGTTACCTGTTCTTTTGAGTAACCGAATTTGAAAAGATAGTCTATAGCGTTGAGAACTGCCCGTTTGTAAGCAACTGTTGCATCTAGATAATGTTGTCTCCCACTCTCATCGACACTGATACCTTCAAAGACAAGCCACTCTGAGAATCTTGGTTCCACTGGACCTATCTCAAAGATTGGGTTTACGTGAAGAGTGGTTGGTCCCATTGGTGTAAGGTACTCTTTCATCCCGTTCCTTATGATAACACACCTAATAAGGATTTCCAAAAACAATTTCATCTAAGAAAACCTTATAGAGTGTTTTCGCAAGAAAAATGAAATTAGAAGCTTACTTGAGTTCTAGAAATCCACTCATCTCAATGGCCCCACAGAAAGAGATCTCACCATCACCTTGTGAGAAATGCATGTCACCAGTGCTTAGATTAGCTCCTTCGACAAACACCGGAAGGTATATTTTAGAGCCTCTGCTTAGGTTTTTTATGTCACAGTTTCCTCCGTTTTCTCTTCCCGGGATTGTCCTCGCAGCCTCCAATGCAATTCTTTCCCACTCTTGTGTTCCCTTTTCAATCTACAAGTAACATTATGTAAGAATCCACAATAGACCACCGTATTATAAACTTCATTTTTTTTTTTTTTAATAGTATCAAGAAATAGCGTTTTGGTATAGCTTACGTGCCCTAGAAGGCATCCTTTAGTTGTTGGTAGGTTTGCTAGTGGTCTCTGATGCACAACCTCACACAGTGTTAAGGACTTGTGATCACTTTCTTCTAAATTTCTTTCCCTTTCGTTCCAAATTCTTAGGAGTTCTGTTGATGGTGCTGTGCCAATGATTCCTGGGTGTGTTAATCCCGGAAACCTTACTCCTGCCACGCCGTGATGTGAACAATCAACACAACAGCTCATAACAAAGATTAGCTACTAATTTTCTTGACAAAAAAACATGGATGATGTTTGTGTGTTCTCACCAGGTATTTGAGGAGAGTAAGCATAAATCCCTTCAAAGTACCAAATAGCTTTGGTTGCACAAGGGAAATGATCAGTCAAGAAACCTCCACCGTTCTCTCTATCAAATGAGCCAGTGAATCCCCATTCATCTCCCGGAAGAGGACCTAAGTTGCATATCTCAACAGCAAGAAGATCACCTGGTTTAGCTGCAACACCATCCTCATCCACAACTTTGATCGGCCCACTCAGGTAATGAACCTGCATATATATAATCACAAAAAAAACTTTAGTATATATGAAATTCATCAAGATTGTGTTTCTCAGTAAACCATCTTACAGTAGAAAGGTCTATGTTCTTGATATCTTCAGCAGAGCCATCATCTTTGACTGCACCTCCAGTCCAATCAACCATTTCCACTCTAAAGACCTCACCAATTTTAACCTCTGCAACTGATGGAATATCAGGATGCCATCTATTATGCAGTGGCTGAGTCTGCTGCCATGGCTTCTTCTTCAAATCCACCTTCACCACCACTCGTGGACTCGGTGGAGCCATCAAACCCAATAAGTACAGTGATCTCTATTCTTTCTTTCTCTCTGCATTCACACTTCCTCTGTATATATGTAAGCTTATTCTCTACTCTTTTTTCCTTGCTGCAGTGAAAAGAAGAATCATTGGCCTTTGCAGATTCCTTATCTAAAAGACAGTAAAAAAGATTGCATCTTTCACCATCTCGTAAGACTATTCTTTTTCCCTAAAGTGGTGTGGTTTTGTTTTTATCTCAACCAAGTGGATAGTTTCAGAAGATACATGCGTCCATGTGTGGCGATGCATGGAAGACAGAAAAAAGTTGAAAATGACATTTTCATTGACTTATGTTGTTTTTTGTTTTTACTCTAAGACATATTCTAGTTTTAACCTCAGGTGATCGGAGGAATCTCCGGCAGCTAACGGTTCCATGGCGTCTCCTTCTTCTTCTTCTCCTCTGATTAAAAACATTCTCGGATCTATGATGACTGGAACAGAGGATATGCTCATGAGTTAGGTAGGAATCTAAGAGCATCCGACAGATTTTGTCCAAAAGACCAGAAAAAATAAAATCGAATCTTCATTTGATTTAATTTAATTTTTTAATTTCGTGGTTGTGGTTAAACGCTTGGCGTCACCAATTGATGCAAACGTAGTAAGCAAGCTATGTCAAATGTCACTACATTATTCGTTGTAAGGAAGAAGCAACTCCGTAACACTCTTGTTAATATAGCCGTTATATTCCACAACGGCTAAAAACGAAAAATTCAAAAAACAAAACTAAAACCAGAAGAAATAAGAAGATAGCCATTCAGAAGAAGACCATTGTTCTCTTTTTTTTTGTTCACATGTTTCTTCTTTGATGGAGCAGAGCCTTTTGGTCGACCAATATCTCGGTGAAGGAGAGTTTTGGTCCCGTCTCCGTCTTCAAGGTCACAGTGAATCGTTTTAGTCCGTACTTTGATTTAGTAGTTCCTCAAAATTCTCTTCTTCATTCGTTTTCAACATAAGAATATTAGTCTTTGTAAATTTATTTTTTTAAAAAAACGAAAATTTAATAGAAAACATTATCGATTGTTACTTGCATGTTACATTCCAGCGAGTTCAACAGTACGGAAGACAGAACTAAAGGCTAATTTGGATAAGTATGCCACGTCAGAAGCGACAGAAACAGTCGTATATTAATGTTCAGTTTCATATTTAATTAATCGTAAAGCAGAAAGGTAAGATACACTTCCAGATTTTCTTCTCAAAGAGAAAACAACTCAAAAATACTTAAATACGTGTGGTTGTTGATTGTCAATTTGTCATAGTATCGTGTTCACATTTTAAACCGTCTGCGATCGAGTTTGCAATTGTAGGCTTTCAAAGATCAATGGTTAATAACTTGGTTATCATTATGAAACAATTGTAGGCTTTTAAACCGTTTGCGATCCTCACAACTTTTTAACCATCCGTCAAGGTTACAAACATTATGAAAAAATTGTAAAGATAAATTTTATCAACCAACACAGTATTACTATTGAAGAACCGGAAACTCAAAATACTAAAATAGTTAAAATTTGATAACTGTTAGATATTCAAATATCTATTTGTATATGTTTTTATGCGCTTATTCTATTTTTTGCTTTTGTAAATATCCATCTACGATAATCGTGTTCGTTCTTCCTTTGATACTGCTGTTAATTAGTGTCGCTATTCGAATGATCAACCAAATACTTTGAAACAGTGTCACCAGTCCATTAAATTATTGTTCACTTTGCAGGAAGAACCGTAGAAGTATGATATTTACAAAAGGATAAATGCAATACTTTAAATAGTAGGTTTGAGACACACCCGACAAAGTGTGGAAACATGATGTGAGCTAAAATTTCTCTAAATTAGGTCAGGAATTTTGAAAATTCGCCACTGAGGAATTTGCATATAAGCAAAGCACTTTTACAGTTTTCTTTTCTAGATAAGCAAAATAGAAGACAAAAAAATGTTTTAAAAGTATATACTCCGCATACGTACAAGAGAGACACACGCAGAGATCGAAGAACCTTTGAGTACAGCGAAGGGCCAATAACGGCTTTTGTAGTTCCAAGAGATTACAAAAACATATGTTGTGTCGTAGGTACGTAGAGTCAAACGTAATTAGCAGTCAATATACATTAAACTAACATCCTTTTATGGTACTTGTTCTCATAAACTATGATTTATATATAAGGACACACACATGAGTTTGTGTAAGACGACGGGGTCATGACTCATGAACACCACGATCCTCTCTACCTATATATTAATAATATTTTATATTTCCAGCTTGATTGGAGGAACATGAAAGTAGATTGGGCAATGCGGATATACCTCATACATGCTCTCTCTCTCATCTCTCTCAACCTCGTACATTTTGTTTGTAATCGTCATGATATATAGTTATGTGTGTTACAGTGTTAGTGTGTATATTATAACGGTCTAATATATAAACGTACAGGTAATTATAATGAAAATGAACACAAAAAACGTAAACAAACAATTGATACATACTATTTGATTGGGTATCCAGGTGATCATATAGAATCTAGCTACTAGAGAAAACCATCTATTATATCATCATTAACTCATTATGTACCAAGATAACCACAACACTTTGTCCTCTCTTTTTTTTTCCCCTTGTTTTAATACTTCCCCTCTTTTGATTTATTTATTAATTTCATTGCATCAATAATGCCCTCCAAATGATTAAACCCTAGAAAAAAAACTGATTCATTCACCACCCAAACCATCGCAATTAACATATATAACTACCAATGAACACATCATAAAAATACACACCACAAGTTGTACCAATAATTTCCCCTAATCCACGTGCACCCCATCGTCTCCTGACGTAAGATTTGTCTACTACTTTTTTCTCTATCAAATCCTGAATTTAGATTTGTTTTCTTTACAGTACTAGTACTTAGGGGTGGGCATTTTATCCGGATCCGAAAATCCGACCCGATATTTACCCGAAAATATCCGATCCGGATCCGATCCGATTTTGAAAAATACCCATTTGGATCCTTTTCTTCTCTCCATTCGGGTACCGGGTAATACCCGATAATACCCGAGACCCGTAAACGTACCCGAAATATCCGCACAATCTAAACTGACCCTTACCTGCATTAGTCGATTCGATTCCACTATCTCCATTCCCCGCTATTTTCGTTTACATGATCTTCAATATCAAATCCCAAACTGAAAATCTGGAAACCCTCATTCGATTTTCTCATCCGTCTCCTCCATCAGAGACGTCAAGAAATCATTCAAAGGTGATCTCAAATTCTTTTCTCTTAATTCTTTTGATTAAGTCTGCTTTGATTTGCTTTCCGAATCCTGAGTTCATAATTTGTTTTTGAAAAATGTATTGTCATGTTTCTGGTTTTTATGTTCAGTTACTTAGCTTTTGTTTCTTTGATTCAATTCAGTTTGCATTGTCGATACTCGATGTTATTGGATTTATTTCTCAGCTTAGCTTATAATTTTTAGTTTAATTCCAAGTCTTCTTATGCTTAGTTAGTTTAGATCTTCTTCTCGTTCTGTCTCTGTACTTACTAATCTTGTTAACCCTTGTGATTTATTTTCTTGCTTAATTATGAGATGAGATTCAAAGTGATGTATCTGTTTGAGTTAATATGTGACGTTGATGTCTTGTCTTGTTCGAGTGAATATGTGAATTTAATACTTCTTAGTTTAAGGTTTTGGTTCTTAGTTCTTAAGACACGAACAAGTAACTAGTTATTAAAATAATCAACATTTTTGAACAATGTTTATTTCTTGATCGGTTTGTTTCTGTTTTTGTCTTGTCTTGTTCTTAAGTTTTTTTTTTTTTAGCGTTATTGTGTCTTATCTCTCTGTAACTGTGTTTGTTTTTCTGGTTATTAGCTTATGTTTCTTAGTTTTTTTTTCTAATTGTCTTCATGTTTCTGTTATTTATCAGTTCGATATTGAGTATTATCTATCTGAATTATTATTTATGCTAACTGATTTTGTTTTATTGTAGATGGATTCTTCATCATTTCCCGATGGTGAAACTCAAGATACAGCAGAAACCTTTACCACACAGTCCACACCTAATCAAGGGAAAAGGAAGGAGACAAATGGAGATACTTCTGGTCAACCCAATGAAAAGAAAACAGCGGGTAAAAGGTCTAAAGTGTGGAAACATTTTGATCCACTTGAGGAGGACAAGGACAAATGCATTTGTCGTCATTGTAAAAGAGTTTACGGTTGTGCATCATCCAAAGGGACTTCTAACTTGGGGAAGCATATGTTAACCTGCAAGAAGTTGTTGGCATTTGAAGCAAGTAAGTCTGCAGATACGAGAGCTGTTACTAAGGATGGACGATTGGTGGAAGCAAAGGTTTCAGAGGATATCTTCAAAGTGGCGACTGATGAGTTGCTAGTGTTAGGAGAATTGCCACTTGCCTTCATTGAAAGCATGGCTTGGAGACACTTCTGTAGTCGAGTTAATCTCTACACACCGCATTCAAGAAGAACTGCTACCAGAAACATTGTGAAGATGTATGAGGAGAGGAGAGCGGGTCTTAAAGTTTGGATTGCAGCTAACAAGCAGCGAGTGTCACTTACTACTGACATATGGGTGGCTCAAGCAACAGGTGCTAGCTATATGGTGATTACAGCACATTTCATTGATGCAAATTGGGAAATGAGGAAGCTAATCATCGGGTTCAAGTACATCACGGATCATAAAGGGACCACTATAACAAGAGTCCTTATGGAGTGTTTGGCTGAATGGGGAATACAGAAGATATTCACCATCACGGTGGACAACGCCACCGCCAATACATCTGCCCTAAAGAGGTTTCAGACCCAATTCAGCTTAGTGAGCGATGAGGCATTGGTTTTAGATGGAGAGTTTATGCATATGAGGTGTTGTGCACATATTATCAACTTAATTGTCAAGGAAGGATTGCTAGAGTTAGTTGATAATGTGTGTGCCATTAGGAATGCCGTGACGTATGTGAGGGCGTCTACTAATAGGATCGACACTTTTGATAGCCGTGCTGATAATGCCAAGGTGACTAGAGGGAGTTTGCCTTTGGATATAAAAACTAGGTGGAACTCAACATACTTGATGCTGCTACAAGCTATTAAGTTCAGGAAGGCATTTGATAAAATGGAAGCTGAAGATCGGCTATACAATGATTACTTTCTCGAACAAGAGAATGGTCAAAAAAGGATTGGTCCGCCTACTGAAGTTGATTGGAATGCAGTGGAGAGGTTAGTAAGGTTTCTGATCATCTTCTACAATTCTACGTTGATCGTCTCAGCGTCTAATTCGGTTAGCTCCTACAAGTGCTATACTGAGATAGTTACTATAGAGAAGAATCTGATGAACTTGAGCAATAGTTTAGACAGAGAGTTGAGTGAAAAGGCTGACGACATGAGAGGAAAGTTTGACAAATATTGGGATGGAGTGAAGAACATCAATAGGCTTCTGATTGTTGCTAGTGTCCTTGATCCGAGCAAGAAAATGCAGTTTGCTAAGATATGCTTTGAAAGACTTTACGGCAAAGATACTGCACAAGCTAAATGGATGTATACTTCAGTCACTGAAGTTATGAAATCTCTGTTTGCTGAGTATAGCACTCGGTCTAAGAAGGAGGCCATTGTCACACCATCACAGACGGATCAAGCATCAACTTCCGGTGGCCATGGTTCATGCTCTGAGAACATGGATTTTGTGAATGATGAACAGGGGTATGAAAGGATGGATCAAGTTTATAAGGATATGATCAGTGGTTTAGGCGTTGAAGATGAACGGTCTGAGTTGGATATTTATCTGAGTGACAAAGTTGAAAATCCTAATACTTTGCTTGGAACAGAGTACGATGTCTTATCTTGGTGGAAGGTAAATGCAGGGAAGTTCCCAATTTTATCAGAAATGGCTCGAGATGTTCTTGCTATGCAAGTGTCCTCTGTTGCATCTGAAAGTGCTTTTAGCACTAGTGGCCGAATCATTGATCCGTATCGAAGTTGTTTAACTCATTACATGGTTGAGGTCTTGATGTGTACTGAGCAGTGGATGAAGGCTGAGATTAAGTTAGGCGAGAAAACATTTGTTTCAAACACGGAGATGCTTGCTGATGTTACATTGCAGGATGAACTCCAGAAAAGTAAGTTCATTTTACGGTTTTCCATTTCATGATTGATGTTTATATCCTAACATTCTGATTTTATATATCTTTTTCAGTGTATCCTAGACCCAACTAGAACTAGAAGTGGATATGGTCCTCAAAGTTCAAAGGTAACATGATTAATAACAACTTAAGTTATTGGGTTTCTATATTGTGCCGTGTTTTTGACTTGATTTGTTTCTGTTGTAACAGGCAATCAAAGATGTCAATGAGACATGGACACGGAGAAACAACGCGTTTTGGACTTTGAGACTCACCACTCTTCTTTCTTTTCATTTGATTGCTTTGAATTTCTTTCTTTATTTTCATTTGGTTGTGTTATGGAATGATATCACTTTGGTAATGACTTTTGTGTTGCTGGTTTTTAGTGTTTGGACGAGAATGATTTGTATTTTGTTCTTAGGTTGAATCAAGTTGAATGGTTGTTTTTTTATTTGTTCGGATTTCATTTGAAGTAACAGGTTATCAGGTCAATTTTTGTTTAAAACAAAGGAACTTACTCCAAACCGAAAGTATTTTTAGATCCGAAAAGTATATCCGGTAATACCCGAATCCGAAGAGAACCGAACCGAACCCGACCCGAATTTTATAATTATCCGAACGGATCCTTTTCTCTTAGGACCGAAATACCCGAAACCCGAAATACCCGATCCGAACCCGACCCGATAATCCGAATGCCCACCCCTACTAGTATTTATCGAATAAGAGAGAAGTAGGTAGAGTACATCTTAATTAATTATTTTTTTAAAAGGACGAAAGTAATATTATTATTACAAGTCTGAGTCAGCGACAAGTGTTCGCGGAGAAACGGAAACGCTCTCTCTCTCTCTCTCTCTCTTCCCCCAACGCCAATACCTTTGGAATCCCTCCCAAACGCTGTCCTTTCTTGTTGTGTAGTACTCGTATTATTATTCTTCTTTCGTCCTCACCTACTTTTTTTTTCTTTTGTAAATTTTGTTTTATAAATAGTTGTAGCTTTGACATAAGTATAAGTGTATAACTATTGTGATCGTAAATATTTCACATAAAATTTTAACTGGTGACAGAGAAAAATCAAAAGAACTTTTCAAAATTTGATCAAGAATACCCCCTAAGCGCTAAATGCTCAAATTTCTTTTTGAGTTTCTGTCTTTCCCATAAGTTTCAAATATTTAATACACACAAATGTTTTTTAATAAACATGATGGAAAGAAAGGACAAAGGAATAAAAAAGAAAACAAGTTGACACACTCTCTTTATTATTCACTCGCCTCTATAAATCCAACCTATCCCCTCTCTCCTCTTCTTAAAACTTGTTTTCTCTTCATCCTCCATCTTCTCTGATCAGTCTTTATAAATCTATCAAATCAGATAAAAACCTGTTTTCTTGCTCCCAAATCCGAAAATAAATTTGTCACTTCTTTGTTTCTATGTGTTTTTAGTAACTAGAGTTTCCCAAAATATTGGATATATCTTCTCATATCCGACAAAGTTTTGAAATATGAGTTGCAATGGATGTAGAGTTCTTCGAAAAGGTTGCAGCGAAACATGCATCCTTCGTCCTTGCCTTCAATGGATCGAATCCGCCGAGTCACAAGGCCACGCCACCGTCTTCGTCGCTAAATTCTTTGGCCGTGCCGGTCTCATGTCTTTCATCTCCGCCGTGCCTGAACTAAACCGCCCTGGTACGATTTTTTTCTATTTTTGTTTTGGTTATCGTCTACAACTCATTCACTAAACCGGTCTCATGTTTGTTTGTTTCTTTTCTTCAGCTTTGTTTCAGTCGTTGTTGTTTGAAGCGTGTGGGAGGACGGTGAATCCGGTTAACGGAGCGGTTGGTATGTTATGGACTGGGAACTGGCACGTGTGTCAAGCGGCGGTTGCAACTGTCCTTCGCGGTGGAACTTTACGACCGATCTCAGATCTCCTCGAGTCTCCGCCGCTGTTATCCTCCGATGAGAACAACCATTTTCGTTTTTCCACCTCTAGATCCAAGCAATCTACGACGGAGATGGAAGAATCTCCGGTAAATCGGAAACGGTTTAAGTGCGAACGGTCTACTTCGCAGCTGGATCTCCAGTTAAACCACGGGACGGCTCTAGCTGCTGGTCCGGTTCCTTTTCTTCCTCCGCCGCCGTTTTGCAAGACGGTTAACGGTGAGTATCCGGGAAGTCCGTCGGAAGAATCTGTAACGACGTCGTGTTGGGAAAATGGAATCAGTGGCGATAAATACAGAAACAAAGGAGAGAGAAAGTTATTAAACCTTTTTGTTTAAAACCGACGACGCAAACTTTTTATTCATACTCATCAGTTTTCGGGAGTCTTTTTAGGGTTTTTTGTTGTTGTGAGGGGAAATGGATTTTTGGTTAAGCCGCATAATTATTGGCTAATTAACGATTTCTCAATCGAGAAATATGATAAATTTTGGGGATATATATCTTGCCGATGAGGATAAATAATATGTTGAGGATGTGTTTGCTTCTTACACATCTTGATTTTCATGTTAGAATTTTCAAAACCTTATATTGTTCTTGTTTCTAAACTTTATATTGTTAACTCACACACATGCACAAATAACGACACTAATATAAATTTACAGAAAACTTAAGTGATAAATTTAAGTTTGAAAGTTTATTTTATTGCAAATTTTGACCGTATGATGAGCAAGCTCACATGAAATATAAAGATCCTATACGAATAAAATCCTATAAAGAATTGACACTTCATTTTGTGGAAGCAGCAGATCGATAATATTGTTCCCAGCTGGGATTCCAAATTTCCAGGTGAGATTAGTACATATATACAAATGTACAAAATGAAGTGTCAATATTGCCAATATTCAAATATAAATGGTACGATGAAAATTAGGTTTTCACGGATAAGGCGGCTTTTGGATTATGCAAAGAGCCACTTCTCATCATCAAATTATATATACACTTTGTTATGAAATGTAGAGATACTTGTCTGTGTAAAATATACGTAACATATCTATGTTGAGAAATTTGAAAAAAAAAAATCTTGAAAAATAACTCTACTCTTATGGATTAAGACTTTTACATCCTTACATTAAAAATGTAAATGATTTTCTTTCAAAAATATATAGGAATAAAGTCACATCTCATTTTTTCGGTTAAATTTGAATCTTATATTTTAATTTATTCAAAAATATCAAATTTAATTTTTGAATGTATGATAATTTTTGATAATATGAAAGAACAAAACTATGCCGACACAAGTTTAACGACAAAAATAAACATTGCAATCGACGAAAATTATCCATCTCAACAACAAACTTTATCACATTTTCTTAGCGGACACCACTGAATTATTAAATCCCAATAAGTCCAAAATTTTATTATACATCTAGAAGCGGTTTCAGGCCCAGCCCAAGTTGAATAGAAAGTGTTTTAATTAAAGGCTTCACAATTGCGACGGATATTACCATCACGACTTGTTTTAATACCAACTCGACCAAGCTTGAGCATGGACTGAACGAAAGCTTGACTAAACGCCTGTCCATTACTAGCCCATAAGTCAACGGTTGGCTTTGACCTACGATCGGTGTATAAAACTTGATCAGACTTGAAAAATCCTTTGCCTTGCTGCAAGTTTTTGTAGTAATCGTTTTCGAAATTTCCCGGTGATGAGTCCATGCCTATCACTTTCCGCGGATCAACGTCTCTAGGACACAACGCTTTGAGTTGTGTCACGTACGTAGCGTTCATCCTCGGTTCTTCTTTGACGTTATAGATCCTGTCGAGGACCGTGGTGCAATGAGCCACTCCAAGCGTATGTGCTCCTGTTTTTTAGATCAAACCATTTAAATTATGAGCAAAACACATGTAATATACTTTTTTTTTATTTGAAACATTCTAAAGACAAAAAAAAAGTCTAACCGGATAGAGCGATCATGTCGTTAAGAGTAAGCCCGTTTTTGGCGAAATGTGAAGTGAGTTTGTTAAAGTCGTCGGTTGGTTGTGGCAGCTTTCCTTGGACGCTAGCCGCCGTCGAGGATAGTCCATCGAACCTCCCCAGTTCGACTTCGTACTTTGGTCCACCAACCTATATTACAATAATGTTTTAGTCTATGTATTTGATGCAATAAATATGCTATTAATTATATAGATAGTATTGGGTATAACGTACGATAGTAATAACGTCACGAGTGGCTATTGTTATGATATCGGCGCAAGAGACTTTGTTACGACAATTTGGGACAGCATCAAGAGCTTGCTTGGCTCTAACGATAGCGTCAAATCCATCTCCAGCCAACGATAAGTTATCGGGATGATCCTTCTCAGCTTTGTTACCTTTGGTTGACGATATCATCACCGATGCATCACAACCCTATGATATTAATAAATTTCATTAGACAAAATTTATATAAATTTTTTGTTATGTATTTAAGCAAGAATCTGGAAGATGAAATGTTTTACATTGACAAAACAATCGTGGAAGTAGAGGCGGAGAACGGCGGCAACGGTGATGGCAGAATGTTGGATTTTTTGGTCGATGGCGTTTCTGACTATATGTTCCACGTCAGGGCAACTTCCGGCGTAGAAGTTACGGCTGAGTTGACCGGAGGAGAGGTTTATGGTAAGAAAGAGAGAGATAATAAGCAGTAAGACATTCATTTTGTTTGCTGCCATTTTTTAATAACTGTTTTAACTCACTTTCTCTCTTTATATATGTGTTTATAGGACTAACGGATCCTAAATTTTATTTTCTTTTGTGGGAAAAAATAAGTGCGTATCCAAATAAGAGGTGTAGTCAACATATATAAGCAGATCATATCCTGCGATATATAATTAGAGGTTGACCAAAAAATTCTATGTTTTGCCTCCCTTTTTTTCAAAGAAACTATTGTTACTAATTGTTCTCGGTTGCTTCTTATAATTTCTCTCAAATTTATTCTCACGATTACAGACTGAACCCAAAAACCGAGATTTATTACGTTTAATTAAGCTGAACCAGCTTCATGAGGACCCATCCTAATCCCCCTAATACAAATGAATGGAAATAAAAATCTAGAAAAAGGTATTCAAATTCAGTTAAAAGCTCCGCAATCACTACGGATGTTACCATTACGACCAGTTTTAACGCCAACACGACCAAGTTTGATCATGGAGTTCACAAAAGCTTGATTGAATAAGTTTCCATTACTAGCCCACAAGTCAACGGTAGGCTTTGACCGACGATCGGTGAACAAAACTTGATCGGACGTGAACAATCCTTTCCCTTGTTGCAAGTTCTTGTAGTAAACGTTGTCGAATTGTCTAGGTGTTGTCGGGTCCATGTTGATAGCCACTCTTGGATCTACGCTTTGAGGACACGACGCTTGTAATTCTGCCACGTAAGCTTTGTTAACTGTGGGATCCACTTTGGTTGTCTTGTTGAAACTGTAAATCCTGTTGAACACTTTGGTGCAATGAGCGAATCCCAATGTGTGTGCCCCTTGTTTTTCAGATCGAACCAAATTTAAGTCAGAACCGGTTATTTCAAAGCGAACCAAAAATAAATGATTAGTTATGTAATAAATCAAATTCTTTTACTAATATGCAACTCTACTTATCAAAAGTTAACATACATAAACCAAATCAAAACTTTATCAAACTAAACCGAAATATCCAAGAGATACACTATTTTCGATCGAGAAGTAAACAGAAACCTTACCGGAAAGAGCGATCATGTCGTTAAGGCTAAGGCCGTTTTTGGCGAAAAGTGAAGTGAGTTTGTTGACGTCGTCCGTTGGATGCGGTAGCTTCCCTTCTACGCTAGACGCCGTCGAAGATAGTCCGTCAAGCCTTCCCAATTCGACTTCATATTTTGGTCCACCCGCCTATTATAATAAATTATATAAATTAATATTAATAGTAGTGCTCTAGTTTGAGTTTGATATAGTAATAAATATGATAGCGATGTGTTACGAACGAGATTAACGACGTCACGAGTGGACATCGTGAGAATATCGGCGCAAGAAACTTTGTTACGACAAGTTGCGACGGCGTCAACAGCTTGTTTAGCTTTGATCACGGTGTCGAATCCATCTCCGGCCAGAGATAAATTATCCGGATGATCTTTCTCCGCCTTGTTATTATTTGTCGAAGCTATCATCACCGAAGCATCACAACCCTATGATTTTAATAAAATTTCAAAAATTATAACAAAAAAATGAAAGAAATTGAAGAAAGAGAAGAAATATGTTTTACGTTTACGAAACAATCGTGGAAATAGAGGCGGAGAGTGGCCGGAATGGTGGTGAAAGTTTGTTGGAACTTTAGTTGAACGGCGTTTCTGACGATTTGTTCGACGTTGGGACAACTTCCGGCGTAGAAGTTGCGACGGAGTTGAGCGGAGGTGAGGTTTAGGGTGAGAGAGAGAGAGAGAAGAAGCAATAAGAGATTCGTTTTGTTTGCAGCCATTTTCTTTGTAATAATTATTTTAACTCACTTTCTCTCTTTATGTGTATGCTTATAATGCGATTTTACATTTATGATTACATGAATGGAGCAAAGGATCTTATACATACACATGCTTTTGTGTGGTGGGCACTAGTAGCGCCGGCCAGCTTGCATTTTCATTTTATTTTAAGAAAAAAGACTAAATACTTTTTAAGCTTTTGGCATCATTTTAAGGTTCTTTGAACAACCTATCTTAAATTCTTAAGTATATTTTTTTGGTTAATTTCAAATATTTGATTGGTCAAGTCAATGCGATTGCTTGTTGTATTTTTATGATTGTTTGGTTGTGAATATCATATAATATTGTTCTTTCTAGATGTTGTGTGTGTATAATACTATAATCACAAAGGATCTCTTGTCTATATGAGGGAATAGAGATAGAGTGGTGGGGATCGAAATTGATAACGATGCTTCACTTGACATTGCGAATAATTGTGTCATGGCCACCTTGAATCTTTCTCATATCTCAACTACTACTCCTGACTGTTATACCTTTTCGGTCCATATGTTAGTTAATCAGTCTTAGTTAACCACGATTATCCTAATTCTAAGTTTCTAACAAGTAAGACCCATAAATGATAGAATGATGGCACCCCAATAATATACTCGTATCTTCCGTAAACCATTTCGGTGTGAAAAACAGTTTCATTCTCGTATTTTCAATAGTTTTTTTCGTTATATAAAACGGATCAACTAATTGTAGATCTGGTGGTCACCAAGTTAATCACGGACTTATGAGAATTAGTTTTTTAACCAATATATAATTCAGTTAAGTATCTACACCAACAAATCTAGAAAAGAAAACTGCACGTGGTCCGAATCAGTTGACATGAGAATGGTTTTAAATAATTAGGGCTGTATTTACGTTATTTCAAAAGCTATTGGTATTATGTAGATTTCAATATTAATATATGGTTAGGCGATTATTGATAATTTGATATAGACTTTAGTTGACGTTTAAAAAAAAAACAAAAAATTTAGTCGACGAGAATAGTTTAGTCTTCAAGTCAGTCATTCAAAAGGGGCTACTACTCTCCATGCAATGCAAGTAAAGGCAGTCACGCTTCTTCTTTCTATTATTTACCATATTTTATATTTGCTCTTTCTAATTGACAAAAACAACTTGAATAAAATAATAAAAATTGCAAATCATGATAAGATTATTTAACGTCCTAAATGGTTAGAAACAAAATTTTACAACTGGCTTTTGAAATGCAAGAAAATTCATTGATTGGTTTCTTTTACACGTTCAAAACAAAATGGTTGAATTGTCTTTCTCGAATATTCCTTTATGAATAAAAAAGACAAGTAAATCAGTGCAGACAAATGCAAGGAGGAGATCAGAAGGCAGCAAACCAAAAAAATCTATATTATGTAGTTGTGGAAAGGTCACTAGTTTTGAACTACATTTTATTCATTTTGGATATAGAGATCAAAGTATCAAACAAGTCAGGCCATAATTAGTTAATTATTTAAATTTGTTAAAGCTTATATGCGTGTAGCATTCTTCTGCTAAAGGCCCTCGTCAAAGAATAAAAAACAGGCATGCACGTTCTCTTTAATCAATTAATCTACATGTTTTGTCGTATAACATCTTTTAAACTCATCATGTCGTTGCCGTGGTGGCTTCGTGCTTATGGTAATGATGATGAGAGTTATAACGCCAATAATTAATTTTTCAGTATGTAATAGTATAGTGTTTTAACTTTTCAATTGGATTCTCATTCTTTCAATGATTCTCTTAAATACTAAAGCGAATTAAATAATAACCTCACGCGCGTACGGTCTTCTGGTTTAACATGAAAAGTAAATAATAAAATGTTTGTATTAATAACACAAATGGTTGTAAAATACTACAGTACTAAAAACGACCAAAGTAGGATGACTCGTACGTCTTCTAGTGTCTTATACATTTAGCTATTTTTTTTGGTTTTATACATTTAGCTATTTAATTCTATACAAATCGGATTTTATCATGTGCCATGTGTGATTGAGAGGATAAAGAGCAACACAAACGGAATCTTTTTTCCTGTAAAGTATACTATTTTGTTTGATACATACTGTAGATTACATCTATACTCCATTGTCATGATTACATAACATTACAAAGATTAAAGCAAAAAACCATCCATGGTTTAGTTTTCACCCTCCTCCAAAGTAACTCTGCTACAGAGAAAGTATCCAATGCAACAACATACTTGAACTTAATATATAAAAAAATCGAAATCATACTGTTGTTGCTAATTGTCAAATTACAAACATGCATTGTTTGTTTTTCCTCTATAATTTAACCCATAATAATTTTAATCATGATGGGCATTTTAATGGGCTTTAAATGGGCCCAAATGATTACACTAAAACCTTGATCCAGAAAAAAATCTCCCCGCCACGAGATCGAAGAATCTTCACCTTATCCATGGGACATTGCAATCTTCGTTACCATTTTCTTCTACTGCTCCTGCAAAATCGTCACTTGGCTCGAGCCAAGTTCTCTCGACTCAAAATTTGATGATTTGACTCTCAATTTGTTGTTTTTTGTTCGATTATATAGTTTAAAAAATGGAGCTTTATTCTTCATCTTCATCTTCTTCTCTCCTCCGCGTTTCTGGGCAATGTCCCGAAATCTCCTTCTCTTCTTCCGTATCTCAGTTCCCATCCGGAATCCAGCTAAACGCATCGATTCTCTCGAAACCCAGATTCCAAAGCCTCCGAATTTGCGCCTCCGTGGCGGCGGAGACTCAAGGTCTTCCACGAGACAGCCCACAGCGCCTCCTCAAGGAGCTCGCGCAGCGGAAACAAGCCACGGGACCGAAGAAGAAACTCCCTCCGAAACGATTCATCCTAAGACCGCCATTAGACGACAAGAAGCTAGCAGAGAGATTCCTCAATAGCCCGCAATTATCCCTCAAATCGTTCCCTCTGCTCAGCTCCTGCCTCCCGCCGTCGAAGCTCAACAACGCCGACAAAACCTGGATCGACGAGTACCTTCTGGAAGTGAAACAGGCGTTGGGGTACTCTCTGGAGCCGTCGGAGAGCCTGAGCGACGAGAAACCGGCGAAGCACTTCGACACGCTGCTGTATCTGGCGTTCCAGCATCCGTCGTGCGACAGGGCACGTGCGAGGCACGTGAAGAACGGGCACTCGAGGCTTTGGTTTCTGGGTCAGTACGTGCTTGAGCTTGCGATCACGGAGTTTTTCCTGCAGAGGTATCCGAGGGAGCCTCCGGGGCCGATGAGGGAGAGAGTGTTTGCTTTGATTGGAAAGAGGTATCTCCCGAAGTGGATCAAAGCTGCAAACTTGCAGAATCTCATATTTCCTTATGATGATATGGATAAGTTGATTCGTAAAGACCGTGAGCCTCCGGTTAAGTAAGTCTCTCTCTTTCTCAGTTCTCTGTGTGCCTTAGAATGAAGCCAGAGTTTGAGTTTATATCTGCATGATCTGGTGAATGTTGTTTGATTCTCTTAAAAGAACTTGTTTGGGAATTTCATTTTGTGTTTAGATAAGCCCAAGTTTTACCATATGTTGTTGTATATATATTTGAGTTGCTAAGATGTTGTTGATCAAAATGTTTGACTTCTTGGATATGATGAGTTAGTCTATTTGTCTGCAAGCATTAGCTTATATTAACAAACACTTTGGTACATGTTGAGTTTCTTTAGTCATCTAATTCAATCAAAAGTGCAAAACTTGCTACTTCTTAATATACCTAAAGTGTTTCCTGTGACTATATGCTTACTACTTTAGCCATGTTAATTTGTTTTTTTGTTGTTGCTAGATCTGTGTTTTGGGCTTTGTTTGGTGCTATCTATCTATGCTATGGGATGCCGGAAGTGTACCGTGTACTGTTTGAGGTGTTTGGGATGGACCCAGATTCAGAGGATTGCCAACCTCGAGCGAGGAGACAGCTTGAGGATGTAGATTATGTCTCTGTTGAATTCGAAGGCAAAAAGTTAAACTGGCAAGATATTGCTACTTACAAGGTAAAGAAACAAAGCTAAGTTTTTGATCAAAGAAGAGTGTTGAGTTTAGTCATTTAAACGCATTTTCTTTTCTTGTTTTTCTCTCTTTCCAGCCTCCTGAAGATGCTTTGTTCGCACACCCGAGGCTATTCAGAGCTTGTGTTCCACCGGGAATGCATCGTTTCAGAGGGAACATTTGGGATTTCGACAGCAAACCAAAAGTCATGCAAGCTTTAGGATACCCTTTACCGATGAACGATCGAATCCGTGAGATAACCGAAGCAAGAAACATCGAGCTAGGACTCGGTTTACAGGTAAAAGTTAAATACTTCATCCACATTCACTATGTTACTTTCCTTTCTTCTTCTATAACCTTTTTCATCCACAACAGCTCTGCTTCTTGCATCCTTCAAAGCACAAGTTCGAGCACCCGCGGTTCTGTTTCGAGCGGCTAGAATACGTAGGGCAGAAGATCCAGGACATAGCAATGGCGGAGCGTTTGTTGATGAAGCACCTGGACGCACCGGGGTTGTGGTTACAAGAGAAGCATCGGCGTTTGTTGATGAACAAATTCTGCGGTCGGTATCTGAGGGAGAAGCGTCTTCACAACTTTATAATCTACTCGGAGGAGGTTCATGATCGGTACGAACATAACCGGAGGCTTAGGAATCCGGCGACGACCGCTGTTCAACAAGCCATTCACGGTTTAGCATACACCATTTATGGTAAACCGGATGTTCGACGGCTCATGTTTGAGGTTTTCGACTTTGAACAGATTCAACCTAAAGCTGTCGTCTGAAAACAGAGCGCCTCTGTTTTTGTCTTGCATGTATTTTAGTTTGCTTCTGTAGCTAAAACTTTATGAAACTCTAATGATACCAAACTGTTTTTTTTTTTAAATTTATTTATAGTTTTGAGCACAACCCCAACATCAAACATGAAAGTACCAAACAAGCTTTGTAAATCTACAAAGCCAAACTTGATCCATTAAGTATACATTTGGATAGTTTGTAATCTAATTTACCTTTTCTTTGTTTAGTTCTTGAGGTGAGGGAAGCAAGCGACGACGTCGGATTTAGGGTGTTTACTGTTTAGCATCTGCTTGTTCAACTTCTGTTGTTGTGCAGATGAAAGTTTGCATGCAGACCTGCAATGTATATTTTCAGACAACAAAACAAGTTAATCTTCGGACTGGCACAGTCACATTCAGACATGAAGAATTAAGCTTGTAAGGAAAATTCTGATGTTGATGAGATTATGTTCAAAGTAATATGGCATATGAGAATGAAGCTATTTCTTCCTTCCATTATCGCAGTGTGTGTTTTCAATTCATCTTCAATTCTTTTTGTCAAATTCTAATATGGTATTTGATATTTTGAGAATTAAGTTCTTTTTCCTTCAAATTATTTTCATATTCATCTTCAAAAAATATTTCAGGTTCTTTCGAGAAATACCGTGTATTCCATAAAATATTTTTAATTTTCGAGACAAAAAGGAAAATCATGTATAGTATTGGTTTGATAACAAAAACCCTAGTCGTATATTCTTAACACTTAACACCAGTTTAGCTACTAGCAAAGCGCCACCGATGAAGCTCATAAGGATTTCTGGGTTTCTAAAACTGTTTCGTAAGCTCATAAAGATAAAACCAGCGAAAAAGTCAAACCATCCTCCACGGCCTCCGTCGCCGCCTCCGCCACTTTCTTCGTCGTTTGAATCACTACCGGAGGACATTGTTTTGACCTGCTTGGCTTTGATATCGACTTCGTACTACCCAAAGCTCTCTCTTGTCTCCACTAGCTTTCGCAGGCTTGTCCGCTCCGATAAGCTCTACAAGGTACGACGCCAACTTAAAACTGAAGAAGAGTGTTTTTATCTCTGTCTAAAATCGCGCACCAATCCCACCGATCCTTGCCTCATCTGGTATAGTCTCTGGATAAAACCTGATAATCAAACCCTAAACCAATGCATGACTGATGAAGACAAGTCTACTGGAAATTTATTGGTACCGGTGCAGTCTTCCTATCGTACTAATATACCAAATGTAAGGAGCGTAAGGGTTGGTTCAGAAATATACACGATACACTGTCGTAACTTTCCCCCATCGTCGGCTATGTGGGTCAAAAACGAGCTGACTGGCGAGAGGCGTGAAGCCCCTAGGATGATGATGGCTCGCAGGGAACCCGCACTTATGTGCGTCCTCGATGGGAAAATATATGTAATGGGAGGGTGTAGAGCTGATGAGTCGACGCATTGGGGTGAGGTTTTCGACGTAGAGACTCAAACTTGGGAACCTTTACCGGACCCTGGCCCTGAGGTCCGGTTCTCTTCAAATAAATTCCTAGCAGGAGCGGATGGAAATATTTATGTCAAGAACAAGAAGAAGATCTTTGTTTACCTTGTAGACGAAAATAAATGGGATGTCAAGCAAAGCTCGAGTGAGAGATTACAACATGGTGAGAGATTGGTTAAGGGTTGTGTGATAAAGGATGTAAAGTACGCTTATGCGAGAAAAATATGCTGGTGGAAAGACAAAATGTCAGACGAGTGGAGAATCGTCAAGGATTTGAATGGACTTGATGCGTATTTTATAAATGATGCTGAAGTTGGTACTTATGGTGGAAAGCTCGTAATCTTCTGGGACAGTCCTGCATCTTCTCGTCCATATAAAACCAAGAAAATATGGTGTGCTGTGATTTTGCTTGACAGGAGCCTCCATGGTGAAGTTGAGGGTCAAATTGAATGGGTTGATACTGTGGCTACAGTCCCTATGTCATACAGCCTCGTCAAGTGTGAGACCTTTTGGGTATGATTTTTGTTTTTAATAAGTCACACATACATTGATGATCCGAAGTGATGATCCATTGCGTTCGTTTTATAGACTATTATATATATGATATGCTGTTTTTGTTTTTGTTTTGGGGAAATCTATAACAGTTTTTATGTTTTACTTTTACCTATGATTGGATTTCTTCTAACATAATTTTGAAAGTGTTTTTCTTTCCCAGTTTTTGATTGTACTAACTCAACTCAAGAGAAGCTGAAAGTATTGACCTTGGTAAGTGGTAACAAATAATAAAACCAAATCAATGATGTAATCTCAAAAATGGAAATATTAAAGCAGATTCCATGTTACGACATCTCTTTCAATCATTCCATAGGACCCATTCACTTGTGCCGTTGAGATTAATGGGCCTTAAGCCAGTGGCCTTTTATATAGAAAGCCTAAGATATTCCCCTCTCACAACGGTCACATAGGATTGATTCCTCATTCACAACCGTTGGATGAAGATCCCATCGCACCGTCCAAATCAAAATTGGAAAATAAAAAATCAGACCGTTGGGAAAACTGCTCATCTTCCTCAAGAAGCCTCCTTTATAAGGCGGCCCCACTTGTGAGAGATAAAAAGGAAATACGAAGAAGAGAGAAATAGGAACGAACCTAAAAATGATGGCGTCTCGATCGATGGCTCCTCAACAAACCATGGGTAAGATAACATCTTTTCAGATTTTGTTTCTAGGGTTTACGGAAAATTGATCTAGTTTTCCGACTCATCCATGGTCTTCAATTTGGATTTGATTTATTGCTCTATCTGGGCTGATTTGATTGTGCAAATTGAATCTAAAGTCGTAAACTTGGTTTTGTTTGTTTAGGCGATGTTATCGTTGTGGAAGATGACAAAAATGCTGGGAAAGGAAGAAACCGGCGAGTTCTTCGTGATATAGGCAATGTTGTTCGAGAAAATTACCCAAAGAACGATCCTGCAAAGATCAATCGTCCTCGTACACGCTCTCAACACGCCCCACTTGTGGAGGTAAATCCTCAAAGTTTCTTCCTTTTCATCTCTGAACAATTAGGTTTCTTCATTAGTCTTTGATAGCTCATGTGTTTGATCTGCAGCCTATTAAAGCGGATAAACCTGCCGTCAAGAGAAACGTTGTACCAAAGCAGAGGAAAAGAGCTGAGAAACCAAAGGTTGTGGAGATCATAGAGATAAGCTCAGACAGTGATGAAGAACAAGGTTTAGTCGCTGTCCAGGCGAAAAATGCTAATAAGAAGAAAGCAATCTCTTACACATCTGTTCTCACCGCTAGAAGCAAGGTAAAATGATAATAATAACCATAGTTTGTTTTAAAAAAAGAAAATGTTTTTACTCTGTTCTGAATTCTCATTCTGTTGTTTTTTTCAGGCTGCTTGTGGATTGGAGAAGAAACCGAAAGAAGCCATTGTTGATATCGACGCAGCTGATGCTGAGAATGATCTTGCAGCTGTGGAATATGTTGAAGATATCTACAGTTTCTACAAGTCTGTTGAGGTTGGTATCATATCATTCATGAATCTTTTCCTTGTGGTAATGAAATTGTAGAATTGATTTCAAGTTTTATCATTTGGATTGGCAGAGTGAATGGCGACCACAAGATTACATGAGATCGCAGCCTGAGATTAATGAAAAGATGAGACTGATTCTGGTGGAATGGTTGATAGATGTACATGTCAGATTCGAGCTGAATCCAGAGACATTTTACCTCACTGTTAACATTTTGGATCGGTTCTTGTCGGCTAAGCCAGTGCCTAGAAACGAATTGCAGCTGGTTGGTGTCAGTGCTCTTCTCATGTCATCCAAATACGAAGAAATCTGGCCTCCACAGGTGATAAAGACAAAGGACTTTTGAAACCATTTGATTGATGATAGCTTCTTGTTTTGATCTGAATTTGAAGCATGAATCTTTTTGTAGGTGGAGGATCTAGTTGATATTGCAGACCATGCATACACTCACAAACAGATTCTGGTGATGGAGAAGACAATACTGTCTACACTCGTGTGGTACTTGACAGTTCCGACTCATTATGTCTTCCTTGCTCGTTTCATCAAAGCTTCCATTGCAGATGAACAGGTAAGAAAGAGAGCTTTCATATCAGTTTCTTCCATCGCTTTAGCAACATTACGTTAATAATATTCATATTGGGTTTGGTTCTCTGTCTTCAGATGGAGAATATGGTGCACTATTTGGCGGAGTTGGGCGTAATGCATTACGACACGACGATAATGTTCAGTCCCTCTATGGTTGCTGCCTCTGCAATCTACGCAGCGAGGTCTGCTCTTCACCAAGTTCCTGTATGGACTAACACTCTCAAGCATCACACTGGCTATTCTGAAACTCAGCTCATGTAAGTTAAAAAGAAAAGAAAAGCTCCTTCCTTCCTTTTTCATCTTCCTCGATTTGTGGGTTGGATTTTGATTGTTTTGCCCTGTAACAGGGACTGTGCAAAGCTTTTGGCGTATCAGCAGTGGAAGCAGCAGCAAGAAGGGTGTGTGAACGCTAAGGGAGCTTTACGGAAGAAGTACTCCAAGGATGAGAGATTCGCTGTGGCTTTGATCCCTCCGGCCAAATCTTTGTTGACCGGATCTGAGTCTGCTTAGGAGTTGGGATGTATCAAGGGGAAGAAATGAAGTGAAAGAAGAAGAAGAAAGAATCTACTAGCTTCATTAGATTTAAAATTTTGTACAAGTCTAATGATTCACTTTGGAAACATAAATTTCTCTATCAAAACCAATTTCTTAACTCTTACATGATTTCTCAACTTCAAAGCTTATGTTTCCGTCTCGTTGCTTTGCCTCAGCCACTCCCACCCATTCAGAGTTTTCCCCAAAATATCTTCAAGCCATGATCAAGAAGACACTGCAACTTTGGCGAAGTGAAGAGATTAGGCTCAGTTGGTATTTTGGCGGGAGATTCTGCGACCAACCTTTTTGGGAAGCTTTGTTCGCCACAAGGCTCACAACATAGTGGGGTTTGTATCCATGTGAAAACCGCAAATCAAATCATCTTTGCATCTTCACTCACGTTCACGTTAAGTTCCAAAGGACCTTCTCCTAACAAATGTCTTACACCAATCCACAGCTTTAGAGAACATCTCCATTATTGACCGTTTCCTTCTCCTTTCATCTTCAAGATCAAGTGTTCGATAAGCTAGTGTAAGCAAGTAGATACCAGGGTGAAGTCTCCTGGAGAAGATTAAAGTCATGAATAACTTGGATGCAAAAACCTTTTCATAGAAGTATTTTTTCTAAGTACAACCTTACCCATCCAGTGTAGCGCCCTCTTCCAATCCATCCCAGAATCGTTGAGCGAGGACTGTCCGGCCCTTTTTATCTTTTCCAAAAGTTTCAATATACCAACCTCCAACATCATGCATACCACAACGTGGCTCAAACAACCAAAACCTGTTTCCATATACACACAACAAATTATGCCATCAAGATAATTGTGAGACAGAACAGAAACAGAGCAAATAAGCTATTTGGCTTACTTGCTTGGTGGTAGTTTTGCTCTACTGCATCTACACTCGCAAACAGAAACCTTTTCCCCAATCCTGTACCAGTGCAAATGTCTCACCTGCAGAGTGTGAATAACAAGTTCTATCCAATGACTAACAGGCTAATCTTATATGCATCAAATAACAATGCCCCACGTTTTCGAATATGTGAAATGTAATCATATGAGTCACCAACCAGAAATGTCCTATGCTTCATTATCACATGAGTCTTAGCACCATTTCCATCATATACATCACATGAACCTTCGTCTGGACTTGTCCCAAGACCACTTATAGTTCCAACAAGAAGTCTGGCTCCACTTTCATTTCTAGGAGACGATTCACTGCCATGACTAGAACCTTCATCTGAATTTAGGAAAACGTGTATTTGATCGTGATCACCCTCATTTTGTTTCTTCTCGCGATACCCTTTTGGGGGAACTCTAATGGCTGTAGCAACAACTCTTCCAGATACATGCAGCTGAATATCTTTATATGCATCCGAAACAGGGTTTTCACTTCTTGACGATTCTATATGAGACATCTGAAGACCAATTATTTCATCAGATGTCATGCCGTAGTTGCCTCTCTCAGCTGCTTGCCACAGGTCCGGATCCATAAACGACGACAAAGCCAGTTTCTTGGAGCAATCAGAAGAAATCTCAAGGAAGTTATCTACCAAGCAAACCATGCCAAAAAGATCTCGTCCTGAAACCAAGTGCAAAACCTCTCGTGTCTCATACACAGACCTTTCCTCAGCTTCAAAGCAATCAGGAAGAAGCTCCACAGATTCTACATCAGGCCCAAAGTATGCCGCTCGGATAGCTGAATGAAAATCTTCTTCCAGTTCATCTAAGTAGCCTGTGCCACCGCTTGCTACTCGCTTCTCCATCACTATATCATGTATTGCTTCTCTGTAACACTTTAGCCATTCCACCACTTCCATCTCCTCACTCAATGTCAATCGTGCTTTATACCTGTAGAGCACATATCCTTCTCTAGAACGCTTCGTCGTTACCATTCTCCGAGATAGCAGATATCTATCATAGTGTGCCCTCCTTTCAGAATCTGAAAGAATCTGCATTATTACCACAAATCAATAGCATTCTAAATCAATGTGAACACCCCAATTCCTTCAAGTTTCTTCTCTTCCTCAAGCTAATATAATCACAAAAGTGAAAAAAATTGAACCGTTTCTCTTCTTCTTAGCTAAGAGTTTCATTCCAGAAACAAATCAATCCACCAAAATGCAACCAATTAAACATATCGATCATGATCTAGCTCCATTGGAAACCTCAAGCCAATCGCAAATTCGAACAAACTACACAAAATGAGAGTGAAGCTTCCCTGTACCTCATAAGCAGCGAGAATCTGAACGAAACGTATCGAAGTAGACGAATCCTTCTTCGAGTCGACCAGGTCCGGATGAGTCTCTTTGGCGAGTCTGCGAAATGATGCTTTGATCTCCGCGATTGAGCTGGTTTCGGAGACACTCAAGATATCGTAGGCGTTCTCCACCGGAAACTCAGCCCGATTCGACTCAGCCTCGCCACTGAGCAACCGAGTACTTCCCTGACTCAGGTTGAAGAGAAACCGCGACGGTTCGCATCCGTAATTCAGCTGAATCGGAGCCGATGAGCCAATACACCGTCGTATAAGTCCGGCGAAAATCGTCATTTCCGTCCTCTTTGTCTTCAACAAACAATTTTCAGGTGGGAAGAATAATGGCACGGCGAGGACACGTGGGATCTCGGAATCCGGCCACGTCATGATTAGCTCAGGCTGGTCAACAGTAAAAACGGTCCTATGGAAGAGAGAACATGACATGAGCCAATTAAACTAAATGGGCCATAGATTAGTAATGGGCCTGGATCCACTTAAATGATGAGGAAGTGGATGTGATACGTGGTCGCATACTAACCATGGCCTTCCACGTGATGAGAACCATGCAAGTTTTTGTTTCACCTAATTATTTTTTAGTTTCCATTTTCCAATACGGTCTTTTTTTTTCTTTTAACTGCAAATAAGAAGATGGTTATTATACTGTATTCCTTTACATTTGGTTCCTGAATTCACTAGGTGAGGTTACAAAGCATTTTTAACATAATCTCATGTCACATATTCGACGTACACCATGGCAAAAATAGATTATATGTTTAATGAAATTGAGTTGTCACTTCTTCTTTTAACCAATTGATTCGGTACTACACACAACAAAAGAAAACCAATTATCTCTATATGATTATTGTATCTATATACTATATGCTGTCATAGTTGATCAGAAAATAAAAAACATGTGGTTTTTAGATGCTACATTTATTGCAATCTTTTGTATACATGCCAAATTTAAGCGCTGACTATAACAAATGTAGTTGAGTATAATAACTAATAGATTTTGACTAGAAAAAAATATGATATTATATATCGAAACTGTATTTTTTCCTTTCACATATGACTAGAATGGCCGGTGATTTTTAGTTTGTACTACTAACCTTTTCTATTTCAGAAAACAAATGACCACTTATAAATACATCTTATTTGTTACATATAAATGACTGTAGTTTGTGTTAATGTGTTAGTTAGCAATTCGCGTTTAACCATTTTGTTGTTGAATAGTAGACAATAACTATGTTACCACTTACCACACACCGATCCAAAATGGCAAAATCGTTCTACCTCGTTTAAACTTTCCAATTTACAAACTATTTCAGGCTTGATTACAAATTTCAAAAAATTAAATAATCGCATATTCGACAATCCAACAAACATCGGATTCCAGCTCCTTTTTCCCCCATTTATAAATCAAGATATTTCGAAAGAAATCGCATTTTTTTTATTACCTCTTCCACAAAAATAAGAGATTAAAAAAAAAATACCAAACACTTTAAAACAAAACGAGTATCATAATTTCCTAAGCTGATAACAAGAGATAACAAGAGAGGAAAACGATAGAAGATCAGATTCTTTGTGTCTAGAGAGAGAAAAAGAGAGAGATGGGTGTAGTAGAGGAAGCTCACAACTTGAAGGTCATTGGCTCAGGTAACCAAGCCACGATCGTGTTAGGTCACGGGTTCGGCACGGACCAGTCAGTGTGGAAACACCTGGTCCCACATCTGGTCGACGATTACCGCATCGTCCTCTACGATAACATGGGAGCTGGCACGACTAACCCTGACTACTTCGACTTCGATCGTTACTCGACTCTCGAAGGTTTCTCTTTCGATTTGATTGCCATCTTGGAAGATCTCCAAATTCAGTCTTGTATCTTTGTTGGTCACTCTGTTTCCGCCATGGTCGGTGTCTTGGCTTCCCTTAACCGTCCTGATCTCTTCTCCAAAATCGTCATGATCTCTGCTTCTCCCAGGTATAATCATTTTTTTTCTTACAGATTCTCTCTGACATAATTTCGACAAAAGGGTCTTTCTGTTCCTTTTCTTGTCTGAATACTATTTCACAAAGTCAATTAAAGAATCATTTTCATTTATACTCCTCTGTTAATTATTTGGTGAGATTCATAGAATGTTTTGTTTTTTTTTTTTAATATAATTTCGAGAAAGGGCTTCTCTGTTTCTTCTCTTGTGACTCTGAATTATCATTTTACTCAACATCAATAATTTCAGTATAAGTTCCATAATTGTTTTATTATTGGTTTTGATCCCAAAAAAAATAAAAAAAATTGTGATAGTTTAGTCGAATTTCTTTGTTTTTTTTTTGGGTGCGTTTTAGATACGTGAACGATGTTGATTACCAAGGTGGATTCGAGCAAGAAGACCTAAACCAACTATTCGAGGCAATGAAAAGCAACTACAAAGCGTGGTGCTTAGGTTTCGCACCACTCGCCGTCGGCGGCGACATGGACTCGGTGGCCGTTCAAGAATTCAGCAGAACGCTCTTCAACATGCGTCCGGACATAGCTCTCTCCGTGGCACAGACCATATTCCAAAGCGACATGAGAGAGATCTTACCTTTTGTCGCTGTCCCTTGTCACATCCTCCAAAGCGTTAAGGACTTGGCCGTACCGGTCGTCGTCTCCGAGTATCTTCACAACAATATCGGATCTGAATCCGTCGTGGAAGTTATTCCTTCCGATGGTCATCTTCCTCAGCTAAGCTCGCCGGATTCTGTTATCCCTGTTCTCCTCCGTCACATTCGCAATGACATCGCTGTGTGATTGAGAGATTTTTAATTAATTACCATTAATTAACGATATGTCATAAAATACTGGACATTAAATATCTGATGTGATATGTCTGTCTATTGAGAATATCGTTTCGTTGTCGTTTGGTTCTGATTCGTTTATCTTGGATCGTTCTCGTTGTTCTTGTTCTTATCTTGTTTCAAGAAAAGTTTCTTGTCTTTTCTTTGCTCAGCCTCATTATTGATGTACTCATATTATATCGTTGTAATAGTGAATCAATGTTCGTAACCGATGGTCCATGGTGAATTATTTCGAGTGTCCTTGTGCAGCTTGTGACTTGTGTAATGGATCAGCGTACAATGAAAAAAAAATGGAATTAAAGTCTGGTAGCCAAATCAATGGTTCTTGTGAATCATGTAAACCATGTAACGGTTCTGATTTGTAAAGATATGAAAAGGGCATTTTATGTTGTATGTATATCTCTCAAAATCTTTATCATTGCCATTTGCCACATTGGGGTCTTGTTTTGTCAAGAGGTGAACGAAGGAAACTATATGAAAGCTGTATCTATTATGATCTTACTGATTTGTCACGTCCTCTCTTTGGTGATATTTATCTCTAGCGAGTGTTATTGGCTTTTGTTTTCTCTGTTTTAACTTGTTCTTGGAGGTTGTTGGCAGAAATGAATGGGACGAGAAACTTACCATTTAATTAGTTTATCTGTGTGTTCAGGTGCTGAGAGAAGAACCGATCGAACTTCTCAAGATATCTCGAAAGAAATGCCATATATATTTTACTACCTCTTCGGCTCTTCCACACAAATAAAAAAAAGTGTATTTTTCTAAAAAATGACAAACACTTAAAAACAAACGAGTACCATAATTTCATTAAGCTGGTAATAAGAGATAACAAGAGGAAAACGAGAGAGGAAGATTATTTTGAGCTTAAAGAGAGATGGGTGTAGTAGAGGAAGCTCACAACGTGAAGGTCATTGGCTCAGGAGGTCGAGGTACGATCGTGTTAGGTCACGGGTTTGGCACGGACCAGTCAGTGTGGAAACACCTGGTCCCACATCTGGTTGACGATTACCGTGTTGTGCTCTACGACAACATGGGAGCCGGTACGACTAACCCGGATTATTTCGATTTTGAACGTTACTCGACTCTCGAAGGTTTCGCTTTTGATTTGATTGCAATCTTGGAAGAGCTTCAAATTCAGTCTTGTATCTTTGTTGGTCACTCTCTTTCCGCTATGGTTGGTATCTTGGCTTCCCTTAACCGACCTGGTCTCTTCTCCAAAATCGTTATGCTTTCTTCTTCCCCAAGGTATTATAGTCTTCATATTCATTCGTTTTTTACAAGAAGTGTCGTTTAATTGTTTATACATATTAATAAAATATATTAAAATTTCTTCAATACTCCTTATTGATACAAATTTCATTTAAAATTTTTGTATAAAAATTCTTAAATGACACTTTTATTTATTTAAAAACAAGCCTAGAACGTAACACATTTATTTTAGATAAGAAAATCCCCTAGTTTGTTAACATAATCATTGTTTTTGGTTGCGTTTTAGATTCGTAAACGATGTTGATTACCAAGGCGGATTCGAGGCAGACGACCTAAACCAACTCTTCGAAGCGATGGCAAGCAACTACAAAGCGTGGTGCTTAGGTTTCGCTCCGCTCGTCGTCGGCGGCGACTTAGACTCGGTCGCCGTTCAAGAATTCAGCAGAACACTCTTCAACATGCGTCCGGACATAGCTCTCTGCGTGGCTCAGACCATCTTCCAAAGCGATATGAGACAGGTGTTACCTTTGGTCGCTGTGCCTTGTCACATCCTCCAAAGCGCTAAGGACTTGGCCGTACCAGTCGTCGTCTCCGAGTACCTTCACAACAATCTCGGATCTGAATCCGTCGTCGAGGTTATGCCTTCCGATGGTCATCTTCCTCAGCTTAGCTCGCCGGATACCGTTATCCCTGTTCTCGTCCGTCACATTCGCAAAGACATCGCTGCCTGATGATGATGATAGATTATAATTACATTAATTAATAAAACAAAACAAAAAATGAAAAATGTAACTACAGTATCTGATGTGATATGGCTGTCTATAGACTTATTGAGAGTATCGTTCCGTTGTCGTTTGATTCGTTTGTCTTGTTGGATCGTTGTTGTTGTTGTTATCTTGTTTCAACCAAAAGTCTTTTGTCTTTTGTAACCAGCTTTGCTCGACCTCATTATTAATGTGGTCATATAATGTCGATGTAATAGTGATCGATATGTTCGTGATTGAATTATTTCAAGTGTCGTTGTGCAGCCTATACTCTATGTGAAGAGTGAAGAGTAATGTATTTGCAAAGATTTCTCAGTTTTCCTATTACTTCTGACAATTTTAAACCATTGAGAAAAATACATGCATTGGATTAGAATTATATTTTAAACAACAAAATATGCTATTGTATTTTTTTTGGGTCAACAATTTTATCGTGTTTTGCTAATAGTCTAATACCGTAATACTATTTCCTTTCTTTTCAGTCAAAATTATTTATTATATTTCGTCTAAATTTCAGTCAACGTAGAATACCAGATAAGAGATAAGATACTATTGTAAAATACAAAGTTGACAGTTTCCAAAACTCGAGAAAAATATAGCCAAAACGAGGAAAAGAAAGCTCCAAAAAATAAGAAAAGCAAACAAAATCAGTCAAAATTAGAATTAAACTGTCATTTTTTACTGCTAAAAAGTAAAAACAATTTCCATTTAATGGTATGAGACTTTATATAAAAACTGGTCAAAATATATATTTGGTCCAAACTTAAATCAGGTTGTTTGCTTACCAAAACTAGTTGAGTTAGCCCACTATAAAAGGGCATTGATAAGTAAGCTGGCCCATCTATAGACCATAACAAAAACTGTGGACAAAGTCACGTGACAAGAAGCTTCACACGTGCGCCACTCTTGCCCCAAAATTTGATTTGCACCACTTATTGCAGCAGCACCACAACAGGAGGCACCACCACCACCATCATCCTTCTCCGTCACATTTCAATTTCTTCTCCGTTTCGCTCTCCGTCAAAGTCTTCCCTCTTTACCGTTTCCTCTACTTTAAATTCCCGTTTTACCCCCCCATCATTTCCGAGTCACGAACAGAGATAAGATAAAAACCAGGCCGAATTCGCCAATCGGAGACACGCTCGTTGTTTCGGAGAAATGGCGACGGCGGCATCGGAACGAGCCGAATTGGCCAAGCACTGCAGTTCTCGGAACTGGTCCAAAGCGATCCGAGTTCTCGATTCGCTCCTTGCTAAGCAGTGCTCAATTCTGGACATATGGTTAGTCCCCTCGATCTTAATTCTCAACATTCGATTTCTCTTCGGATCGAGTTTCAATTTTCAATCGTTAATCTCAATTTTCTCTTGATTGGCAGCAATAGAGCTTTCTGCTATAATCAATTGGAACTTCACAAGCATGTGATTAAGGACTGTGACAGAGCTCTCCAGCTTGACGCTTCTGCCATTCAAGCTTATATTCTCAAAGGTTAGTTCACTTCCAAGCTTTAACTAGTGCTTAGCTTCGGGAACTAGAATCTGGGTTAGTTAATTCTAGTTATGATGATATGGTGTTAGTCTTAGTCTTGCTACGAAGCTCACGAATCTGATGGAAATGCAATTTTGTTAGATTAGAGTCGAATAGTGTTGTTTTTGTGACCTTATACAACCGGGGGATGAAATTCCGATGGTTTGGGGACTCTGTTCTGTGATTGGTATACTCAAGTGTATTAGCTTTTTTTCCATCTAGGACGCGCTCTTTTGGCTTTGGGGAGAAAACAGGAAGCTGTTCTTGTTTTGGAGCAAGGGTATAAAAACGCTTTGGAGCAGACTGCAGATGTGAAGCAGTTACTTGAATTAGAAGAGCTTCTGAAGGATGCGAGACGAGAAATCGACGACACTCTTAAACATCAAGCCACTGAGTCCCGGAAAGAGACCCCTGTTTTGCCTCTAGGGTCGTGTGCTAGTGAGAAATCTGATGAGAAAATTGACAAGCGGGACAAAAAGGATATGGTAACTGAGATAAGCGATAAAGGTGGTTGCAAAATATCGAGTATGCCAGTTTCGGATTCGGAATCAGGAGCATTTAGCAATGGGAAATCTCACGAGTCCTCCGGTGAATTGGCCGAGAAATCAAAGATAAACGGTTCTTCAAAGGGTGCAACGAAGGCAAGCAAGCAATCTGGTGGTACTTCTGACTTATGTAATGGATCAGCGTGCAAGGAGAAAAAGAATGGAAAGTCTGGCAGCCAAATCAATGGTTCTTGCGAATCAAGTAAACCATGTAACGGTTCTGATTTGCATGATGATTTAGCTGAAAGTTCTGATCGGTTAGGGGAGCTGTCGATTATTGGAAACGGTACGACCGTATCTATTAGCAAATTGGGCAATAAAAATGTTATGGTGCGTTGCGGAGTTAGCGATGAAAACAAGAAAAATAAGAAGTACACCATAGCAAGAATATCAGAAAACCAGTCTATAAGTGTGGATTTTCGACTTTCTAGAGGCATTGCACAGGTATATACCTATACATAAAAGAATAAGAATTGAGCATTTTATGTTGTATCTCCCAAAATCTTGATCATTGGGCTCTTGTTTTGTCAACAGGTGAACGAAGGAAATTATATAAAAGCTATATCTATTTTTGATAAGGTGATTTGTCATCTACCCCTCTTTGGTGATCTTTATCTCTGGCGAGTGTTTTTCGCTTTTCTTTTCTCTGTTTTAACTTCTTCTTGGAGGTTGAATGGCAGAAATGAATGGGTCAAAATATTTACCATTTAGTTTATCTGTGTGCAGGTACTGAAAGAAGAACCGACTTACCCTGAGGCACTTATAGGAAGAGGGACAGCGTATGCATTTCAACGAGAGCTTGAAAATGCTATAGCTGATTTTACTAAGGTATTTGTATATTTGACAAGAGTTGTTGCCACTGTGGGTTAAGTTCACCAAATCTGCTCTTATGATTTTGATTGTCAGGCTATTCAATCTAACCCAGCAGCAGGTGAGGCCTGGAAGCGGAGGGGACAGGCTCGTGCTGCTCTTGGGGAATTTGTCGAGGTTAGTGGGCGCACGTCTTCTCTGCTTTTGTTCTTTAATCAAAGCTCAAAGCATAACAACTAGTTTTATGGGACTTCTTCCAACTGTTCGCCATGCACATTTATTGATTGATAAGTATAATTGCCTGATTGATATCCAATAATTTGGTTTGTCTCTGATTGATGTCAGTGTTTAAGTCCCTGTTTAGTTTATGCATTTGATGGGTAAAAATCCAGAAAGGTTTCTTGTACAACACTTCTAAGCTACCCTTTTGTGGTAGGCGGTTGAAGATTTGACTAAAGCACTGGTTTTTGAGCCAAACTCACCCGATATATTGCACGAAAGGGGTAAGTGCCTGTTTTTGCTTCCTTTTATATCTTGCTCCCTAGTTTGATTTCTTAATGCCTGTTTTCTCTTTGGTGAAAAACCATAAAGTACCACTGACATTTGCAATCAATTCAGGTATTGTTAATTTCAAATCTAAGGACTTCAATGCTGCTGTAAAAGACCTATCTATATGTCTGAAGCAAGAGAAAGATAACAAGTCCGCGTATACTTATTTGGTAGGACTATTGTGTGTTGTTATTCTTGGTTTTGAAAGTAATCATGAATTCAAATTCTTTTCTTAGTAAAACTTTGTTGATCTTTCCAGGGACTAGCATTTTCTTCGCTCGGAGAATATACAAAAGCTGAAGAGGCGCATATGAAGTCCATCCAGTTGGATAGTAATTATTTTGAAGCATGGCTTCATCTCGCCCAGGTAACACGCAAATACAAAATATATATATGATTATTTACTTTTTCCATTAAATTTTCAAGTATCAAGCCGAGCTATTATGAAGATAGCATTTTGGGCATTTCTTATTTTTGATCTGGGTTTACATGCATATATGACGATGGATAATTGAAGATAGTGCTTGAATATATTTATATTTGATCTGTACTTGATGGTTGTTTCCTGGCTTTTCCTGGCAGTTCTATCAAGAGTTGGCCGATCACAGCAAGGCTTTGGAATGCACTGAGAAGGTTTTACATGTCGACAATAGGTAGCCCTTAATTGGGATGCACTATCACATGTTGCACTATATTTCTGGCTTTGCCATCGTAGTCATGAAGATTTTCCTGTCTTGTCTAGGGTTTGGAAGGCCTATCACTTGCGTGGATTAGTGTTCCATGGATTAGGTGAACACAGGTACGTACCATTAGTGTAAATAAAGATTTCTGGAATGGTGTAAAGGGGAAATCTGTCTTCGTTACTTAAAATGTCCATGAATGATCCAAGCATAATCCCATTGTCTACTTTAAAATATGAGGTCCGATTAAATTTTCTTCTCCTAGCTCTTGGTGGTAAAAAGCTCTGCGTTTTTTAAAAAGGATTATTATAGGAAGCTGATAATTTGGTTGTCATAATTACCTTGGAATTTATGTACAAGCTTGTCCTTAAAGCAGTGATATTATTCACCTGTAGTTGTTTTTGGTAAATTTAATTTTCAGGAAGGCTATCCAAGAATTATCTATTGGCTTGAGCATTGAGACTTCAATAGAGTGCTTGTACCTACGAGGTTCCTGCTATCATGCTGTAGGAGAGTATAGAGATGCGGTAAGTATAAAATAAATTTTGTTTATATTTAACGTTATAAGGAGAGTCTCTCTTATTACTTGCATGGAATATACTCACAGGTGAAGGACTATGATGCTACAGTGGACGTGGACCTCGATGCAGTGGAGAAATTTGTTCTTCAATGCTTGGCATTTTATCAGGTGAAAGATTTTTTTTTGTTAATAACCCAGAGGTTGACTGAATTCATGGCCTTAGTTATCTGATAGTTCTGCTTATTTATTACTACCATACTGAACAATGAAAACCTCCCTATATGGCTATATCTAATAAAATTGGATGCTTCATTTGTAGCAGCCTTAAACTTTTCCGTCACAATAAATCTTTACGTTATCCTCTTTTCTTTCGCAGAAAGAGATTGCCTTGTATACGGCTTCCAAAATTAGTAGTGAGTTTATCTGCTTTGATATTGATGGTGACATAGATCCAATGTTCAAGGTAATATTTCTCTCTCTTTAATATCCGTATCTAAATTGAGCCTTTAGTTGGTTTTGAGATATGATATGACTACGACTGCTTTCAAGTGCTGTATGTGGATGTGTGAAAGCAGATCTCAGAGTTCCTTGTGCTTTCTCATTGTCCTTTTTCCCACTCGTGAATGTGACTTTTTATTTCCTGTGGGCTTTCAGGAGTACTGGTGCAAAAGATTACACCCAAAAAGTGTATGTGAAAAGGTTTACAGACAACCTCCCCTACGTGAATCTCTTAAGAAGGGTAAACTGAAAAAGCAAGATCTTGCAATAACCAAACAGAAGGCGAATCTTCTTCGTTTTGCTGATTTAATTGGCAAGAAAATACAATATGATTGTCCCGGATTCCTACCGAACAGACGTCAGGTGACTTTAATTGGCTCAAACCTATGCATGCATCCCCTCTTTTTTTTTTGTCGTCCCAGAAGGTCCCTGTTACATCTGCATATATTCCCTCAATACTCGAATGAATATGCTTATAATGTTTTATATGTGCATCTAGTAAAACTATTGTATTCCTTTGATCATTTGTGTTTCCATGATCTTCCAGCACCGTATGGCAGGATTGGCTGTGATAGAAATCGCTCAAAAGGTTTCAAAAGCTTGGCGCATAGAGTGGAGGAATTCAAACAAAGTCACGGCAAAAAATGGAAAAAAGAACCGTAGGAGAGAGAGAATCAACATGCTTAGCCAAAACAGAGGTGGTGCTGGGTGTAGTACTAGCAGCAGTTCCAATGAAACGTCAACCGGATATGCCTCGCTTGAAGATCGATCATCTAGCCGCTCTATGTTGTCTTGGCAAGACGTTTACTCCTCTGCTGTCAGATGGAGACAAATTTCAGAGCCTTGTGACCCTGTTTTGTGGGTTAACAAACTAAGGTATAAGCTCCACTTCCTATGCTTTTATTTTTTCTGAGTTTTTCAATTTGATTACTTGGGTGGTTGAGACTGTTTATGCTATTTGCAGTGAGGAGTTTAACGCTGGGTTTGGTTCTCATACACCGATGGTACTCGGACAAGCTAAAACAATACGCTATTTCCCAAATTATGAAAGGTAAAGTATTCATAGAACATGAGATTGTTTCATATATTCAATCATTCGATGGACTGATCAAATTCTAATATGTTACTTCAGAACCCTGAATCTTGCAAAGAGCGTCATCAAGGATAAACTCACTGCACGCAGCAAGGAAGATAAACTTATTGATCTATCTGAAGATGGGAAGATAGAAAAAGTCAGTTTTTTTCCTCTCTTCTCACCACGTGAGTGATTCTCGTTTTGTCAATGTTCTCTAACTGTATTTCCCTTACGAGATGCAGATAATGCGTGCTGAAACTTGCGATGAGCTACACAAAATCGTTGGTGAGGATTTCTGGGTGGCTACTTGGTGCGACAGTACCGCATTCGAAGGGTAGGTTTCTTGATTACTTATGAATGTGACACTAAGCAAGATCGTTTCCTCTGTTTCTTGACTGTGCTTCTTACTCTGCTAATAATTTCAGGAAACGCCTCCAAGGGACTAGAATCACCTGCATTAAAAAACCGTAAACATTACTTTTTACGCAGTTGATTTCACGAAATCCTAATCACCACAACTTTCTTCAACAAAATTTCTCTTGATTTTTTTCTTCATCCAGGGGAAGGCTTGGGTATGATTTTGCAATTCGAACTCCATGTACACCTGCGAGGTGGAGTGATTTTGACGAAGAAATGACTGCTTCTTGGGTGGTAAGACCTAAGCAGACACAAAACATTTCTTCTTCTTTTTGTTTCTTTCCTGAGAAAACTAACTCAAAAGTCCATCTGAATCCACAGGCTTTATGCAATGCCTATTGTGGAGAGAATTATGGTTCTACTGACCTCGAAGCTCTAGAAACCATTAGAGACGCTATCTTACGCATGACATATTACTGGTAAATGACAAAACATAACGTATTTGATAACTCAGAATCGGTTGGCATGTAACTGTAAGTGTCGGATTGTTTAAGGTACAATTTTATGCCGTTAGCTCGAGGAACTGCGGTAACGGGATTTGTAGTGTTACTCGGAGTTTTGCTAGCTGCTAACATGGAGTTCACTGAGCATATCCCAAAAGGGTTACAAATTGATTGGGAAGCTATACTTAATGTTGAACCGGGTTCGTTTGTTGGTTCGGTTAAGTCTTGGTTATACCCATCCCTGAAAATCAACACGTCGTGGAGAGACCACCCGGAGGTCTCCTCGGCTTTTTCGACGACGGGATCGGTTGTCGCGGCGCTTAGCTCTTACAACGATTGAGGTGAAACAAGCTTACCAAGCTTGAGCTGTAAGGGAAAAGTTGTGTTTCTGTCCAAAAATCTTCAGCTTATGATTTTGTTTCTGTCTTAACAAAAAAAAAAAAAAAAACAAAAAGAGCTTTGTTAGGGTTTATAAAGTATGGCAACTTTCATGTTTAGATTGTATTTTTACAGCCATTTAATTATGTGTTTCTATAGTATGATCTCTCGCGTTTCAAATCACAAGTCAACTGTGTTGCTTATGATTTACGAAGCTGTACTGATCAATTACGGCATTAGCTTGAGACAACTGTGGTGTTAATGAAATTCTCAGATATTAATAATATCATAAGTCAAAGATTACGTGAATTTCCACACCAGATCAGTCTAGTATGCTTGGTCTGAGTTATAAGTAAATTGTGCAGGTCTAAGTCAAATGGTTCTATAACATTGTTTTTTTTTTTCGTATAGAAATGAAAATTGTTCCCATCATAATGTGATACACCATGGCTGGTAAGCCTGATATCATAATTACAGTATTGATATTAATTTATTTAATTACCATATTATATTTACTATATCTGACCTCATAATTTACTATATACATATATATTTGTTAATTATAATATTGGTTATGTTTAGATTTGAGCTCAAAAAAGAAGTTTACTAGATAAATATACCAATCTTGTTGAACAAAACAAAATATTGAAACTAATCTTACTTTTTTAGATTTATGAAAATCTTTAAAAAATTATTTTTGCAATTTATACACAAGCCATCCCGTAGATGAAAAGTAACACAAGAGAAAATTTATGACAAAATACAACAATATATTTCATAAGATTTATGACAAAATCTAAATTAATCTTACTTTTTTTAAGTTTATGACAAAAATGAATATCTAGATGAAATTTTGCAGTTCAAACTAATTTTTACTAACTCATATATCGATCTTGTTTTCAATTGTTATCTATTTGTTTAATTGATATCAACTAATTTTTACTAGTTTTAACAAAAATAATTTAATAAAAATCTAAAATTAATTATCTCTTAGATTATCTTAAGAATAACAATTAATGTGAAACTTTATTTCACTAAATGTTATTGCAAATTTGTATCTCATTGCTACAAAGATGTTCATTACAAAAGGGCTGGTTTTATCAAAGTTTTCTATATATAAATACACCCATATTGTATGGTCATACAACTCAAAAACCATTCATTTGCTAGTGCTACAGAGGTGAAGCTTGTATTCTTAGTAAATTGCTACTTTGCATTTGTTTAACAATTCCACCTCCATCGTTTTAGATTGGAAAACGAAGCTTCAACCAACTTCAAACCATGGCTGAAGGAAGCAGTAGTAATTTGAGGGCAATTAATACTGATGGTAAACCGAATGCAACTAAAGATGATGCAATTGCATATCTTAGGGCTGTGAAGAATAAATTTCAAAATGCTCCTGACAAATTTAACAAGTTAATAGCAATTTTGAATAATTTTAAAGCTCGAAGGTATATATATATATATATATATATATATATATATATATATATGTAAATGATTTTTTCAAAAATATGAGAATTTGTTGTGTAACAATCTACAAGTTTCTTAAAACTTATTAATTTTGAATATAATTTGATTGCAGAATTGATCAGAAGGGTTGTATAAAACAGGTGAATAAACTACTTAAAGGAAACAAAAACTTGATTTCGGGTTTCAATGTCTTCTTGCCAAAGTGTTTGGAGCTCGATGATTGGACCCCGGTACAAATACAATTCAGAGGCAAGTGATGTAGCCTCCAACATACCGTTTGTTGGGACCTAAAAACTGAATCGATTTGGTTTATATATAATCATTTATCTATCTTCATTTAGCAACTATATTTTCGAGTTAGCCATTATAGGCTTATAAATAAGATGCTAATATCTTTGATCTAGTAAATTTAGTCAATCTATAAAAGAAAAACTGATGTAAATTATTATATTGATAAATATGATGCTAATTTTAAATTTTCAGTTTTATAAGAATTTAACTAATTAATCTTGATAAACAAGATGCTTTCTTTTGGGTATATAAATTGGTACGACACATTGAGTTGTTAGTTTATATTGGGTCAGGGTTCTTAATTGGATCTTCTTTTCTTACAGCCGAATTTCTGACTTTTCTGATTGGCACCATTAATTGTCCCAAAAAAAGGAAAGGTGGAACTAAGTCATGAGAAGCAACAAAAGAAATCAAAATCTTAGATCCAAAGCAATACATTTGGTCGTTGGTTCGATGGTATTATTATGTGTCCATCTATGGCGCCTATTTGATTTTGTGGAAATCATGAAACCTTAAAGACAAATCAAGCAAGATTGATGAATGTGAACAAAGTGACTGTTATAACTTATAACCTGTTGATCTCTGTCCCTTAGTTGAAGTTATAGAATGATTTTCATTAGGTTACGACAGTAGCCTAAATTAGTTGGCGATGACGGTGACGGACCGTGTGGGCTAAACTGATACTAGTATATATCCGTGTGGGCTATTAACAGCTAAACTGATACTAGTATATATCCGTGTGGGCACCAATCTAGATTCAATCAACCAGCTGTCTCTTCTTCCATATCTTCCGACCAAAGACTCTTTTTAGTTTACGTTTCATCTCCTCTTTCTTGTTGTCTTATTGGATCACATTTTAGTGTCCACCACTTTGCATTCGACTTTGATCATTTTCATTCTTTTACGTTAATCGCATTATACTACAATAATTTCACCCGTGAATGCTAATCCAATGAACTTAGGACAAAATATTGTCAATTATTACAATATACTTCAATTGTTGCTGATAACTTCCCGACAAAAGTTAAATGACGACAGTGATAAATGTGTGAACAACATTGGTAATGAATTTTAATACAAGTACAACCACTTAGTTTCGAAGTAAAGTTTTACTAGAACACTAATTGTTATTTTTATCTCATCACAAACACATGCTCTAAACTTACCCCACCATTGGCGCATCAATTCGTCGCATAATAAAACAGATGAAAATGCCAAGAAAATATTATTTTCCGAAAAGGAGAAGTCGAGCAATTTGTAAAACAAAACAAAGAAAAAACACAAAATTAAAGGTATTGAGCCCCACATTAACAGATACAGGATTGCTTTGTTCTCAACGGCTACATCTCTCTGAGTTCCTTTTTTTATATCCAACGGTTCAGATCTATTCTCATTCGCTATTTATATTAAAAAGCACACTTCTTCTCTTTCACCATACAGCAACACGCTTGCTTAAAAATCACTATTTATATCTTCACTATCGATTCCATCTTTCTAAATTATTTTCTTCTTCTGATCGAAATTTTAAGAAAATTATGGATCGCAAGTCCCTCCTAACGGTTACAATGATCTGCATTGTCTTCGCCGGTGTCGGTGGGCAATCTCCGATCTCCTCTCCGACTAGTTCTCCCGCCGCTCCAACTACTTCCCCTACTAAATCCCCCGCCGTTACTTCTCCCTCCTCTCCAGCGGCGGCTCCGGCGACAACTCCGGCTTCTTCACCCGTCGAGTCACCGAAAACTCTGGCTTCTTCACCCGTCGACTCACCGAAATCTCCGGCCCCTGTAAGCTCTTCTCCGCCGCCGGCTTCTGTTCCTGAGAGCTCTCCTCCAGCTCCTGCACCCAAACCCTCTGCTCCGGTAAGTTCACCACCGGTCCCCGCACCAGAAGCTGATACTCCTCCGGCTCCGGTAGCAGCTCCGGTCGCTGATGTGCCAGCTCCGGCTCCAAGCAAGCACAAGAAGAAGACGAAGAAGAAGCATCAAAACGCACCGGCTCCGGCTCCCGAACTTCTCGGTCCACCTGCACCACCGATGGAATCTCCCGGTCCTAACTCCGACGCATTTTCTCCCGGTCCGTCCACATCCGCCGACGATCAGGTACATTAGCTTAAAATTAAAATAATACAATTGTTCAATTGCCATTTCATTCATTATAAACATCAGTTTCAATTATTTTTATAAAAACTAATTTTGTATTGTATGTAATTAATGCAGACACTTAACATCGGTTCCAATTTTTGTTGTAAATATTAATTTTGGTATTTAATGAATGCAGAGTGGAGCAGAGAGCACAAGTGTGTTGCGGAATGTAGCGGTGGGAGCAGCTGCAACCGCGTGGGCCGTTCTTGTTATGGCGTTTTAATTTATTTATCTTATTCATCCCTTAATTTGTTTAGTTTTTCTTTTTTTGACCCTACCATTGTCTCTTCCTTTATGAATTTGGTATATTATTTAATTGATTACACTGTTTGTTTTAATTTATTTTATCTATCTGTATGGAAATAACAATCTTTATTATATACTCCTCCGAGTGATTGATGCTGATACAGTTATTACATTTATTGAATGTTCTTATTTTTTGCAGACAATTGTCTTTAGTGTTGGGTCCGAGTTCTTCACTCACTCCATTATTGAAATCTACTCTAATTAATGTTTCTATGAACAATAAACAAAACAATGCCACAAAGTTCTTGTAAATTTGTACTCCATACATGAAATCATATTGCTAATATCACTAAATATAACTGGTAGTTCTATGGCTTTTGGCATATGTTTAAAATGTTGTTAATGAAATTTTGATGGTAAACATCCACAATATCTAATAACATGACGAATATGTCTGTTACAATTACAAATGTGGGCGTGTAGTGTGTACGTACTACTAATTTAACCCCAAAATAAGAACATTTAGGTGTTTTCATATAAGTATAGACACACGACTTGGTTCTGACAGCCAAATTATTGTAACAATAGATTTCGAATTTACGATTACTTTACTTGATTGATACTTCAAAATGCGAATGTAAGTGTCAGCTACTTAACTGGATCTTAGTTATTAAAAAGACGAAGTTGGTACTATTAATTGGATTGGATCCATCCTGATCAAGTAATTAACTCAAGTGGCCAAGTTGCTATAAATGAACTGTCTAAGATTTATTACTGCATGACATCTATGGATCTTACTATATAGTAATACAATGTGTTCTTTTATTAAACCTGGATTCGTATTTTTTTGTCTTTTTTCCCCAATACAAGCCGAAAGAGAGGGAAGGTGAGGAGGACAAGTCGAATCCCGTGCTTTTGTACATTACTCCATTCTGAGGAAATGGAAAAGATTCATAAAGTTCTTTGTAATTTTCAACTTTACAAATACAAGTTTATACTTAATCTTGTGTAGAGATTTCGAGATTCTTGGCTTCGCAAAGACCCAAACCCACCAAGCCAAGTCACTGATTCCATTCCACACATGACACAACAATACAAATATCTGATCTATACATCACTTTTTTCTTCTTCTTCTAAAGACTTGGCTTCTAGACAATATGGGTGGCTCAATGGGTTTTCTTGGAAAAGGTTTTGCAATATAATCAACGATTTTAACAATTTTTGAATTTTCGTCTTTTTTACTTTCTAAATTGATTTCGGTATTTGTGATAGGGTTACCACCGACGCAGATGATGAATATGGTTATGGGTTCACTCTACAAACAATTCACCCAAAAAGCTATCAACAACTTTGACGATTTCCACGTTGCTGTTTTAGACATCTTTAAGTAAGACTAATCATACAATCTCAACTTCTGAATCACATTAATTATATACAATAGTTCCACTTTATCAGTCGTCGAAACAAACGGGTTATAGTCTTTAGAAGAAAAACATGGTTGCAAACTCATGAATAAGTCTAAGTTATTGGAAAATGTTTTATTTAATGAATTTTACATAACATTCTTTGATCTCTTGAGTGCAGCAACTTCAACTCGGCTTTACCAGGAAGACATTTTGATTTCCCGACACCGGAGGAAATAAAGGCGAGTCAGTATCTTTATCAAATAACGCATAGAAGCTTGTAATAAATTTTAACTCAATGTTGAATGATCCAAACAGGCTTGTTTCACGCTGTGGAAGGGAGCGAAAGACGAAGAAGAGAAGGAAAAAGTGTTCTTAGAGTTCATAACAAAGTGCGTGAAGCCAAGTAAACTTGATGACGTCACTCTGATCACCGGAATTGTATCTCCTCCGGCGGCTATGGCGGCTAAGAGAGCAGGAGAGAATGTTCCTCAGTTGAAGATAATCAAACTCATACCTGATGTTATATTCGTCCCTACTGTCACCATTTTAGCCATTGTCTCTGCCAAACTCTCAAGAAGAATGTATTTGAAATAATGTTTTAACACTTTCAGCTTTCTTAATTCACCTATTTATCGGTCATTTTGTTTCTTGTTCTCTAACACTAGGTAAATTTAGTGAGTAAAAATTTAGGTTAAACTTTGCACTATTTGTTTCAAACAAAACAGTAAAACACGAACTTTTCTAAGGTAGAGGCAAAGCTCCAAAGTTGATTCAGATTTAGTCAGAAATACATAAACAACATCATTTAGTTTAAATAGATATGATAATGATGGGTGTTTCAATTTTTTAAACACGAAGAATCAAAACGCACCAAACCCTAAATATATATCTTTCTCTGTACTTTAAAGCTTAAGGATTGCCATACTTATTAACCCAAAGATCAGACCAAATCCGATATTGTTTCTTGAAATTTCCCAAAAAAAAGCTTTTCAGGTTCTTCTCCGTAAACCAACAGAGCCTGACCTTCGTTTTCCTCGCTTCCTCTTCCTGTTGGGAAGCTTAAACCTAGAAGAAGCATTAGGCACATTTGACTTTGGCTTCTCTCTTGCAACTCTACGTCTCTTTGTGGCTGTCTCTTCTTCCTTCACCACGATGTCAAGATTGCGTGGTGTTCTCTTCCTTGCCTGCATTGTGTTACAAAAAGGCATATCAGACCAAAAGGCATCACAATAATGGGTTTTGTAAAGTTTCACTGAGAAACTTACACTTCTTGATGGACCTTCCTCAACCGCAACTGGAGTTTGTTCTGTCTTCTGTAGCTTCTCATCGGAAATAATAGCTTTCCCTTCTCTTCGCTTCACTGAGTTTTTCATCTCAGACAACAAAACATCTCTCGTCTCGTCGTCTTCAGGCTGTATCTCGTGATGAGATGAAACCGAGGCAGATTTAGCTTGCTTTTCTTCAGAGACGACCGGTTCTTCAACTTCGTTCTTGATAACCAATGGAGGCTTTTGCTGTTCCGAGCCGGTCAATACATCCGCAGCAGATCCAACCAGATTCTTCAATGTGTGGACCGAAGAGAACTTGCTTGGATTCTCATTCACCACCTTGTCTACTCGGCTCTTCAAGTTACGCGCTTCCAACTTTGCTGCTTCAATCTTCAAAAGTATCTGTTCCAAGTACGCATCGCCTTCTCTATACTCCAGAGGCGGTGTCTCTTCACTGAAGATCGTCTCTTCCTTAGAGCTCTTATTCTTTTTATCTGATGAGACATGAAAACAAGGACTCAGAGACTTCTACATGATCAAGATCACACCAAAGTTGAGATTCCAGAACAACATACCTAGGTTGCGAGAGTTATCGTTGAGAGCCATATCCGCATAAGTTTTCCGGTATTCTACAAAAGAGATCAGAAACAGTATAGCAGATGAGCACTGAGCAGTGAGCACAACCAGTTAAAAGAAAGAAACTAAAAGACTTGTTTCAAACCCTGATAAGAGAAGAGGTTGTGGTTAAGCGTATAGGATGCAACATCTGAGGTCTGTTCGACTCGCTTTCTCTTTCTCCTCTCCCTGACTTGGTTTCTCTGAGTATAACAAGAGAGAGGAGGTAATGCCTTTACACCAAGTTCTTGTGATTTGAGAGTTTCCAACTCTGCTTTCTTGGCTTGGCAAGATTCTTCGACTTCTTTGTCGTACATTTGTGCTTGGTTCTGTATTTCTTTGATTTTCAGTTCAAGCCATTTGCACCTCCACATTATAGGCTGTATAAACCTCCTCCAGTGCTCAGTCATCTTCTTCTTTCTGCCAAATAGAAAGTAATCAAATTACATAATTGCATACCATTTCACAAATAGAGGTCAAAATCTTATCCTCACTTCCTTAATAAGGAGATTTACATCAGAGACGCAACTAAGTTACCAAAGTCACTCATAAATTTCAGTCCTTTCAGAATCAAGCTCACAAAGATGGTATTCAACTAAAAGTAAACAACCTACCAAAATCCACGAAAATCTACTTAAGAGGAAACCATTCAGATAAAGAAGACTCATAAAGACTCTTACCTAACCCAGAAGGGAAGAGAGGTATCAGTACAAATCACAGAATCAGCTTCTTGATCATTCAAAGCTGATTCATTCTCATGCTCAGAATCGGTTCCACCAAACGAGCTTGAATATCCATCAGTCCCATCATCGCATTCTGAGGCTTTAAGCTCGTTTTTGACATTAAAACCAGAACATTCCAATATATCAACCTCCTCTTCTTCTTCTTCTTCTTCTTCTTCTTCTTCTTCTTCTTCTTCTTCTTCTTCTTCTTCTTCTTCTTCGTCCTCGACGACCTCTTTGTTACTAGAAGCATCAGTAACACCAACACAGTGATCCTCAGTGAGATGATCTTCAACGTTATAGAAACTATGGTCCTCGAAGTTACTAGTACACGGCATATTCTTCTCTTCTGTAGCTTTGGGTAAGACCCCAATCTCCTTATCCACTGAAACATCCATTTCTAGCTTCGTTTCCTTCAACTCCATACCCAAATCTTCTCAGGTAAAACCTAGAAAGTCCGAAATCATCATTTTCATGAAGAAGGAGACTGAATTCGAACAGATTGTCAAATAGAGATCAACAATAAAAAAAAAGCATACAAACGAGCGTGTGCCCACACATACGAGTAAAACTGGAGTGAAGAAAGTGATGAAGAACACAAATTGAAACGAAACCCTAACGGAAATTCCAAAGCTTTAATCATCGATTAGACCACAAATTCAGATGCAAAAACAAATAGGACCGAAAACCCTAAAAAGTTACATAAACACAAAATTGAACAATACCCAAGGATTCGCCCACCGTTTTCGGAAAGTTCACTGATTTTCCGGCGGAAACGAAAGGAGATGCGGTAACTACAACTGGTGGTGAGAAACACGACGGAGAAACGACGGAGATCCCATCATCATCTTACTTAACGTTGTCAAAATATTTAAGTGGCCGAGAGAGAGAGAGCGATTTGTTGTAAAAAAATATTTATTATCCAAAATACACAAAAGTGGGGTCCACGTCACTCGACGTATTTGACTTTTTCTTCGGATTCTTCTCTGTTGACCACATATGTTTCTAGTACTGTATAAACTATGTTACGATGTATTTGGATCCCCACGACCAACATTATACATTTTTGTATTCTCTGTTATTCAAATTATTTCCTTGGTTATATAATCCATCTATTGTTTTTAAACGGTTAAACCACGAGTTATCTGTCGTAGGCTCTTAGCATTGAGATTTGAGTGTAACCTTTAGTACCACAACGATATATTTTGTTCTTTGACATAACGAAAAACTAATTACAAAAAGGTGGAAATTTATCATACTGGAATCCATTTTCAAATAAATTTGTACTGGTTATTTCGTACATGCTCTCACCATTTCTCTATTATTACCGTTTTATGTCACAACCCCCATTAACATTATCGTTGATATTTCCATTGCGATTTTAAATTTCATAAAGATTTTTATACTGCAATCATCCGAAAGTCTAATGACAAGTGGCTGCACCACGTTTCTTTGGCATCCTGGGCAAAGGGATTTTATATGATAGATTTTCTAGTCTGTCAAAATAAATATTCCAATTGATGAGTAATGGTTAGTTTGTTACCATTCAAGCATTGATTTAAACATATCCACAATGCACATATATAATTTAATTCTACAACATTGAAATCTATAGTTACATGTGAACCAATCCACCTCAAAGTTGTTTTATTTATGACATGTGGTGAATAATATATGGACTAAGACAATATTATAACTATATATATTAATGAGTTATCTTGAATATTAAATATTAAGAAATCAATGTTCTTAAAAAAAACTTTAATGGAAATTAAAAATCTTTCGGATGGGAATGGACTATATATTGAGTTTGAAAGCTAACTGAGAATAAAAGAAAAAAGAGACCAACAACAACAACAAAACAAAATGGGGAGAGTGAAGATACAGATGAAAACAATTGAAGACAGACCACAAAGAAACATTGCATTTGCCAAAAGAAAAAGTGGATTATTGAAAAAGGCTTATGAAATCGCCACTCTTTGTGATGTTCCTGTTCTTCTCGTTATGTTCTCTCCCTCCGGTAAACTCTTCCTTTATGATGCCAAAACAAGGTGTTGTATACAATAATAAGATTACTCATCAGTTTTGTTGTTCATCTGATATCATCATCTTTTGTTTTTATTTCTTTTTCGATTCAACAAGAAATATGTTTTACTCTATTATATGATTTATATTATAGGATCGAAGAGACACTACAGAATTATCTCGATCTGGGATGCTATGTACCTGGAAGGTAAAGTTATTATGTTAATGCATCTAATAACTTTAATTTAAAGTAATTGGCAATTTTATCTTATGGTTTTAATATTTTAATTTTACACATGTTCGAGCAGACACCCACTCCCAGATGAACCGGTAAATATCTTCGTAATATTTTCGGATAATATGCTTTTTTTTTCCTTTGTATTTTTTTTATTAAAGTTTCTCTTTTCCTTTTGATAATTCAGTATGTACGACGGTGGATTCATCAAATGCGTCTGGAATCACAGCATAAGGACTCAAGGTTATTGAGTTTACATATTTTCACGTTTAAATTGTTCCTTTGTAATAATAATATCGTTTGATTTATGTATTGTTGTATTTTATGACAAGTAAATACATTGTAATTTGGATTCCTAAACAAAAAAAATGCAGAGAAAATTCTGACGATGGGGTTCGCCATAAAACTCGATCAAAGGCATGTGGATACTGGATAGACAATTTTATTCTGTAGTTATTTTAAAATATCTTATTTAAAATTTCTCTTTTTTCTTATATCTAACCATTTAATTTTCTTTATACAGACTATAGAGAATGCAATTGACGACTGCAATGTCAAATTAGCCAACGTGGAACAACAGTTGGGGTAAATGTCTTATATATTTCATACATATTGGTGTTATATATTTTTAAGTAGACATTGATATTGTATTTTGGTATCTCTCTAATACTAACTAGTTCTTCTAATTTCTTTATCAAATTGAAGTTATTTTCTGAAGAATCCAAACCAGTGGAAATCAAGAGCTGAAGTTGATTTTCAAGAAAAACTACTCCAGAATACTCTGGATCAAGTTCGATATCGGAAGGTAAACTTATATAGATGACAATTATTTTCTGAAACTACATACAGTAGAAACTTTATAAATTAATAATGTCGGAACCATAATATTTTATTAATTTAGCGAATTATTAATTTATCGAGTGATAATTTGAATCAAAAATTTAGTTTGGGACCGGAAAATTCTATTGATTTATCGAGTTATTAATTTATTGAGTATTAATTTATAGAGTTTCTACTGTATTAAGATAAACAATGAGCATTTTAGCCATGTATTGCGATTCTTTTTATGTTTTTCACGTTAAAACTAAACATGAAACAGTATCATCTCTTTTTATTGTCAAATTATTCTACTAGTAATCTGATACACCATTTATATTTAAACTGATTTTTTGCTTACTGCTAATCTATCTTGATTTCAGCAACTTTTGGAGGTTGAAAGTAAAGTCTTTGATGCACTTGGTTAGTTGGTTGCCCTCCTCAGACTAGCTTCGAGAAATCGTCAGTGGAATAAAGTTTAATCATGTATAAATCCAAAGTTTATACTATATATTTATCCTAAATAATTTGAAATCGTTTGTATTATAAGAACTCTGCCATCTTTTACCCATCTGTAAAATATTATCCTAAACTCATGTTATTCAAACCTTATGACCAATCATATTTTTCAAAGTTCATCGCTGAATGAAAATCTTAAGTACAAAATATAGTTTTGCTTAAGTTTTGTGAAACAGTCATTTGTTTTTGTTATTCCCTCAGACACACTCTAACTAAATGAGAAGCTTAGCCATAATGGGCCTGGGCCTGCACATGGCCCGTAAAGGGTCCGTCTTACGCATACCCAACCCAGCACTCTCCGCCATATCAATCTCTTCCCCTTTCACATTCTCCCAATCGAAGCATTGAATCAACGATCCCAGCGCCAATGTCACAATCCTCCTCCCCAATCCGGCGCCGGGACAAATTCTCCGGCCGTTTCCGAACGGGATAAGCTTGTGAAGGTAATGCTCACTACCGTATCCGTTACTAAACCGATCCGGATTAAACCTCTCTGGATCCTCCCAGAGCTTTGGGTCTCTCTGTATAGCCCAAGCGTTAACCAGCACTATCGTGTCGCGCGGCACGTCGTAGCCGCCGATCTTCATGTCCTCCGTCGGCGTGCGAGGGATTAGTAGCGGCGCTACCGGAAACAGCCGGAATGTCTCGTTGACGACGCTCTGGAGGTAAGGAAGGTCGACAATGTCCGGCTCGTCGATCAGACGATCCTTCCCGATCTTCTCGTCGATCTCCGATCTCGCCTTCTCCAACACTTCTGGATACTTCAACAAATTCGTCATCGCCCATTCTAGTGTCACGGCGGAGGTCTCCGTCCCGGCGAGCATCATCGCCTAATTTCAAAAACCAACGGCACAATCAGGGTGAGAATTTCGCAATTCGTTCTAATTTCGATTAGATTTAGGTTTTGATTAGAGAGAACAATCTGGAGATTTTAGATTTTACCATCATTAGGCCTTTGATGATAATGTCAGTGTAATACTCAGGCTCTTGTTGTTGAAGAGAGAGCAAGTGATTGACCATTGTGTTACCTTCTTTATCTCTCCTACACTCATCGAGGAGACGCTGCAAAATATCGTCGACGGATTTGCCGATAGCTTTGACACGCTTCTCGTACCTGTTTCCGAACAGTTTCAGCACCGGCAAGTAATCTCCGGAATGATTCGCGCCGCTGTTGGTGGCGATGTCGTAAACGAGCTTCTTGAAAAGCTCTGCTTCTTCCTTGTTGTTGACATCGTCTCCGTAGTATCTCTTCCCCGTGACCATTCTTACTATGTTGTTGAAGGTAAGGTCGGAGAGAAGTGGCTCCAGCTCGACGTGAGTGAATCGGTCTCCGTCGTCGGAGTGGGTTTCGCGCGAGAGTCTTGTGAGCATACGCAAGATCTCGTCTTTGCGGATGTGGAGGAAGTTGGTGAGACGGTTGGAGGAGAGGATTTCGTTGGAGCAAATGCGGCGGAGGTTGCGCCAGTGGTCGCCGTAAGGAGCGGTTCCCATGGTGGTGTGGTTGTAGGCGACGTATTTGGCGGTGAGCTGGAGCGGCCGGCTAGAGAGAACGATGTCGTTTTGGCCGGTGAATGATTCTTGCACGAGTGAAGAGGATGTTATCACCACGACGCGGCGGGAGCCGAAACGGAGGGAGAAGATTGGGCCGTATTTGTCGGAGTAGCTTTGGAGGAGGCGGTGGATCGGTGGTTTCATGAGGTGGAGATGGCCGACGATGGGACGTGACGGTGGTCCCGGAGGAAGGTTGAAACGGTGCTTTTTGGAGTTTAGGAATAGGTAAGTTAAAAGAATGACTAAAAGAGGGATAAGGATGATGTAGAACATTTCGTCCTCTTTCTTCTGCTTCTCTCTAATTTCAGGGTGTGTTTGTGGAGGATTATAGCTTATGGTTGCCTTGGTTTATCAATCTTATAAAGAGAAATTTTTACTCGATCAACTTTTTTTTTGTCTTTATTATGTTTCTGTTTTTGTCAACGTCAATGATGACGTGGCAATTAGCAAATGGCGTGAAATTGGGGAAGTTGTGTGTTTCTTCTACTTTAGCTTATTGTTCAGATATGAGACACTTTCTCAATCTCTCACGAAAGTACTGATTTATAGTGAAAGTACTGTGGAGGAGGTTAATCACGTTAATCTCTTTAACCAAATACCAAACACTCAAAACCCGATGCATCAGTTGTTTTTTGTTGTTGATAAAATAATCTCAGCATCTATGTTCTACATATACATCAACTTGCTATTGTCTACATGCATCAATTCTTTTGTCTTGTGTTCATTAAGAATCTGGCATTTCCGACCCTTCTTTTTCTTTTCAACAACTATACAGTATACCAATTTTAAATCTGAGTGCTGCCAATACCACCAATACAAATTACTATATTCTTTTGTCGATTTTGGACTACTACGCACATGCAATCCTTTAACAAATGGTTTAGTTTCTGATTGTTAGTTTGATCAACTTTTATGGTAATGTTTAGTAATAAATAAAGACCGAGTAAAAATAAAAAACAAACATCCACTCGTTTTAAATTAACTGAGTCGTTGAAGCTTATAAATTGGCAAGGATTATTTATCATACAAGTTGGGAATAAAAGAATCGTTAAAGCTTATGTTGTTTTATTTTTATTTTATTTATCATACTCGATAAACAAAACACAAGTAGCAAATGAGGTCCATTTGTTTATTTGGTATTGTGCATTTCTTGTTGTCCCTACATGATATGCATCAAATAGTAATTAGTGGAAACCCTTTATTAAATTTTCGAATTTATCACGGGGCTAACCGTTTGAAGTTTGTTAAAGAAGATAATACACACGAGTTGTTCCCACAAATATACTTTTGCTTGTATAGATGAAAAAATTCTAATTAGGTTGTGAAGCAGTTCAGTTTCAGTATATTTTTCTCCTGTTTACATTAAAATAAAAAATTTATGTCACCAAACAACTATGCTATTAACAGAAAGAAAAAAAAAACATTCATCATCATCATCTTTGCCACACCATTCTATACCCGTTTTTTCCTGGATATCCAAACCATTTCCTAGTTAACCTCTTCAATCTCAAATCCGTGATTTCACAAAACTTCTGGGCCCATCCTTCCGGTTCAATGGGCCTAAACCCCAGCCCAGGAGTCCGATCTCTCGATTTAGGATTCGAAACTCTAGTCCAATCCACCACGTAAGCAGACACGCGTCGTTTAAACTTGGCTTTGAACTCCCGCCAAGCTTGGTACTTATAATGGTTCACCACCCCTTCCTCCACGTCAGCCACTCGCCACTCATACTCTCCCTTCAGACCAAAATGATGGATCGCCGTGTAAAGCGAATGCTCCACCGCGCTCAGCCGCACGATCGACTTGTGCCGCTGCTCCTCCACTCGACGACACGTGTACCCTTGCGTCACACCGCCACGTGGATGCTCCGTCTGATTCGAAGGCCCGAACTCGTACGATTTAAACGACACCTGTCCTATCATACTCTTCTGATCCGACGGTAGAAGAGACCTGATCATTTGATCCGACGGTTTAGATCGGTTATCCCAAGCCGGAGAGAAGAGAAACTCGTCTACGTCGAGGTACATCATCCAAGTGCACGAATCGTTCCCGTACACCGCCGCGTGGGAGAATCCAGCCTCCTGCGTTTTGGGCCAGATCCACAATACTTTTATGACGTCATATCCTTCGCTCTTGAGCACCTCAACGACGTCGTTTAGCTCGTCGTCGCTACCGTTGTCGTATATGATGAATCTCCGTATTCCGATCGTCGAGTGATACATCACCCACTCTCTCAGATACTTGGCTACATTGAACACCATCGTCGTCGCGCATAATAGCGATTTCTCACTTGGTTTTGCTAATCTGCGCTTTGGAGTGTAATACGCCACGGACGGGACGGTCTTCGCCGTATCTTTACCGGTTACTACCGCCTCGAGGTAGATTTTGACCGGCGTGTCGATTGTTACGTTCGGGAATGGGCATCGGAACACCTCTTGTACAGAGCTCGTCACGGGGGTTTTGATGGCGGAATCGGATTCGTCTCCGAAAACGCACAGAAACGACTCCGGCGGTCTGTTTGATCCCAATCCGCGATTTGGCCCCTTGACAAAAAGAACGACGTCGTTTTCAGTGGAAATGGCTTCGAAAACGACGAAGTTCCATAGAGGGAGATCAGGCCACCGTGTCTCCGGCGAAATTGGGAATGACATCGAGGAGGCGAAGACCGGAGTCGGAATCGGATGGTGGTGGCGGTATATTCCGGGAAGACCACATCGGAATGCCGAGCGATTCGTGAAAGGGAGAACAGCGGCGAACCTCGCCGCGGATTTCTCGCCGTTTGGGTAAAAACAAGTGTAATTCTCCCCCGGAAGCGGCGGCATAACCTTCTCCTCCGGTGAAACGATCACCAGAATCTCCCATCCTGGCCAGAGAACACCTTCGGCTCTGATCCGACGAGGACCGTTGGATCGACGATTGCTCGAATCCTGAGCGTTGATCACGTAACTGACGATTCCGGATTTAGCCGGGCGTGTCGTGGCGAAGAGAGCAGCGCGGTAAATGACGTTTGGAGAAGAGTAGAGAGAGAAGAAACCGAAGAAGGAGAGAGAGAGGAGGATGAGGAAGAGTGTGGTGGTGTGTGCTCTGTAAGTCGACTTGTTGCTGTGGTGGAAGAAGTGAGAATCGTCTCCTCCGGCGATTGATTTTGGTGTTGATCGACTCGAAGATGGTGAAGAAGTCTTGAAGGATAGCGTCATTTTCGGTTACGCATCCAACAATTAACTTGTTTTCTAGCCAGTAATTCCAAAAAGCCATCAATTAATTATTGGTCTATCTGTTTTTTTTTTTTATTATTAGAGTTTTGTTACATTATTATTGTGTTTTGGATTCAGAAAACACAATTCCGACGACCAAACGAATTGGTAGACAAATTCTAAAACCCATAATAATAGCAGGGAAATATTGAAGATGAAATGTAGGAGAAGAGAAAGCGAAAGAATAGTTAAAAGTTTTGCTCTCTTACTTTCATTGATTTCTGAATGATATTCAAGTGATGATAAACCTTTAGGAAGTCGTTCCATCGAATTCAATCTCCTTATTTTTTTAGGAAATATTTTCTCCATGTTTATTTGTTTCCTTTTTCATCGTGAATTGCCTTTTATGAAATGCATGCATTCCATTTTTAATAAATTACAATTAATCATTATATAAGAAAACATTAACATCCAAGGAAAATAAACCCCCGGTGTTTCCATCTTCTCCATGGCTGAGATAGCTCGATCATACCCTTTCCGAGCCAAGTACAACTTGTACAAGCTTGCAGAGAAGTTTTGGTACAAAGACATTCGACGAAAAATACTTGATTTAATAACCTCACGGACTGTGAAGAGAATCTTCTCCGGTAAGAAGATTACCTTCCCTGACAGTGACGACTATGCAACTTAAGTTTGTAACTTATTTGTATCAGAAGTCAAATAGAAGAAGATGAAGGTCTTTCGTGTGTTTAGCTTGAGTTTATTACTTTGTATTACCAACGACATATTTTGCTGTAATGTAAGATTTCTTAGATGCTTAAAAAAAAAAGAAGAGAACATTAATATCCATCGAAAATCATTAGATTGGGCAAAATGTAGATTTCCATTTGTTCCGAGTTAGACAACGCATATATAGCCTTCGTTACACACCGTAAACGTCACTTTCAGAAACTTGCAAATTGCATTCAAAGTGATCTACTTTAATAGACAACTTCCAATGCCTTTTCTTAGGTTTACATAGAAACTGAAAACAACATAAAGTAAAGGACATGACTCAACTAAGGACACAATCAGCTAGTTCCACCAAGAAAAAGAAAATAGGAAACACACTTAGACTTATTCTAGCACATGTCGAATAAGTCTCTTATTCGAAATGACTTAACTTATTGAACACATAACAATTTTTGCAAGCATATGTAAACCAGATTGCTAGATAAACTAAGCCGTTAAACGAGCCTTAAGCGTATTCATGATCGGCCGAGAGCGACATATGGCACGTAAAGGCACTTTCTTACGCATCGTCATCCCTGGAGTCTCTTCCATATCGATCGCATCGCCGTTGGGTTTTTCCCAGTCGAAGCATTGAATCAACGACCCTAACGCCAACGTCACGATCTTCTGCCCTAAGCTGGTACCGGGACACGCTCTCCGTCCGATCCCAAACGTCATTAGCTTACGAACGTCTTCGTCTCCTCCTTTGCCGCTAAACCTCTCCGGTTTAAATTCCTCCGGTTCGTTCCAGAGTTCCGGATCTCTGTGCATAGACCACGCGTTCACCATCACCATCGTCTCACGCGGCACGTCGTATCCTCCGATTTTGATATCCTCCGCGGGCGATCTTGGCACAAGAAGCGGCGCAGCCGGGTATAGCCGGAATGTCTCCGTCACTATGTTTTGAAGGTAGGGCAAATCTGCAAGGTCTGGTTCGTCCATCAAACGATCTTGCCCGATTTTCTCATCAATCTCCAATTTCGCTTTCTCCAATATCTCCGGGTGATTTAGCAAACTAGCCATCGCCCACTCTAGCGTCACCGCCGATGTGTCTGTTCCGGCGATCATCATACCCTATTTCCCGCACAATTAACAGATTTTTACATAAATGTAATTCTTCTTTAGTTGGAAAAAAAACAACATAAATATAATTCTTCTTTAAGAAAAAAAAAAAAAAAGCTAAACCATGGCGAGATAAATTTTAAACTATACTCTTAAGAAAAATAAACCTAAAATTGTAAAAATAAACTCTTGGTCTAAATAATTATGTGAAAAAACATTTGTTTACCCTAAATAAATAATAAATTTTTTTTCAGTTGTATTATGTTTAAGTTTCTTTTTTCTATGATTTTTGGGTTTAAAAAGGGAATTTGAGTCATTTTTTGTTGATTTTAGTTCATTTTTGTCATAAAAAACTCATGTGTTCATTTTTGCATGAGTTTCTTAGTCCATTTTGAAAATAGTTAATTGAGTTACCCTTAATAACTTAAAGTGATAAAATTTTGAAAATAGTTCAACTGATTACCAGCATGAGGCCTTTGATGGTGACGTCAGTGTAATACTCGGGCTTTTCTTGTTGCAGAGAGAGCAAATGATTGACCATCGTGTTACCATCCTTATCTCTCCTACAGTCATCGAGCAAACGCTGCAAGATCTCGTCCATTCCTTTTCCAATAGCTTTCACTTTCTTCTCAAAGCCCCCTCCGAATATCTTCATGAACGGCAAGTAATCGCCGGGATGTCTCGCGCCTCCGATATCGTTAACATCGGCGATGAGTTTCTTGAAAATATTCGCTTCTTCCTCGTTGTGAACTTCGTCTCCGTAATATCTCTTCCCTGTAACCATCCTCACGATGTTGTTGAACGTTAGATCGGACAAGAGGGGCTCCAGCTCGATCTCTTTGTTGGCGACCTCGCGTGAGAGTCTCGTGATCATACGGCGGATTTCATCTTTACGGATGTGGAGGAAGTTGGTGAGACGGCCGGAGGAGAGGATCTCGAGGGAGCAGATGCGGCGGAGGTTACGCCAGTGAGCACCGTAAGGAGCTGTTCCGATGGTTGTGTAGTTGTAAGCGACGTACTTGGCGGTGAGGAAACAAGGTCGGTTCGTTAAAACGATATCAGTTTGGCCCGTGAAGCATTCCGCTGTGAGTGAGGAGGAGGATATCACGACGGCGCGACGGGAGCCGAATCGGAGGGAGAAGATCGGGCCGTGTGTTTTGGAGAGGCGGTGGAAGAGACGGTGGACCGGCGGTTTCAAGAGAAGGTGGTGGCCGAGGATGGGGAGAGCGTTAGGAGGGGAAGGAGGGAGGTTGAAACGCTGCGTTTTGGAGCTAAAGAGGAATTTGTAAGCCAAGAGAAAGAGTGCTAGAGGGAGAATAATCATCACATAGTACAACATCTTTGCTTTTCTTTGAGAAGTTTGTTGGTGATGTTGTTAAGTTTTTTGTTTGATATATATATAGATGAATTTTGATAGTGTATTTTTATTTTCCACGTGAATTGAAAAATTGTTCAGCGTGGACAAATTGTTGGATTGGAAAAAAAGTTGGTACGGGTGTAAATAAGCATATTATTACAAAGTGTAATGCTTACAAAAGTATCCCTGTGGAAAATTGTTGGATAACAAACTAGTGATGCAAGGCCGAGCTCAACAAAAGTATACAAAAGTTTGGTATGATAAATAATAAGCATATTTTTACGTAGTACGTGATGCATGGTCGAGCTCAACCCGAAGACAAATTGTTGGATAACAAACTCGTGATGCATGGCCGGGCTCAGTCTAAAGACAAATTAATTTGATAAAAAAGTTTGGCCTACAAACATAATACATTTTTAAATAATTTAGATTAATTTTATAGAAGTAATCTACATACTATCAAGACAGAAGCGCAACTAGAAACTAGCATTTAGTCATGTGTTATATTACAACATATACCCCGAAAAACCGTTGGGTGCGATTGCAAAGGCGAACACCCCATCAAAATTGATGTGAACCACAGCCCTAGCTATCATGTACTATATGTAGACTCCACCAATATTGAAAGTTTACTAAACCGAGGTTCTTGAATAATTTCCTCTAATTTGAAAATGAAAATTTTATCACATCAATTTGAATATTTGATCAATAATTCATTCCAACTTTGATTGTTTCCATACAATTACTAAGGTTTCTTCTTTAAAATACTGTCGTTTCCACTTCACACCCTTAAGCTGAAATGTTCTAAGTGACGCAATATGATAATACACTTATTTCGTAACTAAAATACAATGTTATCATATGTGGGCAAGACAAGAGAAGAGAAAACAAATGCTTGCAGAACAAGACAACTTTTTAATTAGGTTTTTCAAAGCTGTTACGGTGAATTCATTAAAGCTTGAAAGCCTAACCTTCTCGTTGGAATCATGCAAGTAATTTTTTGTTTCTTCGGGCTTTTGCCTCATCGCGACGGTGGTGATTCAAGGATTGAGTCCCTCGTTTTCAAATCAGTCTCTGCTCTCGATCACGGATCCTAAACAATTTGATTGAAGGAATCAGGACTCCCAGATATCAGATCGGAGATGGGATTAATGCATGTGCAAATTTTTGGGGCTGAGATTACTCTTATCATGAATACGGTGTTATGATATTATATCGGTGTGATGATGGTGATGTTCTTTCCTTTTAAAATATTACTGATTAGAAATAGGAAGGAACATTATTTAAATGATTATACCGTTTGTTTTCTTTTTATTTTATTTATGGAAATAAGTATTATTATATAGTACACACGTGATGGAATGATAAAGTTTTTGCATCTATTGGCCCATTGCTGGTCCGACAATTGTCTTTAGTGATGGGTCCGAGTTCTCCAGTGACTAATAACATAGTACTCCATTATTGACATCTACTCTAACTGAACACCACCAATTGAATTCACAAAATGTAGCTAGTAAAATACAGAATTTGGATCATAAACATCTATAGCTAAGAACATTACAAATTATAAATAATGGGCAAAATAGCCTCCCATCGACTCGAAATTAGCTTAAATGCCGTTTGACAAACAGCAAAGAAACAAGCCGGACCTGTCGCACGTCTATATATGATGCAAATGAATGGCCCCCAACTTTATAGAGGGCCCCATTTTTTAAGAAAAAACAAATGAAAAGACAGCAAAGCTTTTGCTCAACTTAGAAACCAGAAAACAAAAGTCTGATTTTTTAAGTTACAAGATTTTATGTGTATAATTTTACTGGAAAAGGTTTTGAAATATGCAGTAGACCTAATTAACTAACGAGTTCTGTGTGTAAAATTTCGTTTTAACAATTTTAAATTTTGTTCTTTACTTTCTTTTCCTAAATCGATTTCGATTTTTGGTGTAGGGTTACCACCGACGCAGATGATGTAATTTTTATATTATCATTGTTAAATTTCAATAAATACTATGAAAATTAGTAAATATCCTTTCAATTTGTTCTTGTTCATTCTTTAAACGTTGTCCGCTTCCTTTTGTTTGTTTTTGAATCATTGTTTATTCTGTGGATCAAATGAATTTGAGAATTTAACAAAACAATAATTTGAAATCCAAAAAAAAAAAAAAAAAAAAATTGAAATCCGACCATGTGACATATATGATAGGTCAGTCACTTTTTAAGAAGGGGAAAGTTGTGGATGGAAATAGCCTCGGCATTTCGGGTTTTGGGACGGGAATTGACGGGTATGGGACGGGAATGGGAAATTCGGGAAACCAAATATGATTCCCGAAGCATTCCCTTATTATAACGGGACGGGAAACCACGGGAATGGGAAGGGAATGGGAATTTTGGGAATCAAAAAATAATACCCGAAGTCTTAATAAATCGGGAAAATTGAAGATAATATGGGAAAGTACGGGAAAAATACGGGAAAATATGGAAAAATACGGGAAAATATGAGAAAATACAGAAAATTATGGGAAAATTCGGGAAAATATGGGAAAAATAGGGATATTTAAGAAAAAATATCTAATTTTCAATTTTTTATTTTATAAACGGGAAAATCGGGAAATCCCTTACCCTTCCCTTACCCATTTGAATAAAATAAATGTTCCCAAACGGGAAAATGCAAATTCCCATTCCCGAAAAGTTCGGGAAATTTTAAGCGGGTAAGGGTGGGAACGGGATTCCCGTCCCGAAATGCCCAGGGCTAGATGGAAATATAAACTAGAAAGAAGAAGGGAAGTTGTGGAAGGAAATTGAAAGATGAGTATAATCACGTGGCTTCAATAACTTAGAAAATCCAAACCGAATTGAATTTTGGGTTGCTATGTATGGACCAGTTGTGATATTGCGATAGCCACATGACAATCAAAATGGGACTTGGACACATTCGGAGAGAAAATAGTTTTACGTTATTTTGAAGGTACGCTCACTATATGTTTCAAGTTGTCTCTTATATATGTCTTGAGACAACTTATTCATAATGGGCCGAGGCTTATTCATTAAAACAGATGACTACAAAAACTAAGCCCCAAAATGGGCCTTAAGTGTATTCATAATGGGCCGAGAGCGACACAAGGCCCGTAAAGGCACTTTCTTACGCATCGCCATCCCCGGAGTCTCCGTCATATCTATCTCATCGCCGTTGACCTTCTCCCAATCGAAGCACTGAATCAACGACCCCAACGCCAACGTCACGATCCTCTGCCCTAAACCGGCGCCGGGACACGATCTCCGTCCATTCCCAAACGGCATCAGCTTATGAACGTCTTCTCCTCCGTCGTCAAACCTCTCCGGTTTAAACTTCTCCGGTTCGCTCCAGAGATCCGGATCCCTGTGTATAGCCCACGCGTTCACCATCACCATCGTTCCACGTGGCACGTCGTACCCTCCGACTTTGATATCCTCCGTCGGCGATCTCGGCACAAGAAGCGGCGCAGCCGGGTATAGCCGGTACGTCTCCGACACTATGTTCTGAAGGTAAGGCAAATTTGCAATGTCCGGTTCGTCGATCAAACGATCTTCTCCGATCTTCTCGTCGATCTCTAACTTCGCTTTCTCCAACGCCTCCGGGTGATTCAGCAAACACGACATCGCCCACTCTAGCGTCACCGCCGATGTGTCTGTTCCGGCGATCATCATCCCCTGTTTCCCGCATAATAATTTAAGAAATTTGAAAACTATATCTTAAAAATGACTTAGTTTGATGAAATTTTTGAAATTTTTACCAGCATTAGGCCTTTGATAGTGACGTCAGTGTAATACTCTGGCTCTTGTTGCTGGAGAGAGAGCAAATGATTGACCATAGTGTTACCGTCTTTATCACTCCTACACTCTTCAAGCAATCGCTGCAAGATCGCATCCATGGCTTCTCCAACGGCTTTCACTTTCTTCTCGAAGCTCCTTCCGAATATCTTCAAGAACGGCAAGTAATCTCCGGGATGTCTCGCGCCGCTGCTGTCGTTGATATCGGCGACGAGTTTCTTGAACTGATTCGCTTCTCCCTCGTTGTGGACTTCGTCTCCGTAGTATCTCTTCCCCGTGACCATTCTTACTATGTTGTTGAACGTTAGATCGGAGAGAAGTGGCTCCAGCTCGATCTCTTTGTTGGGGACCTCACGTGAGAGCCTCGTGAGCATGCGGTGGATCTCGTCTCTGCGGATGTGGAGGAAGTTGGTGAGACGGTTGGAGGAGAGGATCTCGAGGGAGCAAATGCGGCGGAGGTTACGCCAGTGATCGCCGTAAGGAGCTGTGCCGACGGTCGTGTAGTTGTAAGCGACGTACTTGGCGGTTAAGAAACGAGGCCGGTTCGATAAAACGATGTCGTTCTGGCCCGTGAAGCATTCAGTTGCGAGTGAGGAGGAGTTGATCACGACGGTGCGGCGGGCGCCGAATCGGAGGGAGAATATTGGGCCGTGTGTTTTAGAGAGGCGCTGGAAAAGACGGTGCACCGGCGGTTTGAGGAGACGGTGGTGGCCGAGGATGGGGAGAGCGTTAGGCGGAGAAGGAGGGAGGTTGAAACGCTGCGTTTTGGAGGCGAAGAAGAATTTGTAAGCCAGGAGAAAGAGAGCTAAAGGGAGAAGAAGCACATAGTACAACATCTTTGACTATCTATGTTCGTGATGCCGTTGAGATAATTTGTAAAGTGGAATTATATAGAGGAATGATTAATGTATTTTATTTCCCATTTATTGTAAGACGTCGTAAGGTGTTATTAGATCAGACAGACAAAGTGACAGTGGGGGCTTATATTATTGAATGCATGGATTTCAGTCTTTTTTTGTCTTGTTTTAATGTGTAAGAACAAAAAAGAAGCAGTTGGGTTTGTTTGGTACGATTAATAAGCACATTTTTTCAAAGTGCAATGGTTGAAAACTTGATATATATATATTATATAGTATATACAGAGCACAAGGTGCGACAGTTCGGGTCGAATCAAGGGTCCAATAATAAAAGCTTTTATTATAGAAGTACAAATTGTAAGAAAAGGAAACAAAATTAGTGAGTAACGAAGGGAGAAACAAAAGAAAATCTCAAGTAATTTGGATTTTTCTTAGAAAAATAAAAATTTGAAAAGTAAAATTGTTTTAGTAAAATACTAAAAAAGAAGTAATAATTAATGTTGAGCCGACTCAGATTACATGTTAATGGGGGAGTAGGTGCGATAAACAAATATAATATTGTTTGTCTTATGGTCAAACTTATAAAATCAGTATTTCACATCGCGTCCAAAAGATTAGACCAGATCATGAGAAAGAAAAATGAGTTCAGATCTATCAAATAATATATTATACACAAATTCAGGATCTAATCTAGTTAGTGGTGTTCCTCTGCTTTGTCGTCATCAAAGAAAATTTTGTTCGCTATGATGCTCCACGAAACATTTGTGCTCCTCTTAGTTTTGTTAACGATAACGTTGATGTTATCCTCTTAGCGTATGTGTTGATTCGTATACATAAATTTGACAGTTAATTTATTTCATAAGAGATTGCTACTTATTTGCATCTCAAGAACTATACAAGTTCCGGATAAGAGTATTTGTTTTTCCGTTTATGTATACAACTCTAGTAGAGGACCCACGCAAACACGCGGTGTGAGGTTGCGGTTTTGTGTAGAAAATCTAAATCCTAAATCCGAGTCTGACCCAAAAACCCTAATCAAAATTTGTAGAAACCCAAAACTTTTTAATGTCCAAACCTGAAACCCGAAACCTAAAAAATCCTGAAAACTCTTAACTGAATAAAATTAAACTCGAAATTTTTTCACCCGAACCCGACCTAAAAACCCTAATAAATTTTTGAAATACCCAAACTTTTTTAATATGTCTAAACCCGAAAACCCGAAATCCAAAAAAATCCGGAAAACCCTAAACTAACAAAAAAAAAACTCGAACCCAAACCGATCAAAAAATTTCAAATAAAACCCGAACAGAAATCCACAATTTGATTTAAATTAGACTTAATTCTATTTCACTATTGGAAATTTTGCAAATATCATCCGATAATATTCTTTGATTTGATATTATTGATGGATTATGTTAATTTTTTTTTTTGCAGATTTTTTAAGAGCTGGAAAACGGAAGTTTTCTAAACCATCGGTTTGTTTTAAGTTATTATTCTTGTATCCAAACAATTTTTTTTCCATTTATTCTTCTATCCAAATAGATTTTTCTCTTATTTTTGTATCCAAACATTAGAATGTACTTCTCAATTAATAATATAATAAAGATAAAAAGTTTCTCTTTATGTAAATAAAACAAATTTGCTAGTTTCAAACTAATTCTTGACCAAATATATAAAAATCTAACTCTTCAATTTTTCTAAATATGATCATATTGTTTAGCTGTTTGGAACTTTTTTTTTTTGCGGCAGCTGTTTTGGAATTTACTCAAAGAGATAATGCATGCAACTATATATAATTGACCATTTCTCAAAGACCTATAAGAAAAAGCTATATGCAAGTGACTGTGGTCCACAACTCAAAACAATATAATAACATTTAATCAATCAGAAAGTCACCTAAAGTTGGTTGGTGAAGAATTCCTTGATTTGCAAAAAATATATTTGGGGTTATCATCTCCTATACGGCTAGTTAACAATATAACAATTTACTTTGAATATAGTAGTCCTAAATAAACACCTCACTCATATTAGGCTTTAACCCGGAATGGGCCATTGCATTACTGGGCTGTATATAAAGCTTCCAATACTACAAAGTCTACAATAACATTTTGGGTTTGTTTGATTCTCAGCAAAATCCATGTAATATCACCGTGATCTTTTAGTTTCAAATTATCAGATGGAAGGTAAAGTAGGGCTTGGGTTCTGGACCAAACATAGTCAAATGGCATAACTATTAAGCTATGTATTGGTTTAGGGGCTTGGGTTTTGCAATCTGCAGTCTTTAAATATTGTATATCGCTTAATAACACTAACTAAGCTATGTATTCCGACAATAGAGAGAGAGAGGGAAAAACAAGAGTACGTACTTCAAACTTTTATTGTACGATTCACAAACCCTAAACAAAGCCACACAATAATAAAACTAACACAAGAGTCTTAAGAGTCAGAAACAGAGCTTTCTGCTAAAGCGTCACCGCATTACGTTACGAAAGTCTCATCTAACGACGTCGCTCAGGCGACCAATGTGGCGCAGAAGGGCTGAAATGAGTAGACACGACCCTAGAGTCAAGTAGCTCCATGATCGGCGTGAAGCTCACGCACCTTGGTACCTTATACTGATTAATCGACGCACCTCTCGAGATTGCGTAGTCCATGAGCTCTTCAAACGTACCGTTCTGCACCACACGTATCTCCAACGGGCCAATGGATTTATCCGCGACACGGCTTTGTCGATAAACCGTGTTCAGCGATTCCTCCATCTCCAAACAGCACTTAGCCATGACCTCATCACTAGGAAGAGTGTTGGTTTGGTCTCTACCAAGCAGCTCCCAGTAGATAACGTAGTGACCCGGTATGGTCTTCGTATCCGCGTAGCTCGTGTACTCGACAACTCGCGTTCCTTTCTCCGCAAGCAACCTTGACGCATTCTCCACCGCCTTTTGTAGCTCAGCCTCGTCGGTTTTGTCGGATTCAATGCTTAGCAAAACGTTCTTTCTCCTTATAAATTTGAACTGCGGAGCGGAATTATGGAAGCCGGTGACACGGAGAACATCGCCGACTCTATAACGGTTGAGTCCGGCGTAGGTCGTGATCACGAGCTCGTACTCTTTCCCGACCTCCACATCGGCCAGCTCCACAAGTGATTTTTCGTCTACTGATGCTTCGGCCACATCGTGAGTATGCGGGATGAATTCGAAATAGGCCATGTTGGGCATGATTGTGTAAGAAACCTCCGAGGGCTTACACATCGGTTTTAGGTTAATCCCGAAGTAACTTTCAGAAGAAGCATACATCGTGCAAGCCATCGGTAATCCGCCGCTGTAGTACTCCAACGTCGGGATATACTGAGCCATCGCTCCGGTAACAATCACGTCGAGGTACTTCGTGTTAGGCCAAATCTTGGTGATGATCGCTTCCCAGTTCTCTTGTGAACAAACCTCGATCAAAAACTCAGCTAGTTCTTGATTTGGTTTGGTCATAATCTTTGACATGCGGTTCTTGATAGCAGGGTCGAAGATTCTTGAACTTAGGGTTCCGGTTGAGATGTCTTTAGCAAGTTCCTTCCAATTGTTCTGGAGGAAGTTTATGGCACGGAGAAGACCGGAGGCGAAGACCGCACCGAGACGTAGGACATCGTGGCGCATCAAGAGACCACATAGCATTTGAGCATACATGCTTTGGGACGAGTCGGAGCAGAGGATAGCTTCGTTAGGACTAGTGTAGACATTGTACGGATCGTACGGGCGTCTCCTGAAGTGGTCGCTTTTGTAGTAACTCGTGAGAACCGGACGAGCCGGTAACCCACCCGACGTCTTAGACTCTGACTTCACGAACAAGAAGTATAAACCTTTGCCTTTGTCTAATCCAGGCACGTAGCTGCAATATTAAAAAAAACATAAATTGGTTAATTTAAAAAATCGTTCAATTTTTTTTAAAAATATAAGTAATTAACCAACTGAAGTATATATACTAACAGATTCATCACAGGCATGAGAAGACTGTATAAAAGCTGACGTCGTTCCAAGTCTTCTTCAATTGTCGGCATTAGTTTTCTTTCACCAGCAGATGTCCCAGAGCTGCAAATACAACAATTATAAAATAAAAATACTAATCAATTACGGTCAACTATAATTGTTTTTAATTAAAGTTTTATATTACCATATCAATTATTGATGAAGTTGACTTACCTTGTGAGAAACTCGGTGATGGGGTGAGAAGACAAGATCGGAGAACGATCACCGTTAGAGATACGTTGGATCTCCAGCTTCAAATCCTCGTAGGTAACCACCGGAACTTTGGCCTTGAATGTTTTCCGGTCAATGGAGCCATTAAGATCGAACCTTTTCAGATATTCGGTATCGGAGTTACGAGTCAATATCTCTCCAAGAACCTTCTCCTGAACCGAGTCAGGGTTCCGAGTCATTTCCTCGATGAACTTGAGAGCCTTCACGTCTTTCTCAGAGGTCGTCGGTGAAGACATTCGAGATTGAAGAGGAGAATCAACGGCCATGATTGATCGAATGTTTTTCTTTAAGAAAGTGTGTTTAATTTAGCAAATGCTTTACTCGTTTGATGAGGATAACTCGGCGAAGAGTGGGTTGTATTTATAGAAGCGGGAGTGCCACGTCAGTGTGTCCACGTGGTTATACGTGTGGGCCCGAGAGTACTTTTGGTTAGATTTTTGACTTGATCTCCGTTTGTAGCCCTGACGGGGGACAAAAGGTACAGTCGACAAATAAGCTGTTTCTGTAGACATAAGGGACCCACATGTCTCTGCCACGTATGCGTTTACTGATGTTTGGGTTCTTGTCTTATTAGTCACAGGCGTCATTACGGACTTACGTGGCTCGTTTTTCTTGTGACTCTTTCTTTGTTCGGTCGTCGATCAAGACGGTCAAATGCTAATAAGCTTTGCTTATAACGCTAATAACGGAGTGACTTTAATTAAACGTGATTAATATTTTCTTTAAGTAGGATAATTAAGTAATATGTAGCTTAGGGATCATGTTGTTGGTTTTGGTGGCAATTTGATAACCTATGACGCAAAGTAATGTTTAGTTTATGACTTTATGTTACTTAGTGCTAATATCATTGCTCTATATAAATAAGTTTTTTTTTTTTTTTTTTTAAATTTATTTTAAATATGTTGATATTTTGCTCCACTTTTTAGCTAGAATTTAAGATCGAATTGGAGTTTAGGTTGATCACTATTAGATACACCTATAATACAAAATATACATAAATAAACATTCATCTTCTCTCTGCTCAGTTTAACGCTCATCATTATAGAGCTCATATACATTATCGTAATCGTACGTAGTGTTAAGTTGTTTAATAGTACTAGTTGTAAGCAGTGCACACATACAACCTCCTAGGACGGATGTGAATCCGGAATTGCAAATCCTATGAAAGATGTATATATAATATTCACGTGTCTGCATTGAAATAAATTTTAAACCAGTATTAATTGTCCATTAAACTGGTACATTTTTTCAAGTCAGCTGGCAACTATATAAGGATGATTTTCTTAATCATTATATAGTGTGAATGGGGTTGCGAATTTTACTTGTGAACAGTATATATAATATAATAATTTTAAACATGAGATATTTTGTAGTCATTGATTATCTATGGACATTTCATTTGAGTTCATGATCGTCGTTCGTGCTGTACCCTCCTCAACTTGCTCCATTTAATTTCTCGGTTTTTGTCCTTTTTCCTGAAAATATATATAATAACAACTGTAGTAATATCACTTGATTTGTTATACATTTGGTTTCGAAACTTTGATCTTCTACTTCCATCTTCCCAAGGTTTTTTTGAACTGATTATCGATAACTTCTGTTCTTAGCTCAATTTTGTGTTTGCAGATCTAGATCACGCATATATGTTGGTGTTTAATAGAATACTGTTTTTTGGGATAATGAGTTGTCAAAACTGAAATAGACCGATACCAAAATTTATAGACATATAACACTGTTTCATCTAAAATAATCTGTTAGCTCGCCACCATAGGACACCGGAATGTTTTTTAAAAACGAATGCCTCATCAGCTAAATAAATTATTTATGTTAAACACCCCAAAAAAAAAAAAATCTTTTCTAACAATGCATACATGATATAATACAGATTCGGTCATGGCGATGGGTCACTCGACATGTGGGCCTTGAGAAAAGGATACTAAGTACTAATACAGTAATACTACCCAATAATTATAGTGTGATTAAAAGCCGAAGGGAATAATTTATGAACAAGTACCTAACGAAATGAAAAGAAGATGGTCACTGTTTTAGGAAGAGACTAATCGCACGGATCATGCATTATCTCTGATTAGACAATTCGGGAGCAAAGTTTTCTTTTGGAGAACAAATTATTCATTAGAATAGTCACTTCAACTATCTTACCAATATTATATAATTGTAGTTACCATCAGGATAATTTTACGATAGTAGAAATATTAGACTTTTCGAAGGTTGATTATTTTCTCACTATATAATAATCGTGTCCCCAATAAATTAGCATTCAATTAATTAACATGTACTCTTTTACCTTCAACTAACTTTCACATTATTTAAACTAATATATTGACAGAGTTCCAACTCTCAACTCTCCCACTACAATGTTTTTCGTTTAAGACAATCGGATGTCTAGATATATAATTATAAAATTACAAAACATATAAACATAAGTACGTATAACACTGTAGGGGTAGTCTATATTAGTCGGTAACTCGGTAGATACGTACACGTTAATTTATTGTCAATAGTCCATAATTAAAGTCAACATTATACAGTACTCGTGTTGACTGTGGTTAACGTATCCTTGAATAAGGTAGGCAATGGTACTCATATTTTTCCACGATGCCATTTTTTAAACCCTAAATGTAGTTTCTCAAATTTGAAAATCAAAATCATAGCTCGCATATTCAATTCAAGCTATACATTTACTGGACGCCATAGTTGAATGACTGGGATAGTTAATGTCATATTAATTGGATGAATTCTGGAGATATTTTTGGTAAACTAACAATTTTTATATGAAAAAGGTGTAACCTAATTAGTACTCTGTTTTAGTATCTTTTTTTTTAGTGAGAAATATAATATACTAAAATATAAGGGAGAATTATTAGAATATATATTAACACCTCAAAATGTTGTTAGCAAGAACGTGGAATAAGAATCGGACCTTGACTCTTGCGTGTTTTGATCCGAGTTTGCTTTCTACGAACGAATCGTCATGAAACAGAACTTCGTTCTCTTATATGTCTTTCTCTCAACAACTGGCGGTTTACGTATTTTAAAGAATAGTTTGAATTTTCGCCTAATATTCTCTTGGTTATGAAATAAATATACATTGATTAACTGTATTTCGTTTCGTACAAAACAACGAAATTTGACCAATTCAACAACATGTCAATAGGGAACAAAAATAAGAGAAAGAACACGATTCTATGCTAAAGTAGAGATATAGATCCAAAGAAGGCATGGCGTCACATTGCTGACGATATTGGAGAAGATAACTTTGGATAATATAGACTTGTGACCCTTTTTGACAGCAACCATTCCATAATAATACCGACAACTTTAAGTTTTTACGTATACATATATAACACTTAGTTTTTTCAATTCAGCATTGTCAAGTATCAACACACAAAACAAAATATACGGCACGCGAGGTGGGAAAATATAAAATTCACTAAATATTGTAACAATACAGTACTCGTACGTGTTTACGTTTTCGTAGTGGAAACAAAACGAACAATTAGGTGGAAAAAGATAATAATTGCCGAACCGAATGTTTTAAATCAAACACGACTCTAACCTTAGCTATCCATTGCTTAGTAAAAATAAAATCCTCATTTTAACAAAAAAGATACGATCCTCATAATAATTGGTGCATTGTGAACAGATAATAGATTATATGGCACATGCATGCACGTCGCCATACATGGTCCCATTCAATCTATGTATGTATATATCTTTACTTCATGCATGTGAACAGTTCTCTGTTTAAAGAAGTAGACACACTTTTACGTTGATATGTCACTATTATTTTCACAATTTAGACGATTCTTATTTATTTTTTGGGTTAAAGTTTCAATTTACTTTTTGAAACCAAGATGATCTAGCTTTTCAATAAAAGTAAAGAGCGAACATACAATGCATTTTAGAAAAGGCAAAAGTACGAGTTATTTTTAACCAAACAATTGTACATGTTTCGGGATCAGAGAGATCGTAAACACAAAAGCATAAGTTTATGGGCAAACACTGTCGTTGTTTTTCTTTACAAATGTCCTGTCATTTCTGTTTTTCTTTCTCGTATTGTTGGATGAACGTTGATGTGTGTTTCTGTATAAACAGAAACAAAAAAAGAGATTTCTACTGTCTTTTTCCGTGGACACAATTATAATTTAACTTTGGAGTTGATAGTTATCCATCAGCCAGTTATCAAGTTGTTGTTTTTCTCTCAAACATTTATTTTATTAATACACCATTAAGCATAGTCTGAACTCCATAAAATAGTATTAGATAAACTTCCTCATTCCGACAAAAATTAGTCAGTACCGAACCCGTAAGCAGTTCTCACTTACCAGAGGCTTCAGATCTAATTGATTTTGAAAAATATATGATATCAACTAATCATACATTAAAAAACATGTTCCAAAATATATGAATATGTAAAAATCAACCATGACATCGGATTGATCAAAAGTACAAAACGTTGAACGACAATCCATTTTCTATAAATGATATTTTTATCCGTTTTCAAAATTCTAAATGTTTTTTTGTTCTGTGTACGAAAAGGGCTAAGACTTTAAATGTTTGAATGAAATTATCTACTATTCTAAGTATAATCACGAAAGGTTACCCCTTCGAATACGGTATTAATGATCAAATTAAGATATATGCAAATCAGAAAATCGATCTATCAATTAAATAATCCAGGATTGAAAGCGAATTGTACATGTTTCGAGACCGTGAAGAATGAAGATATTGAAACTTAAACAAATTAATACGTATACGTAATATTTATACGTTGATACCCCCGAAAAAAAGTTGATCGACAAAATACGCCGTAGCAAAATCCAACTATCGACTTCTGTTCAGTCGCTTTCGTTTTCGGGAGACGTCCACTAGTTTCAATGTTCAATTCTTTCTGATATTCTCTACTTGTTGTTGTTGTTTGATTGTAAATAATTTGACATCAATTTTGTTATCTCTTACACTCGTACGTGTTATAATGTATGTTCTAATGAAAGTATTCAAATTGTTTCTTATAATTTCCTTTAATTAAAAACAGCGTTGTAAAACAAAGTAAAAATTAAAAACGAAGCTGACGGGAACGTCACATGACTAAAGTCGGACCAGGACATAGCTTTAGTTCTTTAAACACAATTAATATGTTTCTTCCTCTTACACCTTTTGTCTCTTTCCCTCTTTGTCTTTTTTCTTTTCGCTTCACTCTAGGTTTTGTCTCTCTTCTTTTTTTCCATTTTCTTAATTACAGTTGATTTTTTTACTTTTCTTGATTTATTACTTTAATTACACATACACATATTGTCAAAGTTCTTCCATCTCTTTGTCTCGACCAAAATCTTTCTTTGATTTCTGTGTCTCTCGACCCTAATCTCTGTAGCCCGTAGTTTTCCATGTGCTACATATATTGTAATTCGGGGTAATAAACCTACATTTAAATTTAATGTATACCGGGCCTATAGAACATCAAATTTAACGGGCCTTTTCTGTTTGGTTATGGGCCTGAATTACTTAAAAGCAACATTAATTAAATAATTAAATTCGAAAAATACCAATTGTTGAAAATGGCGTCGTCACCACTTCTCGCGACGTCACTACCGCAGAAACAGTTGACCACCACCGCCACCGCCACCGCCGGTGAATTCCGCCTTCATCCGGCGGAGAAACTCGCATTTCTAATCGACAAATCGGTATCAGTGAATGAAGTCCTCCAAATCCACGCGGCTATTCTCCGTCATAACATCGTCCTCCATCGTTACCCAGTTCTAAACCTCAAGCTCCACCGCGCATACGCTTCCCACGGCAAAATTCGCCAGTCATTGGCTCTATTTCACCAGACTATTTCACCAGACTTGTTCCTCTTCACCGCCGCAATCAACACTGTCTCCGTTAACGGCCTCCATGACGAAGCTTTCCTGCTTTATATTCGATTGCTTTCTTCTGAAATCGTCCCGAACGAGTTCACTTTCTCGTCAATTTTGAAATCATGCTCAACCGAATCCGGCAAAGCGATCCATACCCATATCCTCAAACTCGGATTGGGGCTTGACCCGTACGTAGCGACTGGTCTCGTCGACGTTTACGCAAAAGGAGGAGACGTAATATCTGCCGAGAAAGTGTTCGACAGAATGCCTGAGAGAAGCCTCGTCTCTTCCACGGCTATGATCACCTGCTACGCAAATCAAGGGAACGTCGATTCCGCGAGAGCTTTGTTCGACGGAATCCGTGAGAGAGACATTGTCTCTTGGAACGTGATGATTGACGGATACGCTCAACACGGATTTCCAAACGAAGCTCTGACGCTTTTCCAGAAACTCTTAACCGAAAGTAAACCAAATCCCGATGAAATCACCGTTGTGGCTACTCTCTCTGCTTGTTCCCAAATCGGTGCGCTTGAATCCGGGCGTTGGATCCATGTTTACATCAAGAACAGTCGTCGCATCAGGCTCAATGTTAGAGTATGCACGGCTTTGATTGACATGTATAGCAAATGTGGGAACTTGGAAGAGGCGGTTTCAGTGTTTAACGATACTCCGAGGAAAGATATCGTTGCGTGGAATGCGATGATTTCCGGTTATGCAATGCACGGTTATAGCCGAGAGGCGTTGAGATTGTTCGATGAGATCAAAGGGTTGCAACCAACGGATATAACTTTCATTGGATTGCTTCAGGCTTGTGCTCACGGTGGACTTGTAAAAGAAGGACTGAGAATGTTTGAGTCGATGAGAGAAGAGTATGGGATTAAACCGAAGATTGAGCATTACGGATGTTTGATTAGCTTGCTCGGCCGTGCTGGGATGTTAAAACGAGCTTACGAGATCATAAGGAACATGAAAATGGAGGCTGATTCTGTGATTTGGAGTTCTCTTCTCGGAAGTTGTAAACTTCATGGAGATTTTGTGTTAGGGAAGGAGATAGCAGAGTATTTGATCGGACAGAACATTGTAAACTCAGGAATTTATGTTGTTGTTTCGGGCTTATATGCATCGGTGAATGATTATGAAGGTGTGGCGAAAGTGAGGAGCTTGATGAAGGAGAAAGGAATAGTGAAAGAGCCTGGGATTAGCACTATAGAAATCGATGATAAAGTTCATGAGTTTCGAGCTGGAGATAGAGAACACTTGTCATGCAAGGAAATCTACGAAATGCTGAGAAAGATCAGCGAGCTGGTGAAGTCTCATGGCTACGTTCCAAATACAGACGCGGTCTTGCAAGATCTTGAAGAGGCAGAGAAAGAGCAGTCTCTGCAAGTTCATAGCGAGAGGCTTGCGATTGCTTAACGGACTGATCAGTACTAAACCTGGAAGTCCCTTGAAGATATTCAAGAACCTGCGAGTTTGTTCTGATTGTCATACAGTGACGAACTGATATCGAGAATCACAGGACGGAGGATTGTCATGAGAGATCGGAATAGGTTCCATCATTTCGTTGATGGTTCTTGTTCTTGTGGCGATTTCTGGTAAAAAGAAAGACCACACACACACAGTGAACATTTCGTCGAACACTTGTATCTATGTTTACAGTTCTTTACACGTTATGTGAAATGTGATGTTGATATGATTTTCCAATTTCCGTGAAGACCACGACTTTGGCTTTATAAGCAGGAAAGATTGAATCAAAATTGAAATTTCCCTCGTCATGATTTGATTATCTAGAGAAGAAAAATATTTGGTCAACGAGTCAAATAGTCAATGCTAAAATCAAAATTGGTTTTGTTTTCCCCAAATCTATTTAACTTTCTTCTTCATCACTCACCAAAACATGCAAAAGATCAAATATGGAAGCCAAAGCTTTACTCTTCTCCGTTCTCTTCATTGTTCTCTCTCTCAGATTCTTGATCGGAAGACTCAAGCGAAAGCCCAACCTTCCTCCGAGTCCGGCATGGGCGTTACCGGTGATCGGTCACCTCCGCCTTCTCAAACCGCCGATCTATCGCACTTTCCACTCAATCTCCCAATCACTAGGCGATGCTCCGATCTTCTCTCTCCGACTCGGGAACAGACTCGTTTTCGTCAACTCGTCGCACTCGATCGCCGAGGAGTGCTTCACTAAGAACGACGTCGTACTCGCGAACCGGCCAAAGTTCATCATCGCCAAACACGTCGCGTACGATTACACAACCGTGATCGCTGCTCCTTATGGAGATCACTGGCGCAACCTCCGCCGCATCGGCTCCGTCGAGATATTCTCCAATCACCGCCTCAACAGCTTTCTCTCTATCCGTAAGGACGAGATACGGCGGCTAATTTTACGTCTCTCACGAAACTTTTCACAAGTAAGTGAGCTTAAAATCTAGCTTTGTCACCAAAAATGCCATTTTGGAATCGAAAATTAGGACTTTGTGATGATCCTCTGTTTTGTGGGATGTGTAATCAATTTGCAGGATTTTGGAAAGGTGGAGATGAAATCAATGTTCTCCGACTTAACATTCAACAACATCATCAGAATGGTGGCCGGAAAACGTTACTACGGCGACGGTTCGGAGGAGGATCCGGAGTCTAAACGAGTCAGGCAGCTGATTGCGGATGTTGTAGCTAGCGCCGGCGCCGGAAACGCTGTCGATTATCTACCTGTCTTGCGTTTGGTTTCGGATTACGAGACACGTGTCAAGAAGCTGGCGAGTAGGCTCGACGAGTTCTTGCAAGGGTTGGTCGATGAGAAACGTGAAGCTCAAGAGAAGGGCAACACGATGATCGATCACTTGCTTTCTCTGCAAGAATCACAACCTGACTACTTCACAGATCGCATCATCAAAGGAAACATGGTCGTAAGTAAACCAAAATTTGGCATTTAGCTTCCTGATTCGGTTTAATCAAATTCTTTAGATCACATTTTGGTTTGGAATGTGTTAATTTTGCAGGCTCTCATATTAGCAGGGACTGATACATCAGCGGTTACGTTAGAATGGGCATTGTCGAACCTTTTGAATCATCCGGAGGTATTGAAGAAGGCGAGAGAAGAAATCGATAGGAAGATTGGTTTGGAGAGGCTTGTGGAGGAATCAGACATATCAAATCTGCCTTATCTTCAGAACATTGTGTCTGAAACGTTACGGCTTTACCCTGCGGTTCCAATGCTGCTTCCTCACATGGCATCGGAAGATTGTAAGGTTTCAGGATACGATATGCCACGTGGGACTATACTCTTGACCAACGCGTGGGCTATACACAGAGATCCTAAGCTATGGGATGATCCATTGACATTCAAACCAGAGAGGTTTGAGAAAGAAGGAGAGGCTAATAAGCTAATGGCGTTTGGGTTGGGAAGAAGGGCTTGTCCTGGCTCTGGACTGGCTCATCGGCTGATGAACCTGACTCTTGCTTCGTTGATTCAGTGTTTGGAGTGGGAGAGGATTGGAGAAGAAGAAGTTGATATGAGTGAAGGCAAAGGAGTCACAATGACTAAAGCCAAGCCTTTGGAAGCCATGTGCAGAGCACGTGGCCTCTATCGGTCAAATCTTCCATGAGTAATGCTTGACTTTACTCTTTTAGTAAGGAGTAATGTCTATATTATATGCTTTTAATTAGGTAATTAGGTAAGGCAAAATGGACATGTCAATAATAAATGTGTGTCTCTATGTAATAATAAAGATTTATTTCCATGTTGATATTGATGATTAGTTTACTACTCTAATCATTGAAGCAGATTCTGAACCACATCTTCTTCCTCTATAAACTCTGTGAGTTGTTGGAAAGAAGAAATCATAAACAATGGAAGCTCAAGCACTAATTATCACGTTCTTCTTCCTCTTTCTCTCTCTCACAATCTTCATCGGAAGAAGAATCAAGCGAAAGCCTAATCTCCCTCCGTCTCCGGCCTCTGCGCTTCCGATTATCGGTCACCTCCGCCTTCTCAAGCGGCCGCTCCACCGTTTCTTCCTCTCCGTCTCTCAATCCCTAGGCGACGCTCCGGTCTTCTCCCTCCGTTTTGGAAACAGACTCGTTTTCGTTGTCTCTTCACACTCAATTGCAGAGGAATGCTTCACGAAGAACGACATCGTGCTCGCGAACCGGCCTACCTCCATCGCTGCAAAGCACATCTCATACGGCTACACAACCGTGGTCTCAGCTTCGTATGGCGAACACTGGAGAAATCTCCGCCGCATCGGCGCCATCGAGATATTCTCAGCTCAACGGATCAATAGCTTTGCCTCTATCCGCCGAGACGAGATCCGGCGGCTTATAGTTCGTCTCTCACGGAACTCGTCTCACGTAAGTGTGCTCTTTGTTCCACCAAACTCAATCACTACTGTTTAAAAGACAATAATCTCCCGCAAAAAAAATGTCAAATTTGAAAGGAATCACAATTTATATGCAAGTGTGACAATCATTGAAACAGAGGATATTTAGATCTTAATTACAAATTTAGTATGAAAGTTTGCTGTTCATAAATAAATAAACTGTTTATTGAATGATATATATATATATCTAGTCATCTCTGTTTATAGGTTAAGTTTTCTAGATTGTGTCATTGATTTAACATATGATTTTTATGTAATAATTTTTGCAGGAATTTGCGAAGGTGGATATGAGATCAATGTTATCTGACTTAACATTCAACAACATCCTCAGAATGGTGGCCGGAAAACGTTACTACGGAGACGGCGCAGAAGAAGACTCGGAGGCGAGACGCGTCAGGCTGCTTATAGCGGAGGCGATGAGTAGTTTTGGCGCTGGGAACGTTGTTGATTATCTACCAGTCCTGCGTTGGGTCACGGATATCGAGAAACGGATAAAGAAGCTGGCATGTAGGCTTGATGAGTTCTTGCAAGAACTGGTCGATGAGAAACGAGCAGCTAAAGAGAAAGGGAACACGATGGTCGATCACTTGCTTTCTCTGCAAGAATCACAACCTGATTACTATAGTGACCGCACAATCAAAGGAACCATACAAGTAAGTAACCGAGAACAATATTTCTTCTTAAAATTGTTGGAAAAAAACAAAACAAAAACATTTGAAGTTCGTTTCTGTCACATTGAATGTGTAGTCTTTGATATTGGCGGGGACTGATACATCAGCGGTAACATTGGAATGGGCAATGTCGAGCTTGTTGAACAATCCAGAGGTAATGAACAAGGCAAGAGAAGAAATGGACAATAAGATTGGTTTAGACAGGCATGTGGAGGAGTCAGACATTTCAGATCTTCCTTATCTTCAGAACATTGTGTCTGAAACGTTTCGGCTTTACCCTGCGGGTCCGTTGATGGTCCCTCACGTCGCGTCAGAAGATTGCAAAGTAGGGGGTTACGATATGCCACGCGGCACTATGTTATTGGTGAACCTGTGGGCCATACACAGAGACCCTCGGGTGTGGGATGATCCGGGGAGTTTCAAACCAGAGAGGTTCCAGAAAGAAGGAGCGGCTCAGAAGCTGATGACGTTCGGGTTAGGAAGAAGGGCGTGTCCTGGTTCCGGATTGGCTCAACTGCTAGTGAGCTTGACTCTAGGGTCTTTGATTCAATGTTTTGAATGGCAGAGAGTTGGAGAAGAAGAAATTGATATGAGTGAAGTTGGAGGCGTCACAATGCCTAAAGCCAAGCCTTTGGAAGCCATGTGCAGAGCACGCGCCTTAGTTGGTCAAATTCTCCACCACTCAACCTGAGTTTAGGCTGATATTTATAGTAAGTGCCAATATATGTTTGGGCAACGGTTATGTCTGTAAGATATGTGTTATCTAAATTTTCTCAATGCATACGTAAGTGATGATGTTTTTTTTTTTTTTTTTTTTTTTCCGAAACAAACTTTTCCATTTTGACCAAGCGTCTATCCTCTTGTACATAAGTACTAATCCAATTGTTTTGTTATGTTTGTTTAGTTTTTATGAATGACTTGTATAGCATAAAACACGTTAATGCCTAAATGACAATCCGTCCAAGATCGTTTTGATTAAGATGGGAAAGTATATTTTTATTGTTTCTTAGCTATACATTTTTTTTTTTCATTTTTTTAATAATACTAGAATCAGATATGAATATTCACCTAATTCACCCATATTTAAATATCATATGATTTCCTACCTTATAGTTATCTAAATAGACCGCATGAATCATCTCCAAGAAAACAACAATTACAAAATAAAGAGACTCAAGAGTAAAGAAGAAGCCACAAACAAGCAAACAGACAAAAAATGGACTTCATCCAAATTCTAATCCTCTCTTCTCTCTTTCTTTTCATCTCAGCCAGATTCTTGCTCACAAGATCCAAACGGAAACTGAACCTTCCGCCGTCTCCGGCGATCTCTTTGCCGTTGATCGGTCACCTCCACCTACTCAAGCCACCGCTCCACAGAACATTCCTTTCCCTCTCCCAATCCATCGGAAATGCTCCGATCTTCCATCTCCGCCTCGGAAACCGCCTTATCTATGTTATCTCCTCACCTGCCATCGTCGAGGAATGTTTCACCACGAACGACGTCGTTCTTGCGGACCGTCCCAAGTTCATCGTGAGCAAGCTCGTCGGCTACAACGCCACCCACTTAATCTCAGCATCTTACGGCGATCACTGGAGGAATCTCCGCCGCATCGCCGCCGTCGAGATCTTCTCGACTCAAAGACTTAATTCGTTTTTGTATATCCGTAAAGACGAGATCCGACGACTCATCTCACGTCTTTCCCGAGACTCCTTACACGTATCACCTCCTCTCTTATCTTTTAAAAATTGATGTTTTTGTCCTTATTCACGTCTTTCACGTTGCTAACGTCTAGTTTTATTTCAATAAAATATGACCACGATTTAATAGTTCAAAATACTCTGCATTATTTTTGAACATATTAACACAAACATATATTCATATATAAATACAAGAGAAATACTTTAATATACCACTAAACTCAATCGAATATTTGACCAGTTTTTGTGGTATTTCTGGAAAATAAAACTAAGGATGATAATTTTGGAACAAAACTTATCTTTGTGGTATTTTTGAGAATTGCTCTAAGCACAATCAAATGTTTTATCTTGTTTATATTCTTAGCAACTTTTACTCCTAAATTGTATTGGTACGCTCAGGGATTTGTGGAGGTGGAGATGAAATCATTGTTAACCGATTTGGCATCCAACAACGTCATCAGAATGGTGGCCGGTAAGCGTTTCTACGGCGAGGACAACGACGAGTCTAAACTCGTGAGGCAGCTTGTGTCGGAGGCGGTGACCAGCGCCGGTGCTGGAAACCCAGCTGACTATCTTCCGATCTTGCGTTGGGTCACGAACTTTGAAAAACGAATCAAGAATTTGGGGAATCGGTTCGATGCGTTTTTGCAGAGACTGGTAGATGAGAAACGTGCAGAGAAAGAAAAAGGTCAAACTTTGATCGATCGCTTGCTTTCTCTCCAAGAAAGCCAACCAGATTACTATAACGATGTCCTCATCAAAGGAATCATACTCGTAAGTATCAATCAATCAATATGCAATTATATATATACATAAAGTTTATTAATAACCAGTAAATTATGCACAGACTCTGATAATTGCTGGGACAGATACGTCATCGGTGACGATAGAATGGGCAATGTCTAATTTGGTAAACCATCCAGAAATACTTAAGAAGGCGAGAATCGAAATCGATGAGAAAATCGGTTTAGACCGGTTAGTAGACGAACCGGACATTGCGAATCTTCCTTATCTCCAAAACATTGTGAGGGAAACACTACGTTTGTATCCTGCGGTTCCGTTACTACTGCCTCATTTGTCATCGGAAGATTGTAAAGTGGGAGGCTATGATGTGCCAAGTGGAACTATCGTATTGGTCAATGCATGGGCTATGCATAGAGATCCAAAGCTATGGGAGGATCCGGAGATGTTCAAGCCAGAAAGATTCGAGAGAGAAGGAGAGGCTGAGAAGCTACTGCCATTTGGGATGGGACGAAGAGCTTGTCCTGGAGCTGGACTTGCTCAACGGTTCGTGAGCTTGGCTCTCGGGTCTTTGGTTCAGTGTTTCGAGTGGGAAAGAGTTGGTGAGGAACTTGTGGACATGAGGGAAGACAAAGGAGCCACGTTGCCTAAAGCATTGCCCTTGCGAGCCATGTGTAGAACACGCTCCATTGTTGATAAACTGATGTAATCTTTTTAATGTATTTGTTTTCTTGTTTAAATGGCATTGACACAAAAATTATGCGTTGGTGTGTTTCGGTCCTCTTTTAATAGTGTTGTCTAGTTCCTTGTTTATATGAATGTCATCAAAATTTTCTTTTACATTATAATAGCGTTTTTTCTTCATTTATTTTAAAATTTCGTTTTTTACAGAAATTGGTGGATATCATTGCGTTTTATCATCATTTTCAAAGTTTATTTTATAATTATTTTATATTTTGAAAAACAGTTATTGAAAGAATAATAATACTATTATTTTTTTTGCCCAAAAAATGTTATTAACTCGTCTTGAGCCCACCGCACTAAATGTCACTCCACTGTATGTCAGAGCACCGCACTGCAATAAGTGACATCTCCCCATACCACACACGATCTATATATTACTCCATATAAGAGATACGATCAGGAAACAAGAACAAGCATCAAGAAGACAAGAAATGGACTATCTTCAAATATTACTTCTCTCTATGTTTCTTTTTCTCTCTATCATATTCGTATTCACAAAATCAAAGCCAAAGCTAAATTTGCCGCCGTCTCCGGGGTACTCATTGCCGGTGATCGGCCACCTCCACCTCCTTAAGCCACCATTCCATCGGCAATTTCTTTCTTTCTCTCAGTCCCTCGGAAATGCTCCAGTCATCCACCTCCGCGCAGGGCACCGTCACCTGTACGTCGTCTCCTCACGAGCCATCGCCGAGGAATGTTTCACCAAAAACGACGTTGTATTGGCGAACCGTCCTCAGGTGATGATAACCAAGTATCTTGGATATAATGCTACAGATATGCTCGGATCATCTTACGGCGATCACTGGCGAAACCTCCGTCGCATCACCGCTTCTGAGATATTTTCGTCTCTTGGGGTCAAAACGTTTTTGAATATCCATAAAGACGAGATCAGACGGATGATATTACGACTCTACCGAGACTCCTCACATGTACGCCTTTTTAATCAATTAAATCATATAAGTCATATATATGTATATTCCTTACACGTATACAAAATGCATGGAATTAATCTTTTATTAGTTGAAGCTACACTAAATTCAGCATAAATTCAGCATGAAGCTACACTTATTAGTGCATTCAAGTTTTACTGCGTTTTTAATAAGAATGCATGCTAGATACTGTTTTTATATATTAAGTTACTTTTAATGTTGATGAATAATATTTGTAACTTTATAAGCTATATATTTTCAGGGATTTGTGGAGGTGGAGATGAGATCACTGTTTACAAACTTGTCATTCAACAACATAATCAGAACAATAGCTGGGAAGCGATATTACGGTGACGAAACAGAGGACGAAGACGAGTCCAAGCACGTGAGGCAATTGGTGTTTGAGGCTGTGGCCGGCGATAGTGGAAATAACCCTGTTGATTATATTCCGTTTTTGCGTTGGTTCACGAATCACGAAACACGGATCAAAGACTTGGCTCATCGTTTCGACGCATTCTTGCAAAAACTTGTCGATGAGAAACGTTCGGAGAAAGAGAAAAGTGAAACGATGATTAACCACTTGCTTTCTCTCCAAGAAACTCAACCTGATTGCTACACAGATGTTCTCATCAAAGGAATCATCCTTGTAAGCATCAGTCATTAATTATACTAATTATTAAGTATACCTTATATGAATGAATATAACACTATGTGCTTACGTAATATGCAGGATTTGATAGTTGCTGGGACAGAGACAATATCTATCACATTAGAGTGGGCATTTTCTAATCTCTTGAACCATCAAGAGGTACTACAGAAAGCAAGAACCGAAATAGAACATAAAATCGGTTTGGACCGGTTAATAGATGATTCGGATCTTGCGAGTCTTCCCTACCTGCAAAATATTATACATGAAACGTTACGTCTCTATCCTCCTGGCCCGTTGATTCTCCCCCACATGTCATCAGAAGATTGTGAAGTAGGAGGTTACGATATGCCACGTGGGACGATGTTATCCATGAACGTGTGGGCCATGCACAGAGATCCAGAGTTGTGGGAAGAGCCAGAGATGTTTAAACCGGAGAGGTTTGAAAAGGAAGGGGAAGCTCAAAAGCTTATGGCGTTTGGGCTCGGACGACGGGCTTGTCCCGGATATGGGCTTGCTCATCGGTTATTGGGCTTGGCACTTGGGTCGTTGGTGCAGTGTTTTGAGTGGGAGAGAGTTGGTGTCGAGCAGATTGATATGAGGGAAGGGGAAGGTATCACAATGCCCAAAGAGAAACCACTGCGAGCCATGTGCAGAGCACGGGCTCTTGCTGGTCAAGTTGTTGCTGTGAATCAGAAGAACTCTTTTTAAATATTTCTGTTGCGGAGCCCGCCAGAGAGTTTTATTTATTTTCTTAGGTTCTTTAAAACGTTTAAAGGCGAATAATTTAAATCCTTTTTACATTGAAAATTCACATCAACAACCTCTTCGATTAAAACGTGCACAAAAACCCCTTTTTATACTGAAAATTCACATCAACCTCTCCAGTAATACATGCATAATATTTCAACCCCCTCCAATATTACGTACGGCGATGCGTAGGCACTGAGCAAACTGCATAATAATAATTAAAAATTAGGATTTTAATATTTGTTTTTGTTTTTTTTTTGCTAAGTATAATCGTGGAGTTAATATTGTAATTGTCTAAGATGTGATATCATTTTGACTAATTATTTAAAATATGATATCATTTTCCATGAGTATAAGTTTTAACATTTGATTAGTTTTTTTTTATGGTAAGTATAATTGGTTGAGTAGTCTATTCTCCAAATTTTGTAATCGTCTGAGATATGATATAAATTTGACTAATTGTTTAAAATATGATATCATTTCAAAACGGGTTGATTTTTCCAAGATGAGTATAATCTGTAGTCTACTCACCAAATTTTTTAACTGTCTAAAATAAGCGATCATTTAGACTAGTCAAAATGGGAGTGGTGAGATCGTATACCACATTTTCGGATATAAATATGTTTGCTCTCGCCCATCATTCTTGGAAAAACAAAAATGGACTTCACTCAAAGTTTACTTCTCGCCTCTCTCTTTCTCATTATCTCTATCAAGTTCTTGTTCACAAGATCCAACCGGAAACTCAATCTTCCTCCTTCTCCGGCCTACTCTTTACCGGTTATCGGCCACCTCCACCTCCTCAAGAACCCGATCCACAAAACATTCATCTCACTCTCTCGATCTCTCGGGAATGCTCCCATCTTCCGCCTCCGCCTCGGAAGCCGCCTCGTTTACGTTATCTCCTCACATACCATAGCCGAAGAATGCTTCACCACAAACGACGCCATTCTTGCGAACCGTCCTGCGCTTATCATGGGCGAACACGTCGGCTACAACTCCACCATCATGATAGGAGCACCTTACGGCGACCACTGGAGAAACCTCCGCCGCATCGCCGCCGTCGAGATATTATCGTCTCATAGGATCAGCACCTTTATGTCTGTCCGCAAAGACGAGATCCGACGGCTCATTACACACCTCTCCAAAAACTCCTTACACGTAAAACATTTTCTTTACTTAGCACTAAAGCAAAGTCTTTATTTTACTGCTTGTGCCGTTGTATTTGTCACCTTACGTATATATATCACTGACTTACTGTCCATGTGATTAGGTATTGTCCAGCCTTCCGTTCCGTGCATATCTAAATATCAGGATTAATTATGTGATTAGCCTTCCATGCATATTCATTCCTTCTGTTTTATACAACTTATTTAGTTATTTATTACTTATGGTACAGTGAGTAAAAATAAACTAAAAATAGGGTTAACTTAGTAAAAAGATAAAACAAGAAAAAAAAAATGGAAAGCATGATCTATAACGAAATAGATGGTAGCTAGTACCTATAGACTCACGAAAGTCTTCTCAGTCGCCACATGTACGTATGTTTAGGGTTACTTGATTTTTGTATCTATTGAAATTTTACAAAATTCGATTGGTGATCGTCTCACAGGGATTTGTTGAAGTGGAGATGAAATCATTACTATCCAACCTGGCATTCAACAACATCATCATGATGGTAGCCGGAAAACGATATTACGGTGGCGGCATCGACGACAACGACGAGGCCAAACTCGTAAGGGAACTTATATCGGAGGTGGTGATTGGCACCGGTCCTGGAAACCTAGCTGACTATCTTCCGTTCCTAGGTTGGATCACAGGTTTTGAGAAACGTGCCAAAAATTTGGGGAAACGGTTTGATGGATTCTTGCAAAAACTAGTTGATGAGAAACGTGCCGAGAAAAAACATGGTCAAACTTTGATCCATCAATTACTTTCTCTTCAAGAAACCCAACCTGAGTATTATACTGACGTCATCATCAAAGGAATCATACTCGTACGTACATATATATATTTGAAGAACTTTCTATACTTGGGTATCAAGAGTTTACTAATTTATTCAGTTATATATATACAGGCTCTGGTAATCGCTGGGACAGACACGTCAGGAGTGACGTTAGAGTGGGCGATGTCGAGTTTGTTGAACCATCCAGAGATACTTAAGAAAGCAAGAGCCGAAATCGAGGAGAAAATCGGTTTAGACCGGTTAATCGACGAATCAGACATTGTAAAACTTCCTTATCTCCAAAACATCGTGTCCGAAACGCTACGTTTGTACCCTGCGGCGCCTCTGCTACTCCCTCATTTCTCATCGGAAGATTGTAAAGTGGCCGGATACGACATGCCGCGTGGCACGATCTTGTTGACGAACGCATGGGCCATGCACAGAGATCCGGAGCTGTGGGACGAGCCAGAGAGGTTCAAGCCGGAGAGATTCGAGAAAGTGGAAGAAGATGCTCAAAAGCTATTACCGTTTGGGATGGGACGACGAGCTTGTCCTGGAGCAGAGCTTGGGAAGCGGTTAGTGAGCCTGGCTCTCGGGTGTTTGATTCAGTGCTTCGAGTGGGAGAGAGTTGGTGAAGAGCTTGTGGACATGACCGAAGGCAATGGGGTCACTATGCCTAAAGCTATTCCGTTGCGAGTCATGTGCAAGGCACGTGGCTTCCCTCCGATGAAACCGGTGTGAAAAAGGGTCAAAGACAACTCCGTCCAAATATAAAATATTACATCACACTACTCCAATAATACATGAAGTGACAGTGAGTGCTCTAGTTTTAATTTATCGCTCAAGACAAACTACCTACTGTAATATATGATATTTTGAAAGAAAAATAATCCGAAATAAAATTGTATTCTCTCCCCAATCGATACTCGATCGACTAGCACCAATCAGTTATTTTAATGCTTTCTAAAATATTATATTTTTAAAAGAATAAAAAAGATATTAAGAATAACGTAAATATTGTATGTATTCTCATTGGATTAGAAAACTAGATTAATTAGTCTCTCTTCTATATAAGTGTGTACACTGTGATTTATTAAAACAGCGAACAGCTTTTTTTTAGGTAAGAGTCAATTCATTTTTCCTTTTTATTTTAAGACCACAAAGTCCCCCATATGGTCCATTTCCCACACACAATAAATACAGAAAAGAAAGACGAACATAAAACAAATAAAGCAATCAACAAGGAAAATGGACTTCTCCCGAATATTCCTTCTCTCTTTTGTCTTTCTCCTTATCTCTGTCAAATTCTTGTTCACAAAATTAAGCCGGAAACCTAATCTTCCTCCTTCTCCGGCTTACTCTTTACCGGTAATCGGTCATCTCCACCTCCTCAAGCAACCGCTCCACCGAACACTCTTGTCACTCTCTCAATCCCTCGGAAACGCTCCGATCTTCCACCTCCGCTTCGGAAACCGCCTCGTTTACGTCATCTCCTCGCATTCCATAGCCGAAGAATGCTTCACCACAAACGACGTCGTTCTTGCGAACCGTCCCTACATGATCATGGGCGAACACGTCGGCTACGACTCCACCAATATGATTTCATCATCTTACGGCGACCACTGGAGGAATCTTCGCCGTATCGCCGCCGTCGAGATATTCTCGTCTCATAGGATCAGTACCTTTATGTCCATCCGCAAAGACGAGATCCGACGGCTCATAACACACCTCTCCAAAAACTCCTTACACGTAAGACATTATTTTATTTTATTTATCTTGGCAGCATAGCAAATTCTTCATTTACAACTTGTGTTATTGAATTGGTCTACGTTCTCACCTTATACTATTATATGTCAACATGCTGGTCCAATATATCCGCTTAGAACTACAATAATTTTTTCGATTTTTTTTTTGTGTTGTTAATTAATGTTTCCAACTTTAACCAATTAATGTTGTTATTTGTTTCTTACGTAATGTATTTGCTTATCTAGTTCTTTTTTCTTATTGTTTGGCTTATTTTTTGGTAATTTGCTTTTTCAGATTTCAAATAGCTATAATATTTTAGTCAATAATAATTTTTGACGTACGTAGCTAATCAATTTAATATAACTAAATCGGTAATTGTTTGGTAGGGATTTGCTGAAGTGGAGATGAAATCATTATTAGCCAACTTGGCATTCAACAACATCATTATGATGATAGCCGGAAAGCGATATTACGGTGGCGACGTCACAGAAGACAACAACGAAGCCAAACTCATGAGGAAACTTATATCGGAGGCGGTGGCCGGAGCCAGTGCTGGAAATTTGGCCGACTATCTTCCAATCGTACGATGGTCCACAAATTTTGAGAAACAGGCCAAAATTTTGGGTAAGCGATTTGATGGATTCTTGCAAAGACTGGTGGATGAGAAACGTGCAGAGAAAGAAAAAGGTCAAACTTTGATTAATCACTTGCTCTCTCTCCAAGAAACACAACCTGATTATTATACTGATGTCCTCATCAAAGGAATCATAATCGTAAGTACTCACATTATTAACTAATATTATACTTATATACATTAAGATAGTTTACTTATTATTTACATATATATGTGTAGGCTCTGGTAGTAGCAGGGACAGACACGTCAGGAGTGACGTTAGAATGGGCAATGTCGAATGTGTTGAACCATCCTGAAATACTTAAGAAAGCAAGAGCCGAGATCGATGAAAAAGTCGGTTTAGACCGGTTAATGGACGAATCAGACATTGTAAATCTTCCTTATCTCCAAAACATCGTGTCTGAAACACTACGTTTGTATCCTGCGGTTCCACTATTACTCCCTCACTTCTCATCAGGTGACTGTAAAGTGGCGGGATATGATATGCCACGTGACACGATGTTGTTAACCAATGCATGGGCTATGCATAGAGATCCAAGTTTATGGGAAGAGCCAGAGACGTTCAAGCCGGAGAGATTCGAGAAAGAAGGAGAGGCTCAAAAGCTAATGCCGTTTGGGAAGGGACGACGAGCTTGTCCTGGAGCCGAGCTTGGGAAGCGGTTAGTGACCTTGGCTCTTGGGTGCTTGATTCAGTGCTTCGAGTGGGAGAGAGTTGGTGAAGAACTTGTAGATATGGTTGAAGACAAAGGGCTCACTATGCCTAAAGCTATCCCGTTGCGAGCCATGTGCAAAGCACGGGCTGTTGTCGGTAAAGTGGTATAATTAACGTGTATTTATGTTCATTGTGAATTGACTACGTTTTGAGTCATTGTTTTTCAATTTATTTTTATTTTTTTGCTAAATTAAGATTTCTGCTTAGATATCAACTTTCAACATATCAAATATGAACGGGTAGATTTCTAGAAGCAGAATTATCTCATTTACCTTTTAAATGTGTTTACATAATAATCTGTTTATAGATATTCGTCGTTTATCATGTACATCGTAAACAAAGGGCATGGATCACGAACCGCTTGGATGCCATGTTTCTTTTTGTTTTATACCGATGCATGCTGTCACGTTTTGGTGGTTTATTAATATGTAAACACGATAGTGGAATAAAATCTAAGAATTGCGACTATAAATAGTACTTGAGAGAGAACTTCCAACAATTTTTTTGGATTTTATGATTTGAAAGAGACATGAGTGGTTAAGCAATACAAACTTATGTATGGCTATTGTTCAGAATAATCAGATCAGTACGATAAATAGAAAATTTAGCATATACGTATATGATAGATAGCATTTCTTCTATTTATAGACGAAGGGAGAAACATAAACACACACAAATAATTAGAGTAGAGAAAATAAAGAAGAAGAAAGGATTCATGGATTATATTTTTCTTTTCATCACAATTCTTATTACTATTCTCATCACCAAGATTTTTCTCCCATTCTATAAACCCTACAAGAACCTTCCACCGTCGCCACGTTTCTGTCTTCCGATCATCGGACATCTTCACCTCCTCAGACAACAGCCGTTGATTCACCACACTCTCCGCAGTCTCTCCCACGCTCTTGGCCCCGTGTTCTCTCTTCGCCTCGGCTCTCGTCTTGCGGTCATTGTCTCTTCTCCGACCGCAGCCGAAGAATGCTTTTTAACGAAAAATGACATCGTTTTAGCGAATCGGCCTCATCTCATCATGGGCAAGTACGTGGCTTATGACTACACGGCCATGGTTGCAGCTCCTTACGGTGACCATTGGCGAAACCTCCGTCGTATCACCTCCTTGGAAGTCCTCTCGACCAGTCGACTCAACGGCTCAGCGGAAATCCGACAAGACGAAGTTAAGAGGCTTCTTCAAAAGCTCCACGGTTTATCCCTTGAACGCCCGGCTAAAGTAAGTTCAAATATCTTCTCTTAAAACCTAATATACTTCATTGATTATAATTCACACAAATATTAGTATGATATTTTTATACGTATATAGTATGTCAAATGAACTGAAAACCAAATTCGACTGATGTCAAAAAGGAAAATTACATAATCATATATATTTTCACGCTGCCTTTTTTAGAAAGAAAATACTATCTAAATGTTTTTGAAATATAAAACAACAAGAAAATATAGCTTAATAATTTGTGAATGTTGTTGCATACTTGCATCATCATTAAAGCTTTGGTTAAAATGACTAGAAGTCTACAACGCCATCAGGTGAAATATCCAGCAGTATATTTCCAATACTAATCAGTAATCTTAGAGGAAAAAGACAGAAATCATAGTGATCAGTCCAGTTCTAATAAATCATAGTGATAGACAGAAATCATGGTAACAGAATTTGGTGATCAGTCCAGTTCTAATAAATTAGCTCTGTCTAACTAACAAATAGTTGCAATAAATTTGCTCGATTACTTTAGTGGAAGTAATGATTCGTCTTCTTTCCTTTTCTATCAATATCAGAGTCTAGAAGGTATAATTGTGTCATGGGAATGCTGATAAAACTGGTACAGTCTTTGGACAGCCAAAAATAGCATTAAAATTCAACCAATCACTATGTAGATATTAATTCAAAATCTAAGTTACTAACCAAGAATTTCGTATTTTTTTCCCTCCAGGTGGAGTTACGACCGTTACTCACGGGTCTAACCCTAAACGTGATAATGAGAATGATGACCGGAAAGAGATGCTTCGAGGAAGATGATGTAGAAGACGGACAGGCGGCGGAAATAAGCTTGGAGTTTCGAAACCTAGTGGCAGAGATTCTAGAGGTGTCTGCGGCGGACAATCCTGCGGACTTTTTGCCGCTTCTACAGTGGTTTGATTACAAAGGCTTGGTGAAGAGAGCGAAGAAAATCGGAGAAAAGATGGATCGTTTCTTACAAGGGTTTTTGGATGAACATAGAGCTAACAAAGAAAGATTGGAATTTAAAAACACCATGATTGCTCATTTGCTTGATTCCCAAGAAAAAGAGCCTCATTACTACAATGATGTTACCATCAAAGGTCTCCTTCTGGTACGTCATCGTCTTATGTTTTGGTATATATAATTCTAAAACTATAAATTAGGAGTCCTTTAACAATGGCTTATAAGTTAGTATAACCGAAATTGAATTGAAATTAGGGTTGAATAATCAGACACGGAATCACCAATATTGATTGTTATCACCAATATATCAGCTGAAAATCACTAGAAACCAGTAGAATCACGACAAATACGGTCCCATTTTGAGTCAATAACTCAAAAATATTTAATTTTGGTCCCATCTCCCATTAATTTTATGTCACAGTAATAACAGTCCCATTTTATTATTAGATGATGGTTATAGGAGGCACAGATACATCGGCCTTAACCGTGGAATGGGCAATGTCAAATCTAATGAATCATCCACAAGTACTAGAGACGACGAGACAAGAAATCGATACTCAAATGGAATTGTCATCATCATCAAATACTCGTCGTTTGTTGAAAGAAGAAGATTTGGTGAACATGAACTACTTGAACAATGTTGTGTCCGAGACACTAAGGCTCTACCCTGTGGCACCACTTATGGTTCCTCATTGCTCATCTTCTGATTGTGTGATCGGTGGGTTCCATGTTCCACGTGATACGACCGTGTTGGTTAATGTGTGGGCTATACAACGTGACCCTAGCGTTTGGGATGATCCGACGTCGTTTAAGCCGGAGAGGTTTGAAGGAAGAGATCAGCTTGGACACTATGGTTGTAAGATGATGCCGTTTGGGTTAGGGAGACGGGTTTGTCCCGGGTTGGGTTTGGCTAACCGGGTTGTTGGGTTGGTGTTGGGTTCGATGGTTCAGTGTTTTGAATGGGAGCGTGACTCAGGAGGTCCAGTTGATATGGCTGAAGGTCCAGGACTCAGTATGCCTAAGGCTGAACCATTGGTTGTCACGTGCAGACCACGTGAGGTTGCTTCTGAATTGCTCTGTTCTTAATGTTTGGATTTGAATTTTACTAAATTACTACAATATATGCCTCTGATTTTGTTTCAAGAAAACAAATTTGATATCTAATTATATACTTTCTAATTATAAATTGTGAAATCAGTTGTGTCAGTTAAAAACAGGGGAAAAAAGTAAAAAACATAAATAAAAACAAAAGGTACTAGAAGATATGATGTCTCAAATCAGTCCATTACTCCATTTGCTTGTAATACAGTCCACAGAAAATTTGTTCTTATCATAATCATGGATATTTGAAAGTTTATTTATTTTAATATTTTATTACGATAACATCAAGAAACAGAACATCCGGAAGTAGATAAAACATATTTGAAGATCACACATTCAAGAACTCTCACTCCGGTTTGGTTTAGACGAAGATTCGTCAACATGATCTTCCTCCGCCGCAGGAATCCATTCATTCGTCGCCGGATTGCTTCTGTAGACCGCCTTTTCTCCTCCGTCTTCGGTTACAGCGGCGGCGATCACTGCCTCTTCACCGTCGCCTTCCTTCGCCACATTTATAAACCCACTTCCGGTCTAATTTCAGAAACAGAGCACGATTACAGAATTAGATTTCTTCTCTTGAAATTCTTAAAGGAGAGAGATAGAATGCGAACCGTGTGGTGTTGCTTATCAGTGGCGGAGAGATTCGTGTAATACTCTGTCTCCAAGAAGTCATCTTGAACTGCAGATGAATCTCCCTCTCCCAGAATATTACCCTGTTTTTAAGTTTCAAAGAAATCCCAAATTTGACGACATTTACACACATGTTTGACGAAAAAAAGAGTGAGTTAGAGAAATCGAACATGAGGTTGTGACTGGAGAGATTGGAACTTGTCAGCCTCCGGATGGTCGGTGGTTTGGTCGGAAGTGGAGAAAGATCCAGGAGGTCCGGGTTCGCTGCGGGTGGGTTTGGTGGGCCGTTTAGGGGCCAGGGAATCGAAATCAGCTCTGATCTGGTTCGCGTTCTTGATCTGCTGATCCGGATCGGTAATCTCGTCGCTCCGGCTTGGCTTCATCGTACTCATCGTCGTTTCTCTGTTTCTCTGCTGCTTCACAACAACAATCAGCAAAATAGAGAGAGAGAGAGAGAGAGAATGGATATTTTTCTCACTGGTTTTTGGTTGTGTAAAAAGAAAAGAGAAATGGGCTTTTTAGTGGGCCTTTTGTTTAACTTTTCTTTTCACAATTTCACTACATGTCTTTATCTATGCATGTGACTTAGACATGATGATGAAATAATTCTTTTATGTAATAAGTTTTGTTTTTATGTAAATGTAGTAGTTACTGCGGGCATTATATGAAGAATAACGGATCCGACGGATACAATAAAATCTATATGTATTCCTCTAAGAAATATTCGATCAAGTTTCTATTAATTTGTAATAACCGAGATTCGAAAGCTGGATGGCAATTTGGTCACTGTCAGAATTGGACCCTACTCAGAACATAGCGTACATGAAGTTTGAAGCTTTCCATTTCCGGTTCCCATGGAAAGACTAAATTATAAAGTGTCCTTTTAATACCCCCAAAGGCCAACACTTCGAACCAAACAAAAAAACTCATCAAAATTCGAATCATGAATGATCGTTTACGACCAACGTTACTTTCGCTTCCATCGCTATGTAGGAAAGTATGAAATAATCAAATCATTTGTATTTCACCATACTAGCCGGCCGATAACATCTCATGAAATGTGGATCTCAAAATTCTTTCAAAAAAATCATTTTACTGGCGTGTAGTATATATGGGCGTTTATGAGAAGTAAACGGAGTATTGTATGATCAAAGAATTTCTCCCATCTAAACTTTACATTAATCTGTGACGATTGAATAAATATAATAATCTTGATCTATAACAAATGAAGATACTTTACTATAACCTGAGCTAAACAAATAGTGGAAGTATAGGAATAGTGGAAGGGTTCTACGTTGTCTTGAGTCAGCAGTTTAGTGACCAGCACCTCTCCTGCTCGGTCCTGAAGCCATTGTGTGCATCCTCTCTCCGGTGGAGGAGAGCGACCGTAGCTTCTTATAACCACGTATAACGACCTCTAGTAGTTTTTTACTTCGCATATCGAGCCCTTGAGTTCTAGGTTGGTTTATTACCTCCGATGAGCCACCAAGGAGAACTCTGCAATCGGCGGTTCTTGATTCCGAAAAGGCTGAGACCAAGAACATGACCGTAAAGATCAAGCCAAAGGGTCTCATTTTTTGTGTGTGTGTGTGGTAGTTCGGTTCTTGGGGTTTAGGGGTTTAGACAATGAATGTGTTTTGGTGATTGATATAAAAGGAGTAACAAAGGAGGAAGTAAAGCTTTATATACAAGTAGGAAAAGATTCAAAGGTAGATGAAAAAGGATGGAGGACGAAAATATGAGTTTCGTTTAGCAATAAAATAATTGTTTTTTTAATTATAAAAATGTTAGGGAATATAAAAAGGAATAAGATGTAGAATTAGACCCTCGATATAAGGGGATGGTGCAGGCGAATTAGTTAAAAAGGACGGTCTCTAGCTTCCTTGGAAGCGGACCTTTCGAAAAGTGCTATTTGTTTTTTTTGACCAGCTAATTGTTAATTTTTTTATTGAAATCATAAATTAGTAAAATTATTTTTAGTTTTGAAAGAAAAAAAAAATTGCCTTAAGATGTGAATATGAAAGTAGGTCAGAATATTAAGCTATGGGATTTGTTTCCAAAACTAATAATAATAAATAAGTTATAGGAGTTGTTTATTGCTTAATATACACAAGATTCTAATGAATCAATCTCCCGAATCAAAATTCAAGTAGTGGTGGTTGGAATTTAAAAATTGCTTAACTTTTTTTATTAGTGGACGTAGGCAAAAAAACTAGATCATCATATTAAGTAATATGGTTTCATGATCTAAAAATGTATAGGAAGGTTAGTAATCACCCTGTAAAATTAAGCAAGGTAATTTCTCATAACTACCATCAAATAATTGTTCCAAAAATACCACCATTATCTACGGTTGTGTGTCATCGATTTCGAACTTCTGAATTCGGAAGAGTACTTATGAAGGTAGAGCACGAATGCGTAGATGTGACGTAGGAGGAGGTAAGTGAGGTAAAGTACATATTTTATCTAACACTTTCGCGAATAATTTGATCGGAATAAGTTTGACCATACGAATCCTCTAGACTTGTTTTGCATAGAATAACGTCTCCCTTCTCTAGATCAAAATAAGTTCTTATAATTGTTTCGTTTTGTTTTGTTTTGTTTACTCATGATTTGCTTTGGTTGCGTGATTTAGATAAACGGTCACAACTTCTTTTTTATTGAAATATTTTTCTGATTGCATGATTTAAATACGATGGTGTATGTTATTAGTAATATTTATAGTGTAACTAATGAAAGAACAAAAAAAAGAGAGAGAACAAAACATAATTGTCATCGTGGCTCGTGGGTATGAGAAAAGAAGGGCGATAACATAGACAGACAAATTCGGTGGTACACACAAAATACTTGTATGGACGGACTCTAGTCTCTAACTTTGCTTCATAGTTGTCATGATAATCAATTGGCATCTCTCTATCTTCTTCTTTCTCTTTTCCTTTTCCTTTTTGTTTTCCAACGTCACTTCCCCCACATGTTCCTTCAATTTTATTTCATTATCAGTCTTGCATCTTCGAATCTATTTCTTTATAATCGCGTTTTGGAAGAACTAAAGTCTTTACAAATTTAACTTCGGACTCTCTAGTCCTTATGTGAATATGTATGTGAGTTGTCAAGTTATTAATATAGTGAGAATGGATGAACCCTGTGTTAACTATCGCTACTTCAAGATTCAAGACGTCACGGCGGTAGGATTCAAACTAATGTTTTGGATTGGGTGATAACGTAGTTAGCCTATAATATATGTAGGATCTAGGAAATAGACTAAACAAATATTATCTTGTTTTTGCTGTAGATATAAGTATCAAAATAAGATATTCGTGGGTTGCTATTCAATACTATATGCAAATCCGCATGTGTATGTTAGATAGTAACTCAGTTAAAACTCACTGCTCTTTTAGATTTGTCTTTTTAATGGATTCATTTAAGTTAAACAAGATGCTAATTGGAATTCTTTTGTCAGAGATATTATTTCAAGAATTATATTTATTTCGTGTAATTGGACGGAATATAAAAGACTGGAATCTAGATAATTGAATTTATTAATGCAGAATTTGATTCCAATATTAATGGACTACCATGTCCGAACTATATATAGTTAACATTTTTTTCTTCTTATTATATTCTAGCATGGTCTTACTCCACTAATAAACTTTAGTATTAATTTGGCAACCCAAATTCAAACTGATTAATTTCTTTCACCTTATTCCAAGAGAGGAAACACTGGACCGGATTCTAAGTAATTTGCCTATAAATTTATCAAATAATTTGAATGATAGTGATTTCCCCTCATACTAATATGGGACAAAGTTTCCCGATGCTCTGCAAATTGGTTTATTTGTCTTACTCTTACTGCGGGAATATAGGAAGAATTTAAGAAATAAAAAGAAAAAATAATAACAATTTTGTTATTAAAAAAAGCAATTTGAGAAGGATATTTTATTTCACAAATAAAAGAACATTTCACTAGAAACAAAAATAATAATATTGTTAAAGCACTAGAAACAAAATTGGCTGCTATCAACAATGTATTCTCAAAAACTAATTCAAATTTACTTATTTCACCAAAACTCCTTTTAAAAATCAGTGATGAACTTGAAACGCAGAATTTACATAGTAGATTTGTATCGTAACAACTACGATCGTGATTCAACACAATATAGCAGCAAGAGTTGACAAAAGGACCAATAATTTGTCTTCTCGTAGAATATATTTATACCTAACAAAAATCATAACTTCGGATGTTGAATTTTTAGTAAAATGTGGTTGCTCAATGTTTGTTTGAAAGATGAACCAAGTGAGAAGAACTGATTTTGGTCGTGCAAGAAAAATAGCGGCAAAGTGTTTGAACTTTGAACTTTACAAGCATTGATTAGTAGGTTTGGTGTATCCAAATATTAGAAAACAGCAATTAAAACAAATACGTGGGATACTATATTATAGCCAAAGCTAAAGATAAAAATTGGTATAACAAAAGAAACAAACTTGAACTGAAGTTGAAAAAGTGACTTAAACCAAAAACCCGAACCGGTTACTTACCGATTGTATGAGTGTGACTTAACATACTTTCCCAAGTTTGAAATTCAAACTATGGTTGGTCTACAACTACAAATCCACTTCAGAATTTAGCTGCCGTCTGCTCCAAACAATCAAACATTTTGTTCGGTCTACACTTTAAAACTTATGATTACACTAAAAGTCTTTATGTATTTCTTATCCGTTCCTCATTGATGGGCTTTCATTTATGTGCGTTGCAATAAATATACACAAAATTGATCACTCAATAAACCAGTTGGGATCTTCCCAGGAAGCAGCCTAAATTCAATTATCACGTTCTTTTGAATTCAAAACCAAGTCAAGAATAAGAATTCAAACTTTGCATCTCCTCGAACACTAGTATATAATACAAGTACCAAATCAACAAAACACTACAACAATTTTAATTAGCTGATAAAGAGGAGAAAAAGAAGTTGTTCACAAATATGATGATGAACAAAGCGGTTCTTGGTTCGATTCTGTTCTTCATGTTGATCGGTTCGGTTCTTGTTGAGACTCGTCCGCTTGGTCTAACAAAGACCGAAGAGAAGAACCTCGTGGCTGGTTTCTTCGATGGCTTATCACTTGGTTCGATCAAAGGCTCAGGTCCAAGTCCAGGAGGCAAGGGTCATAAGTTCGTGGACCGAAGCGGTGCGTTTCGATTTGACAAACACTCCGGTCCAAGCCCAAGCGGACCTGGTCACTAATTTTCCAACCTTTAGTACAAACCGGGCCGGTTAAAATGCCCATTAGTCCCAAAATATTTTTTCAATTTTTTTTGTTTCAGTTTGATTAGTGAACATATGTGAAGAAATGTAGCAGCAAAAATTGCATAAAATACTTTTTACTTTTGAAAGTCTAAAAAAAGGACATCATTTTGTATGTGTTGAATGTATTAACCTTCATAAAAGTAATAATGATACTATAATATTTTCGAGATTATTAAATTTATCGAAAGATAATTTGATCAAAAATTTATTTTCGAACACAAACTTCTATTTATTTATTGAGGTATTACTTTATCGGGTATTAATTTATAAAGAGTTTATATGGTAATCCTAAATCCAGCCACATTAAGTAAGAATATAGTGACAACAAAAATAACAAAATGATACTCTTAATCTGTAACCGATAATTCCCTAATTCAATCGAAAACGTGTGTAGTTACAAAATTAGCCTTGAACAATCTCGTGGATTCAACAGTCGCAACCGTTCATAATTTCACATCTAAAGACGTGTACGGCCACTTGTGATGTGAGATCTTTGCTTCTCGCTCTCGGTGGCAATGGGAAGCTCGTCGAAGGAAGACACGGCGAGTGACGGAGACACAGCGAGTGGTGGCGCCTCACCGTCCAATGATGATGGCAGACTCTTTTCCGAGGGCGAGCGTGTTCTCGCCTACCATGGTCCTCGCGTCTACGGTGCCAAGGCAAACAAAAACTCTCTCTCTATCCTTTATCCATTTTCCATGGAGTTCGCATAATTTGAAGTCTGGAGGTTATCTTGTTCGTGTTGATTTTGCAATTCTGGCATTTCGCGTGGTATTGGTTGTGTGCGACGACGGAATCTACTGGTTTGGGTTATCGGAATCGGCATTGGGATTTCTCTGATAGATTTGGATTAGGTTGATTTTGCTGCATTTCGTTCTCGAAACTAGGAAGATTCTAAAATTGAGGCAATTGGCCTTCAATTCGAACGTTGCCTATGTGCTTGCAGTACTGGATTCGTGTAGCTTTTGCGATTTAAGATTGGAATGACCAGAAATGCTGTAAGGACAATTTACTTTCGCTAGAGCGGAGAATCCCGGAAAATTTGAGCAATCTGTTCTTGGCCAATTATATACTCAGTCATGTATTTGCTATAGCATAATGCCATTGGATTGAAGTGTGGCGAGATCTGATATAGTATTGTTCACATTCGATTACAGGTTCAAAAAGTGGAGCTTCGGAAAAAGGAGTGGAAGTACTTTGTTCATTATCTTGTGAGACCTCTTTCCTCAGAGCTATTTTTAGTTTCAAAGTGTAGATTGCATTTGGCTCAGAGCTTTTTGGTTTGCAGTCTTAAGTGATACAGCGATCTGTGTCTGCAGGGTTGGAACAAAAAGTGAGTATCTCTCTGCTCTCATGTCAATTCTGGTTAATGTAGCAAGATCACATAGATTGGGACCCATGACATGAATGTCTTGCCAACAGTTGGGATGAATGGGTTAGTGCGGATAGATTGTTGAAACATACAGAGGAGAATCTTGTGAAGCAAAAAGCGCTAGACAAGAAGCAAGGAGTAGAAAAGGGTACCAAGTCTGGGCGTTCGGCTCAGACGAAAACTAGAAGCTCTGCAGGTGAGTCAAAGTTTTTTTCCTCACAATTCGTATTTGGTCATCTATGTTAACAAACTTATAAAATTTTGTCAAACATGTCTTTCTGATCTTGCAGACACCAAGGCTGAGAAAGATGACACGAAGAACAATGGTAGGCATTCGTTCTTTGGAACTCAAAGTATTTTTCTGAGTTAAGCTGGTGTGTAGATGATTATATTGTCTCTTGCAGCTGCTAAAGGGAAGAAGCGAAAGAACGAGTCAGGCAATGAGGTTAGGGCTTTTTCAAAACTTAATGATGTACTTGATTTTTGATATTGTTTATCCATTTTAGTACATTTCTGAATGATGGATTTTTGGAAACATTTACCAAGAATTTTCTGTGATAACACATTCATTAGATGGTTGAAGTCTTGTGATGCATATATACATACATACACAGGGTCAACTTTTCAGTTGTTCTAAAATCGACAAAGTTTCTTGTGTATACCTTTGTGATTTGTAGAAGGATAACCCATCGGCAGAGAAGCTAGTCAAGATCCAAATTCCTGCAACACTAAAAAAACAGCTCATTGACGACTGGGAGTGCATTATGGAGAATGACAAGGTTTCATCAATTTACTCTGTTTTCTCTACATACTTTGATTAGATAAGCGACATTTACGTCTGATGGTACTAATTTATAAAGGATTATATAATTCTAGGTTCTGAAACTTCCGCGTTCACCTAATGTGGATGAGATATTGTCCAAGTACCTTGAACTCAAAACCAATAAGGATGGACTGTGAGTGTTTTTTTTTCGAATTCAGAGTTTGAAACATTTCAACATTTTTAGGAATCCTATGAATCAAAATTGCGTATTTGTGTTACTGTGCAGGATATCTGATTCGGTGGGTGAGATCTTGAAAGGCATAAGGTGTTATTTCGACAAGGCATTACCTGTGATGCTCTTATATAAGAAAGAGCGGCGTCAATACGAAGAAGCAGTCGTGGATGATATTTCACCTTCAACTGTTTATGGCGCCGAGCATTTGCTTCGTCTCTTTGGTAAAAATCTCTCATTAAGCTCGTATTCCGACGGTAAAATTGATGTTCCAAATTCTTGACTTTGTTTTTTTTTTTAAATTATTTGCAGTGAAGTTGCCAGAGCTTTTCGCATATGTAAACATGGAAGAAGAAACGTGGAGTCACATGCAACAAACGCTGTTAGACTTCCTCAAGTATACACCAATCTAGTCTCTCCTTTTCACTACTAATTTTGATTTCTCTGATTAACGGTTTGATTCACAAATTCTCTAAAACCTTTGCAGGTTCATTCAGAAAAATCAGAGCACTTTCTTGCTATCGTCGGCATATGAAGATTCTGATAAGGTTTCAGATGGTAAAGGCAAAGGCAAAGAAGACTGACAAATAATGGAGCTAGTTGACGAAACTGTTGTAATTTTAGACTTCCTTCATTTTTCTGATGAATTCATAATTGTAAGTTACATTTTCGGAGATATTTGTAGTTGAATATGAAATGTTTACAGCCCCATTGAAGTTTAAATCGATTTGGTTCATGTTCATGTCAATCAAAATAACATTTCCTTGGTTCGAAGAAGAAGAAGAAGACAAACAAAAATACTAAAGTCCATGAGATGAGATAATTTATGTGGCTAATGTTAACGGAATAAATATATTGGCTCTCTCCTTGTCTCTCTGTTATTCCACTTTTTGCACCTCTGACTCTGAAACAAGACGACTCTAATAAAACGAAGTTCGCGAGATCAGAATCAATGGTGGCATGAAAGAAGACTCTTCAGCTCAAAATCGCCGACTATGGAACCCGCCGCTCTTACTCGCTCTTCTTCTCTAACTAGATTCCCTTACCGTCACAATTTAGCCACTCTCCGACTCGCCCGAGTCAACTCGTTCTCATTTCTTCCGCCTAACTCTCTTCTCCGGCGAAATTCTCACCCTCTTCGTATCTCTGCCTCGCTTAGTCTTTCTAGAAGATCGATTCGTCTACGTGCGGTCGAAGACCACCATCACGATCATCATCATGACGGCGATCATCACCACCATCATCATCATCACCACCACGGATGCTCTGTGGAATTGAAAGCGGAGAGTAAGCCTCAGAAGATACTGTTCGGGTTCGCTAAAGCCATCGGATGGGTTCGATTGGCCAATTTCCTCAGGGAGCATCTTCATCTTTGCTGCTCCTCCGCCGCACTGTTCCTCGCTGCCGCCGCATGCCCTTACGTCGCCCCTAAACCTTACATTAAAGCTCTTCAGAACGCATTCATGATTGTTGGCTTCCCTCTTGTTGGAGTAAGGATTCTATAGCCTCTCTGTGTAGATAAGCTCTTAATTTGTGTCAGACGATCATAATAGAAATTGGTTCCATGGGTGTGTGTGTGTGTTAGGTTGCAGCATCTCTTGACGCACTGATGGATATAGCTGGAGGGAAAGTGAACATCCATGTCTTGATGGCACTTGCTGCTTTTGCATCCGTGTTTATGGGCAACGCTCTGGAAGGAGGATTGCTTCTAGTCATGTTCAATCTTGCTCATATCGGTGAGGAACTTGAATTTCTTATGGGATTATGGATAATGACTTCGGTACTTTTTTCATGAGGCATGAGGATTTGAGCCTTTGTATTGTCAATTATCTGCAGCGGAGGAGTTCTTCACTAGTCAGTCAATGGGGGATGTTAAAGAGTTGAAGGAGAGTAATCCGGATTCTGCACTGTTGATTGAAGTAAAAAATGGAAATGTTCCAAACATTTCTGATTTGACATACAAAAGCGTTCCTGTGCACAGTGTAGAAGTTGGATCCTATGTATTGGTTGGAACTGGTGAGGTCTGTGAAACTATTATGTTGGCCATCATTTTCACTGTGTTACCATCATAGCTGTTTAAGTAATGGGTTTTTTTGTATTTAGATTGTGCCTGTAGATTGCGAAGTCTACCAAGGTAGTGCTACCATAACAATAGAGCACTTGACTGGGGAAGTCAAGCCATTGGAGGCAAAAGCAGGAGATAGAGTGCCTGGTGGTGCTAGAAATTTGGATGGGAGAATGATTGTGAAGGTATTTTGATCATAAGCATATTGCTTTAGCTTACCTTAATTTGATAATGTTCAAGCTTATCTATAATATCCCATGGAATTTGTAAATCAGGCTACAAAATCATGGACTGAGTCGACGCTTAACAGGATTGTACAGTTGACCGAGGAAGCACACTCTAATAAACCCAAACTTCAGAGATGGCTGGATGAGTTTGGCGAAAATTACAGCAAGGTGGTGGTTGTTTTGTCATTTGCTGTTGCCTTCCTAGGTCCACTTTTGTTCAAGTGGCCTTTTCTCAACACCACAGGTAGATGTCAGAAACATGTATTCCCTTAATAACATATATATACTCATTAGTTTGCAGTCTTTGAATCATTTTTTATGTAACAAACTATTCTTGTTCACTAATAAGATGGGGAAATTCGTTGACTTACTTTTTCTGCTGGTTAATGTTACAGCATGCAGAGGATCTGTCTACAGAGCATTGGGACTTATGGTGGCCGCATCACCATGTGCTTTAGCTGTTGCTCCATTGGCTTATGCTACTGCTATTAGCTCATGTGCAAAGAAGGTATTGTGCAAGTATGACGCATACACGACTATTAAAGTATCTGCACGTGTAACTGTGTAACGCAACAATTCTGCACTTTTATAGGGAATATTGCTGAAAGGTGCACATGTTCTAGATGCTCTCGCTTCTTGCCATACTATTGCTTTTGACAAAACCGGGACTTTAACAACCGGCGGCCTTACTTGCAAAGCAATTGAACCCATTTATGGGCACCAAGGACTAAATCATGCAAGTGTAACAACTTGCTGCGTTCCAAATTGTGAAAAAGAAGCTCTTGCCGTAGCGGCCGCTATGGAGAAAGGCACCACACATCCTATTGGAAGGTATTGATTGCAAAAAAAAAATTATCCTTATTTTACTATTCCTATTCCTATTTCATCACCATAAACTGATGAAAAGGAAGGGACATAAGGCAACTTTAAGCACCAGGAACTCTCTTTCTGTTTTAAGATTGGTTTTTTGTCCATAAACGATGCTTTGCTGTTATGAGGCTGAGGTTTAAAGAGTACTTCTGACACATTTAAACTTGCTGCAGAGCTGTGGTAGACCACAGTGTGGGGAAGGACCTCCCTTCTATTTTTGTTGAAAGCTTCGAATATTTTCCTGGTAGGGGCCTCACTGCTACTGTAAACGGTGTTGAGGTGCGACATTGACTTTCCATTTTCCTTCTAGTAGTTATATAGTGTGTGTGATGTCATGATGTGTACATTTCTGGAACTCACCCTCACTACATTTTTTTTGGCTTTGTTATAGTCAGTAGCTGAAGAGAGTAGATTACGAAAAGCGTCACTTGGTTCTATAGAGTTCATTACATCGCTCTTCAAATCAGAAGATGAGTCTAACCAGATCAAAGATGCTGTAAACGCCTCTTTGTACGGAAAAGATTTCGTTCACGCCGCTCTTTCAGTTGATCAAAAGGTAATCCTACGGCTACTTTTTTTTGCTGGTCCCAAAATCTCTTTACCTACTTGACAGTCAGTAATTTGTCTTTGGTATGACCATTTATTAGTCCATATAAACCTTTGTATCACTGAAATTAATGAGCCTTGCAACTAACTTTTACCAGGTAACATTGATTCACCTCGAAGATCAGCCTCGTCCAGGTGTATCAGGAGTTATATCAGAACTTAAAAGCTGGGCCAGACTCCGGGTAATGATGTTAACTGGGGACCATGATTCAAGTGCTTGGAGAGTTGCAAACGCAGTAGGTATTTCCGAAGTCTACTGTAACCTAAAGCCAGAGGATAAACTTAATCACATAAAGAACATCGCTCAAGATGCAGGTGACCATTACTTTTCGCCACAGTCACCAACTCAAAAAACATGTTTTCAATACTCAATTGACTGAAAATGTAATTGGTGTTAGGTGGAGGTTTAATTATGGTAGGAGAAGGGATTAATGATGCTCCAGCACTAGCAGCTGCAACCGTCGGGATTGTTCTCGCTCAACGCGCGAGTGCCACCGCGATTGCCGTTGCTGACATCTTACTGCTTCGTGACAACATCACCGGTGTTCCCTTCTGTGTCGCTAAATCCCGCCAAACAACATCATTGGTAGATAAAAAAAAAAAAAAAGTCTTTCTTTCTTAAAGCCAAAATTTCAGAATTTTTTAAAGTGTTTATCATATATATGTTGCAGGTTAAGCAAAATGTGGCTCTTGCGTTGACATCGATCTTCTTGGCTGCTCTTCCCTCAGTTCTAGGGTTTGTTCCACTGTGGTTGACGGTACGCAAGCTACTACTAACCCGATTTAAACCAAATCAAATCATCATATAAATCGCTAATCCACGTTTTTGCTGGATTGATCATAGGTACTTCTACATGAAGGCGGGACTCTTCTCGTGTGTCTAAACTCAGTACGTGGTCTGAACGATCCGTCATGGTCGTGGAAACAAGACATAACTCATCTAATCGACAAGTTAAGCTCACGAGAATCCACCAGTAGCAGCATCAGCAGCAACAGTTTAAGCTCTGCACATTAGGTAACTCCTCTTTCGTTGTCTAATTCTGCAGAAGCATGAAACCTGACTGTTGTTTGTAATATGATCGCGTATGTAAACACTTAACACGAATCGTATATATGTTTGGGTTCGTTGATATTTTTCCGTCAGGTGATTTATGTCACGTGATTATATTTACTCCTTTTGGTTCGTGTTTGTTTCCTCGTATCAGACCCATGGAACAAGTTCGAGAAATGTTTTTGACTTTTTCATCAATCTAAAGCTAATTTATGTTTTCTAAATAATGATCTTGCTTCCTTATAATTGAATCACGAAAGATCATAAGATTACAAAAGATTGATTTGATTTGCCTTCTCCTTACGTTCTCTCTAACCATCTCGCTTGGCTGGCTCTATACATGAAAAGCCTGAAACTTTATAATTTCCCGAGAAACAGAGGAAAACGTTGAAGAGACTCTCTTACTTCTTCCTTCTTCTATCACTCTTATCACTACTCGATCTTCCCAATACCGATTTGGTTAACTATAAACTCTCTAAACCCGACACGACGGCTGTTTACACTCTGAGGCATACACGAACCACCACCACCTCCGCCGGAGGAACTACCGGCGACGTTTCCCCGCTGTAAATCCGCCATGTAACTTCTCACCTCCGTCCTAATCATCTCTTGAACCACCGTCATGAACTCACCACCGAACCCCGATATCCCTTTCTCTTCTTCCTCCTCTTCCTTTCTAATCGGAAACAGCTCCGCCGTGTAACCGCCGTCAGTAACCGCGGTATTCTCGTTTACTTGGGTTGTCGTCTCGTTGACTCGAACCGTCTCCGTCTCGCAACGGTTGTTCCAAGGGAGAGACAAACTTAGATAAGTCGGTGGATCTCCACCGGACGATGACGCCGTCACCTCAGATCTAACCGTCGGTTTAAACACGTGCGGACCACCACTGGATTGCTCGCTGACGTCAGATCCCGATGGACTCCCGGGGCTCATATACAACCCAGTAGACACACCGCCACCGCTCGCCGTACGTTTCAACGGCTGCTCGTCTCCTAGATTACCATCATACCCTCCATTTCCACCAAAATCGCAGCTTTGCCCATCGGATGTAACGGCGCTGCATTTCCGCTTGAGCGTCGAGTTCCAATGGTTTTTGATTGCGTTGTCGGTTCGTCCATTGAGGAGACGAGAGATGGTTGCCCACTTGTTACCGAACCGAGCGTGTGCTCGAATTATCGTCTCGTCTTCCTCCGGCGAAAAAGCACGGTGCTCGACCTCCGGAGATAGCTGGTTACACCAACGGAGACGGCAAGATTTTCCGGAGCGTCCAGGGATTGATTTGCTGATCAAAGACCAGTTTCTCGGGCCGTGTTTCTGCACCAGCCTCTGCAACAGATCGTCTTCTTCTGGACTCCATGGACCTTTAATCCGCTCCATGTTCTTTCGGATCGGAGCTGACATCGTCGGATCTTTTTTATCGGATGTGTTCTGTTTTTTTTCACGCGTCCTCTGTTTTTTTTTTTCTTTTGGTCGTTAGAAGTTTTTTTTTGTTGAGAAATGAAAAGGTTTAAGAGGATAAGAGCAAGAAGAGAGAGTATTTATACGAGAAGGAGTGGCAAAAGGGTTACCGGTTCAACCGGTAATCTTTCTTATCGATTAACAGAAAAATATTTAAAAGTAGTTAAAAAAACTCTGCAGTTTATTACTAGGATATGTGTAATCTTTTCGAATAACTGCATGAAAAAAATTCAAAACCGTTTTGGTCTATTAATAAAGAGGTTTTATCAGTGTTAAACGGATAAATATGGTCGTTACTTGTTACGGTTTTGACTAATTCAGTCCAAAATATTGATGGATTTATTAATTCAAACGTTTAGTTAATTCACTGTTTTGGCAAGTCATTTAAGATGATGAGATTTGATTAAATCAAATATTTGAAACTGAAAACCGAATAAAGGAAAGGATGTGTCCATAAATTTTGGTCTTAAGCGGTATACAAAATTTTGAACATTGCTTTTTGTATTATTCACAGATATTTGTTTATAAGAGGCTAGCCTTTATAAGAAGAAGAAGAAAAAACACGTTGGCGATTGGAAAATGCGTTTGGGAGAACAGCGTCTGTGTGAGGTTAACATCGAGCGTGGAGAGCAGAGAATCTTCCAGGAAAAACGGTTGGGGACTTGGGATACAGCTGTAAAATGACACGTGTCATATAGATATGAGTATTTTAAGTTTGAGATTTGCTTTTCATTCAAGAATAAAATATTATTAAGGTGCTCTTTTATTCAGAGATTTGTTTTCTTTATAGAGTACGCTCTCGTACTGGAGCGTCTCTTCCACTCTCTGTTTTACAGGTGGACCGTTTTTACCCAATCATTTCGTTTTCCATCTAAAAAGCAAAGCAATGACACTCACAAACTCGTTAACTTCCACGTTATTATTTTTTTGTTTTTCATCCTCTTTTCGAAATTTGACAACTTTCTAATGAAGGAATAAATTTCGTATGGTTTCTAATATTATTTTTAAAATATAAAATAAGAAAATATGGTGTCAAAACAGCATGAAACGGTTAATTTTCAGCGTGTATATATATATGAACTTCAAAATTTGTTAAAAAGGATAAATACAGAAATTGAGAATATGCAGGGAAACACACATTGCTTTAGTAAGCAAATAAGTGCAACAAAAAGACTACATACAAGTCAATAAAATATAGCCGAAAGTTTGTTTTGTTTTGTTTTGTTTACAAACTAAAGTCATTGAGAATTGTTTTCAATATTTTACACTGTTCGTTACATGTCACTGTCTTGTCTTGTGTGTTGATGATAAGTGTGGTTTAATAGTAATGCACACAGTTTCCAAATTTTGCTTAAGATGTCAATTGCGAGGCTGTACAAAATGTAGACAGCAAGTAAATGTAACAGTTGTACAATTGTCTATAATTGATCTTGAAACAAATATTGAACATATCACTAGACTAAATATGTATGTTGTAACTACTAAATCGTCGGTATTTATTTGTGTACAATATCTGGTTACATATAATTACTGACATAGCAGCTGGTCACTTTATTTACTCAACCAAGATATTTTACACCTGGTTACAGCCAATTTTTTAACCCAGTGGCATATATAGTCAGCTAAAACTTTTGAGGATGTAAAACCTTTTTTTCTTTTAGGAGAAAAGTGTAATTGGCAGAAAGAAAAATAAAATACGTAACGAACTGAAATACAACAAAATATCTAAATCTACATTAATATCCAAACCAAGCACTCTTCATGCAATTTTGTATATCTAATTTGCTCATACACAGATTTACAGATTCTTTTCACCAATATAAATAAATGGCTGATTTACTTACCTTCAAAATTTGTTTTTGTAAAACTACAGAAAAAAAAATTAACACCTTTTCGAAAAACCGTTGATATCTGGACTATTGAAAATTCATAGTGGCAAGAATAATTGAAGTGTAGAATGTTTGATATAATTAATAATCATAGAAAAAAAGCAAAAAATGAAAATAAAAATGAAGATAAGGATGAATTTAACGGTTAGGTATGTGGTTTTGGTTCGATTCGGTGACTTTTTGACTGAGGAAGCCAGGCTGTATGCCATTATTAGTATTAGTTATTTAAAATAGTTATCATTATTATTTTTTGGATATTTTGCCGATCTTAAATTATAAATAAATAAAAAGAAACGCAAAAAAAAAAGCAGAAAAAGAAAAGATAGGCCAAAAAGAGACAGTTGCTGACGTGGCGCAAAACGACAAGATAGATGGCGGGATCGGAAGGCTGATCGTTACCACTTTAAACCAAAAATTCGGATATTTTATTTTAAATTAAAATAAATATTTGAAAAGAAAACAGGCTGTAAATCTCTGCCTCCCTTTAACGGCCACTCCCTCACCTGCCGGTCACCCACCCACCTTCTTATTTTTGTTATTTTATTTATATTTACTACTTTGATTAGTTCACTAATTAGTAATTAGTAATTACCATTCTTTACAATAGTTAAATGTTCTCATGAAATAATTTAATTTGATTTAGTGGTTGTTCAAGATATCAATAATTTTCAACTATATTTATTTATGTTACAACCAAACTCAGAGTATGGTATTTTCAAGAAATACGTAGAAACTTAGTAGGACAGTCCATATTAAATGGAATAAATAGTAGTCAACTATGTTTACTATTTTGATTTGCTAGCGTAGAATTGTATTCGAAAAAGATATTAAATGCAATGACATTTTTTCCTTTGTCGAAACGGATTATTTAACCAACCAACGGTTCAGAACTCGGAAGTCATTTTTGAACCATAATTTTTTTTTTAAAAAATATGTGGTCAATTTCAAATGGACTCCAACAAAAAGATCAACCACCGACGTTAGACACAAACCGCAGATATATACTATTTGATGCTATTGTATAGTTATTCAGTTGGTATATCAGTTAATCGAGAACGTAACTATATTATACTGTTCATCTAAAAATCTACGCGTAAACCATTTATATATATATAAGCTCATCCATGGACCTGTCAAATCACGTATTAGGATATCATTTATCACCGCATATTATTTTCTAGATTATTATGTTAAAATTTTGATTATGGCTTTTGTTACCAAGTCATTCTAACACATTGTAATCGTATTATTTCGATCGTAAACGCACCAGTTACGCTTGGTTGCATTGCGATATACACGAATCGATTAAAACATTTTAAATATAGATTTTTAAAGTATTAAAACTGGGATCTGTCAAGTGTACGGCACCGTTAACACAGTAATGCAGCCGTGTACCGCAGAGCACGAGGCACATGCTCCGATGCTAAGGGAAGTTTCTTGCGAGCTTCCTACTTTTGTCACTCGATTAGTTTAAAGATTAAAGCCTTTCAAAGTATCCTTGAGGAAGGAGAAGAAAAGCGATAAGATTCGGTCAGGACTAATTGTTTAATTAGTGAACCCAAATTGTGTATTAGGAGAGAGACTAATTGATTGAATCAAGGGAGACAGATGGAGATAACTGTGTAATTAATGGAGATACGGTAGGAGATCTTCCGGTTTAGGTACATCGTACCTTATACGTACCTAATTTATTCCCTAATTCTTGTTAGTTTGCTCGCTGTTAAATTCTACGAATCACTTCTTTTTAACCAAAAAAATATATCAACAAAGTACTTTGGCAATTCTTATTAAATAGTACTATAGCTTAGTAATGCCATATCCAAATTTTGGCTATCGTTCATTCGTCAAGTTTCTAATAATTACTAGCCTGTTGATCTGACAGATATAAATATATATGGTTACCTGATTCCATCCACTTAAAACGTAGTCACTACATTTTCGGAAAAAAAATGCATGTGAGTGGTATATTCTTGCCTTGGAGTGGAATTTCCCAGAATAGCTTATAATCTTATATAGTAATACTTTTTTGTTCCAGGTTCGGTGTATGTTTTGAAACCAATCATATGAATGTTACGTTCATGCATATTAGTTCCATGATTATTGCTATTAGAAAATCTAGTAATCCAAAATCAGAGATTTGTTGTAACGATGTTGTCTGGAATATATCGTAATTAGGACCAAACCAACGCCGATCCACGAGTTAACTCTTTCAAGAAATGGAAGAGTATTAGGTGGCCGTTTATTTTTGTTTAAGGACTAAGATTCCTGATTTTTAGCGATTAGTTTTATAAATGTTGCCATTGAACGAGAGGATATAGATTTTTCGACGTGTCGTTTACTAGACTTCAAGATTACAAATTCATATGAAGCTAAATCATAGAAATTGAAATCAGTGAAGTTTAATTAGTTTACGGATTATTGACGGAAGAGAACATATGATGCAGTGTATGTGGAATGTTAAACTACAAATACACACTTACACAGTGTATTAAATTTAAAGCACCCTCACTAAACTACAATTAACAAAAGATCCCAATCAATCTAAAAAACATCTTACGAGGTTAGAAACACCATAAATAATTTGAGTTTCCGTAAAATACTATGAAAACGATAAAGGAACAGACCAGTTTTCAGTCGTCGGATGGGAGACAGGTGTTAGTCTTACATCCGTTGAATACAACAAACGAACAAAAAAATACTTTCAACCGCAGAAGGCACGTGCGAAAAACGATTTATCACGTGACGGTGAAGACGCGGTTTTAAGCAGACACACGTGCGACTTGCTTCCCACCGCTCCGACAAGTACACTGAAGAGATAATTTTAATTATAAAAAAAAAAAAACTTAGGCGGACAAATTTGACCATACGAAAGTCGTATACTTTGGCGTGGTACGGAAGGGTATAAATGTAATCTGGTGATAAAATCTTGGAACTGTGAACTAAAGAGATCTTCAACTTTGATATGGTTGTTGGGTTTATTGATACGACACACGTGAAAACTTTGATGCCCACCCACATTTTCATTTATACTCACTCGTTCCACATTAGTTAATG